TCTTTGTTGCCAGTGTGATGTCTCTACTCTCATCCCATTAGTGGTCTAATATATAAGGCCCAGAAGCAAAACAGATTTGTGAACTGAGCCAGAGTGCAAAGTAAAAACATGGAAGAGATTTGCAGTCAAGGCATATGCAAGATGAGAGAAGTTACAATTCACAGTGTTCTTTCCATGGACAGAACTGATGTTTAAAGGTTTTGTTAGCACTTCTCAGCCCTGGAATCTTACAGCATACCAACACAGACTATATAAAAATACTTTGCAAGATGTATACTATCTAGGATAGAGCCAGTTTATACTGTAAACATATAAAATGCCTAAGTCTTGCCTGCTTTGGAATTCCAATTATGTAAGTCAGAACACTTTTGGCCCTCCTGGTGTTTTTTGAAATCAGTTTCCAGAAGCCTCAGACAGATAGGCCAATGGGAATTGATTACTATTGCTGTTCTCAAAAAACAAAACAACCCCGCAAAGAACCAATGATTGCCCCAAACCTAACTTTACAGCTGTTTTGAAATTCTAAAATATGGCAAAGGAAGACTCAAACATATTTCTTGCTTAATGTGTAATGTATAGACCCGTTTCCACAAAGGCCAGAACAGTCTGTAGTAGATCATTATGAATCTTCTTTCAAATATTAATTATTTTAAAAGATGTCTATTTATGATAGTTTACATCAATGGTTCCAAACCTGTGGGTCCCCAGGTGTTTTGTCCTTCAACTCCCAGAAATCTCAGTGGGTTTACCAGCTGTTAGGATTTCTGGGAGTTGAAGGCCAAAACAAATGGGGACCCACAGGTTGAGAACCACTGGTTTACATGATCTTGGATACAGTTTTTTATTTTTAAAACCAGAATTGTGATTATTCTCAGTATTTTGGGGGAACGGCCTCCTGAAGCTGGTGGTCTACTTCTTTTTTCATTTTGTATTGGAAGAGGCAAAGCAAAATTTTAATGATTCTTCCAGTTCCAAAAAATCTTTGAAACCTGCATTATTTGAAGACTATTGACATTTCAGGAGTTATTCTGGACAAAACTCACATGCAGGCTTTTTAAAAAAATAAAACAAGTTTCTGTCCAAGAAGCTACATTTTCTACATTATTTAGCATTGAATTATTATTTTCTGTGCAGTAAATGTTGCTTTCTGTTCAAAAATGTGCAACATTTGTTCAGAGTAAGTTCTGGCATTTAAAAAAACATGTTTTAAAACATGTTTTTCCAAATAGATTTTAATATAGTTTCCATACTTACTACAAGCTTGCAGATGTGTCTAACAAAGGATGGCTTTGTATATTAAAACATGTAGTAAAAGCACATGAGGTGTGTTCTCACACATTTTTCATGTCTTGGTGTATAACTTCAGCAGCATCCCTTATCCAAAACGCTTCGACAACAAGTGTTTTGTATTTTTAATTTTTTGGGCAATATACATAATGAGATATCTTGGAAATTGGATGCAAGTCTTAACACAAAATGTATACACAGAACTTAAAGGTAATTTTATACCCACATTTTAAAATAATGTTATGCTTGAAACAAAGTTTGTTTATATTAAACGACCGGAAACCAAATGTGTCAATATCTCAGCCATCTATATTTCAGATATTTTGGATTTGGGAATTTCTGATAAAAGATGTAAAATATAAAGCTAGTCAAAGTCTGCTATGAGTTATAACAAACTATCATAAGCAGATATAGCATTCTATCACCCATAAACCTTGAAAAAGACCCTACATCTAGCCTAGAGGCATTGATTTCAATAGGTTGCACAAATGGGGCCATACTTCAGTAGTACAGCAAATGCTTTGAATGTTGAAAATCAGAAGTTCTATCCTAGGCATCTGTAGCTGGAAATACTCTTTCTAACAACTCAGAGGGACTACAGGCAGCCAAAGCTAACAATATTGGCCTGTACAGACAATAAGGTACTTTCTTATGCTCTTATCTAACTCTTAGCGTAAAATTTTAGGACATGTTTGAGTTTTTCATGTGAACTCTTCAGAACACATTTTTTAACCAAAATATTTTAGTGAAACTCTACTGCTTTGTACCTCTGCAGCCAATGGTATAAATGTATAATGCTGTATTATTTGTGATTCTCTCTCTTTTGCATTTTTAGATACTACTTCAGATTCAGCTTCTTTGAACTTGCCTTCTACTATCCAAACCAAGAACTATTACAAAATCATTTCTGAGAATAAAGAAATAATTAAGCTGATGTCTGTTCTTAGTACAGCTATTACTTCCACCAAAAGGGTAAGCAAAGTGTTGTGAAGAGACTTTTTTTAAAAAATGGGAATGCTGGATTTCAGGAATTAGGTAGATCTAGGAGAAAGAGTAGTACAAGAAGGAAGTGCAAGGGCAGAGGTTAGAAAGGGCAAAACAGGAAGAAAGAGGAAGGAAGAGGCTGCAGGAATTAGCAGAGCCTGAGGTCAGTAATGCATCATTGTAAAAAAGGGACATATCACTGTTGCCATTGTAAAAAAGGGACATATCACTGTTGTTCATTTCAGGGGGGGGGCTGAATTATTTCAGGGGGTGTTTCGGGGGGAGGTTGAGTTTGGCGGGGGGGGGGGGGGCTGAGTCTGAGTGAAAGAGGGTCTACCCTAGCAAACCTTTTGTATCATTACCCCAATACCCCCATGCATATGGGATATATTGAATATGGTGATCAGATCATGATATGAATAAACATAACAGTTTAAATAATGCACCAGTAAGGCCTTTTCGCGAACCACCATGAGAATTTTGTGGAGGGGCTGAAGCCCCTCAAGCCCCCCCCCCCCGGCTACATGCCTGACTGTTGCAAAGTTAACTTGAGTTTGTTGGCAGTATATTAGCCTTTTTTGGTATCATAGTCTCCACAGTTTCAGCCAGAATGCCAAGGGGCCAAATAGTTTATCCACTGTCCCTCAAACAAGGGGGGTGTTTTATTCCTCTTGTTTGTATTACTTTCTTGTATAAAGAAAATAAAAAGCCCAATGCAACATCCTTCCCTTCAGATCTACACAAGGGCATCTTCTGAAGAATGTTTCAGTCTGGGTATAAAAGAAACATTTTGGGCCCTGTTGGTTCCACTGAATGAAGTCTACATTATAATTCAAAATATTATGGTGTCAGATTCCATTGTATGTTTTGCATACATCCTTTGGAATGCATAGGGGTCAAAATGTGGAATTGCTGGAAGAACTTCCTTAACGAATGCTGCTTTATAGTCTTCCACAGAACAGGCTCATTTGATTTCTTGTGGAAACTGCTTTTGGTAAACTTTCAATCTGTGCTGCTTGCACAAGAATAGTAACTTGGCCATCTTAGTGCTTTTCAAACTTCACTTCCTCAGTGAAGGTTTCCACCTCACCTATTAATGATGATTCATTAATAATAATAATAATAATAATAATAATAATAATCTATTTATATTCTGCTCTATCTCCCCAAAGGGACTCAGGCCGGATTCCAAACATAAAAGGCAAACATTCAATGCCCAAATACAAAAACAATACATCCATACTAACAAAATTTATCCAACCCAACATATAAATACGAATTATAACTTAACAAACTAAAATTAAATAAAAAGCACAGCCTGTTATAACAGACATAAGACAAAACATCAAACATCAAATGGAAACAATAATTTCCCACTTTCTTTGGGGCAAATCGATCATTGCTCAAGATATTTATTGAGCTGGTGGGGTGAGCAGGGCATGGAAACAGATGGCAACTATTAATCAGAAGTATAATGGCAGTATTACCAACGACTATTCCTCCCCCTCATAAGCCAGTGAGCAAAGGTATGTCTTCAGCTGTTTTTTGAAAGTAGGAAGGGGGCATCTTTAACTCCTTAGGAAGGGAGTTCCAGAGGTGGGGGGCAGCCACGGAGAAGGCCTTTTCTCTCATTCCCATCAGCTGTGCTTGGGATGGGGGTGGATCTGAGAAGAGGAACTCCTCCAATGACCGCAGTGTCTGAGTTGGTCTGTAGAGGGAGATGTGGTTTGTCAAATAGTCTGTACCTAAGCTGTTTAGAACTTTAAAGGTAAGAACCAGCACTTTGTATTTAGCTCGGAAGCAGACTGGCACCCAGTGGAGCTGCTGCAACATGGGAGTGGTTCTCTCCCTGAATGGCGCTCCAGTTAGTAACCTGGCTGCTAATCTCTGGACCAAGCTTCCGAACTATCTTCAAAGGCAGCCCTACCTAGAGAGCTTTGCAGTAGTCCAAACAAGATGTGACAAAGGCATTGACTACCATGGCCAAGTCAGGCGTCTCAAGGTATGTGCGCAGCTGGTGCACAAGTTTTAACTGTGCGAAGGCACTCCTGGCCACTGCTGACACCTGGGGTTCCAGGGTCAGTGATGAATCCAGGATCACTCCTAGACTGTAGACCTGTGTCTTCAGAGGGAGTGTGACCCCATCCAACACAGGCTTTAATCCCACACCCTGATCTGCCTTATGACTGACCAGGAGTACCTCTGTCTTGTCTGGATTTAGTTTCAGCTTGTTGGCCCTCATCCAGTCCATTACTGATGACAGGCACTGGTTCAGGACCAGAACAGCATCCTTGGCATTAGGTGGAAAGGAGTACTACAGTTGGGTGTCATCTGCATAAATTTGGCACGAACTGCAAAACTCTGGATGATCCCTTCCAGCAGTTTCATAGACAATAATATTTTTACATCTAAAGTTTATGCATTGCTTTATCCTTCCTCCATTGTGGGTGATATTAATTCTTCTATGACATTCTTTCTTAATATGAGGCAAAACATTGCAATGGAATTGGCTGCATACAGTTATTTTTCTTGTTTCTAGGATGTCCTTGCAGCCCTGGAGCGTTTCAAATGTTACCATCACATCTGGCAACAGGAGAAAGAGGAGACAATTGGAGATTTTGTTAAAGGAAGCCCGTTGCTCTCTGAATTTGAATCCCAAATCCTTTATTACAGAGACTTAGAACTAGAAATTAACTCGGAGCCTGAGTACATCTGTGTGGGAACTGTTGCTCTATACACTGGTACTGTAATTTAATGTTTGGTTGTCAGCAAGTTGTCTTTAGCTGTTCTTAGTCTAATAATGCTAATAACTCAAAATGCATCTTTCTGGGAGCAAGATGTGATTTACTTCTGAGTAGGTGTGTTTGGTCCAAGGGAGGAGAATTGAACAGAAAAGAAGGCTTCGCTGAGCTTGAAGGCTCAGTGGTCACAGAATGCAGAATTTACAATGAACAAGTGTGAAAAGACAATATTTTAAATAATTTCTGTCAAATTGTGCAGACTTGGGCACTAACTATCCTAGCTACTGAGTTAATTTGAATACTGTCTGTTAAAATAACTTTCCTTCAGTCTATTTCTAAAGTATGTCTCTTCTTCAGTTTTCACTTTCTAATTTAATTTCATTTGTTGTTAGATATGAGATGACAGAAAAAAAAATAGTTTGCCTTTGGTAGTTTTTACCATCCTGCAAACTCCACATAACTTGTCAGTCATCTTTAACTGCCCAGATATTATTGCTCGGATTTTTTATGTTAAGGTTGATCCTAACCTTGTTCTAAATTTCTCTCCTTTTCTCTACTTCTTAGTATATTACATGTTGTAATGTGTTACAAGGCCATGTTTTGCCACTTGTCTTTAATGTGTATTTTACAGAAATGTCTTGATGTATATATTTTATGAAACTGCATTTTAATATGTGTGTTTGTAGAATTTTTATAGCATTTGTGTGCTTTTGATTGTACTGTGTCCCACCTCGAGCCGTGGCGAGAGGCGGGTAAGAATTACTATTACTATTATTATTATTATTATTATTATTATTAAATTCTTGAAGTGGGGAAGAAAGGGGAGAGGTTTTGGGAAGAAATGTGGCACCGTTTTTCTAAAAAGCAGTCATCAATTGAATGTACATTCCACAGAGGATCTGAAGCTGGCCCTTACAACAGAAACAAAATCATGGATGGTTGCATTTGGTCGTCACTGTAACAAAACCTACAGGACAGAGATGGAGAACATCTTTACCTTTGTGGAGGAAATTAGCAAGAAACTGAACCGTCAGATTAAAGACTTGGATGATATAAGAATAGCTATGGCTGCCCTGAAAGAAATTCGGGAGCAGCAGATCCTCATTGACTTTCAAGTAGGACCAATTGAGGTAAGTGGAAAGGAAATCTATGCCCACATCTTCCACCTAAATTCTAGCTGAGTGTAATTTCCTCTTCTTAGTTCCCACCTAGGGTGTTATCATACTTTGTTCTGCTCTCCACTTTATAATTTAGTCTTTTATATCCTTCCTTTCTGTCCAAGTGGAAATTCAAGGCAGTTAACTGCAGCAAAACAACGATAATTTTTTCATATAAAACTGTTTGGATTCTGCTGGCTCAACTATCCTGCCTGTTAGTACTTGCTACCAGGCCTGTAGCGAGGGGGTGGTTTTAGGGGTTCAACCCCCCCGAAATGTTTCAGATTTTTTTAAAAAACCTGGTTTACTCATGAATTTTAACTGGTTAACCAAATCCCCATGCTGCTAAGTCTATGAGATGCAAAAAATTAAGAGTCCCTCCAGAACTGCAAGCACTATCTCAAGCAAATATTGACAATTTATTCACACTGTCATTACTTGCAGCAATAGCCGATGTAGTGAAGCAACCAAGTTGGGGGTGTGTGTGTTGAATGCTCTCATTAAGGAGCCCAGACTTGGTGGAGGTGGTTGACAGGGGTAGAGCTGCAGGCTATTGAAGGCTGCTCTGCCCCCTGCTGTGCTCTTTGCTTCAGCGTGAGCTAGGAGGCAGGTTTCAACCCCCCCCCCCCCTGAAATTTTCAACTCCCCAAAATTTTCAACCCCCCCCGAAACTGTCAACCCTCCCCAAAAAATTTTCTGGCTACGGCCCTGCTTGCTACAGTGTTGAGAAATTAAAAACAATGCCAAGAAAATACTGTCTCTTTTACCCAAGTCCAGGAAAGTAAAATTCTCAGGTTCAGCCTGCATCTTTGGAAGCTAATCTCTTCCCTGACTATCTTCAGCCCATAATGAAGTATCTATGTACGCATGCGGTGCTCAAAAGAAGGATTTGCATGTATGGGGAATTGGATCATGAACCATCTTTGACCTTCAATCTGAAATCTATGAGAATACTTATAATTGCCTGCCATCCCTTTATTGACCCTTTCCCAAGTTCCTGGTTTTACTCCTGATTGTATCTTTTTGAGTGGGCTTGCTTCGGAGAATCAAATCCTATTTTTTGTCCCATCAAATAAACCCATCAAGTCACTGGAACTTACATAAAATCTGATATACCCAGTTTCTAGTGTGATTATGATAATGATGACAGCAACAACAACAATAAGGACCTACCACAATTATTAGAATTCTGACTTTAGTATGAGTTTTGACATATTTATTTGCAGCATTTGTATACTGCCCTTCTCAACCCCGAAGGGGACTCAGGGCGGTTCACAGTGTTGGCAACAATTTAATGCCATTGATAAAATACAGTATAAAACATCAAAATTGACACATTACCCTCATTACTGGGGGTTATTTGTTCACTTACGGGTATATAAAAATGGATCCTGCTATCTCTTTCTTGTCTTAAGAAGCATTCTTCCTTTTTGATGGGATAACACCTTTGCTGATTGGAGAGCATATTCAGTTTACAGTTCTTATAGTGATTAGTTGAAGACAATTAAACCATTTAGTCAGCTTTCTGTTGTTTTGTTACAGGGAAAATGGCCCAATTTTAATTGTGCTCCATTTTGGAGATGATACCACATTTTTTGTAGATCTACTTAGAAGTCTGTATATCTAGAGATTATATCCCTGGGATCAGACAGAGGATTCTAGAATGTAAGCAGGATCTGGTAGAAGAACATAAACAAATTGGTGTAAATGTTCACATTGTTGATGTTAGGTTACCTTTTGTACCAGACTAGCTATCTGGAATATTGAGCAAGACCACCTGATGCTGTTTTGATTCTTAGCTTCCAATGAAAAATTTCATTATGTCCATCCTTTTGTGCTGGCTTTATGCTGATCACAGATAATAACCTATTTCCTTGGCAGGAGTCTTATGCAATGTTAAACAAATATGAGTTACTGGTGGCAAAGGAAGAGATGGAAAAAGTAGACACACTGCGCTATACCTGGGAGAAACTGCTGGTCCGAGCAAATGAAGTGCAGAATGAATTAGTAGCATTGCAGCCTAAATTTAGAGGAGAGCTGATAAGTACAGTGGAGATATTTGTTGAAGACTGTGATCAGTTTTACTTGGATTATGACACGGTACAGTAATACCATTTATTAGAAAATACGTATTTCTTATTTTTATATAAATCATTTTTTTTTTGGGGGGGGGAGGTGGTAAGGGGAGTTCAGAAGCTACCTGAAAGCATGTGAAATAATAAACATCAACACTGGACTTTAATCTTCTGTACATGAATATTTAACATCCATGGGACTTGTGTAATCAACTTGGGTTATATATTTAATAATTAAAGTATTTTCATCCAGTGTGATAACTGAGGATGCTACGAGAACATACAATAAAATCAACTTTAACAGTTTAAAACTTTTTTTAAAAAATAGCAACAACCGATACAGTCTAAAAAACATTAAATAATCTGACAAATGAAAAACAAGCCCCATTAAAACAATTTAACACAATTTAAAACCAAGCACATGTGCAAATTTAGATCAAACCAAGTGGCCTCAAAAGCTCTAGGAAAAAGCCATATTTTTATTTGGTACCACAATGGCACAAACTTTGGCACCAGTCAGGCATCTAAGAATAGTATTCTATGAACAGGATGATGTGCAGAGAATCCCCTCTCCTAATTCCTTCCACAGTGCTTTGTCTCCACTAATAGAATTAAGATGAAGTCCTCTGCAGCATATCTTAATTTTTAGGCAAGTTGTCCCTCTATATTTATAGCTTAAGTATTCATGGACTGGATTATTTATACATTACTTTATAATTGCAGTGGTATATAAATAAAATTATGAATATTATTTTTACCCTTAGAGAACCTTTCTCTAGTTCCTCCAGCATTATTCTGTGGTTAACAGAATCTGGAGAAAAAAAAAATCTTTATCTCCAGTCCAGGCTTTAAACATTGCCTCACTGGGAGAGAATTCCAGAATTATAGTGTTACATCCAATAGAATTCTTATACTGAAGATATTTTGCCACCAGTGTTATAGAACAGAGGCTATCATCTGATCCGATCCTGCAGAATTTTGGGAAATGTAGTTTAGGGAAGCTAAGGACCTCTCTAGCTGAAAACTCCAAAGGTTCCGCCCTAAACTACATTTCGCAAAATTCTGCAGGATCAACTCCGATGATTGCTTCTGTTTTGTAACACTGGTTGAGAAACATTCACAGTAAAATATCTAACTCTTGGAAAAGTTTAATGTGATTAGATAGTTCTTAAAATAAGGGCTTGTTCACATACACATAGGGAATGGGAACCAGAATTTTACAAGCTCTACTAAGACTGTTAAAATAAACCATAAAATGTCACCACAATAGAGATGGCAGACAATAAATCATTAAAGTCTATTATTCCATCCACTCCCCCCCCCCCCAAGACTTTATGTGTAACATATATTGATATGAAGCAACACTTTTCTCTTCCAGAATGGCCCCATGGTTGCTGGTCTTGAACCCCAGGAAGCCAGTGACAGGCTGATCATGTTCCAGGTACATTGGCCATAGGATTAATGAATTATCACATCATCCTCAACTCTTATATGTCACTAAATATACAACTGTGGTTTCAACGGTGTCCTACTTTAAGGGCCTACCTCTCTTGCTGATGGTGGAAGGGTAATGTGTGAGAAAAGTGATTCCCTCTTGTCCAAAAAATTATTTGTGTAGTTCTACTGGATTGGGCCACTCTGTTTCTTTGGATAATCTTGATTTCTGTCATTATGGCAAAGGGACAAAACTTTTGGCCTACTTTTCCCTCCTAATGCACAATATTATAACCTTTCTCATGACTCCACTCCGTCAACCACCTTTACATAAAATTTAAAAAGTCTTAGTTTTTTGTTACTTTTTAATTTCTACCATATATATGGGATTATCAGAATTCTATTTGCCATACTATTTATTTATTTGCCATATTTATATCCCACCCTTCTCACCCCGAATATTCTAGGCCTAGCATGCATTTGCAACACATGCAAACTTTTGTTCTGAAAACAGTGCAGAAAATCACCTACAAGTATTTGTGTTTTGGGAATGATGTAGGTGGAAACAGGCAATTAATTTGTGTTGGTATGATTTTTTTTCATGCATTAACCCTATTTAGATGTTCACCAAGTATTTGTAGCTCACATGTGCAGCAAGGAGCATGCTAGCTCTGCTTCTCCCATTGTTGTGCTTTCCTGATGTAAAACATGGAGTGTTTGAACAAGAGATCCTTTTGTTTTAGCCAGAGCATTGTTTTCTCCATGTTCATGTTCACATGATGACCCTCCATGAGTATAACAGGCTTTCACATGAGAAAAGTGATGATAGGAGGTGTGGGGAGAGATACCCTCATTCACACTGACCATTTGGGTACCCCATTCTTATCCTCAGCAGCTGCAACTGTGATAGCCAGGTGCTTGCAGGAAACTCCATGGCTGGTGAGGAGCAATAGCAGTGACGCATGGATAACTCATCCTATTCTCTCTGCTTATCATAATAATGGTGCTGTGTAAGTGGATTGTGTTGCACAGCAAGTGGCTCTTAGCCACATCCCATGCACAAGATACACAGACACGAGTAGAAATGGCAATGTTGTATACCAAAACAAACAGTGCAAGAAACTTACATAGTCTTTGTAAGTACACAAAATAAGGCATCTTCATCTTCAGTCAAAAGAGAAAGCAAAACATAAACCTTGAGCAAACAGCTCTTCCACCATAGCCTCCTTTAGAGCAGCATAATGGCTTCTCTCTAACCTGCTTCTCAGAGCAGAGCCTTTGAGCATAGATCTCCCCAGAGAAAAAGCTCTCCAGAACGGTATTCTAAAAACCCATACAGTTATACCCTATCGGGTATGGTCCAAGATTGCTAGTTGACCTACATTACCATCTGCACATAATAATTACCATCGTAACGTTTTTCTTCAACACACACACACAGACACACACACACACACACGGTCCTGCTACAACTTACTAAAACAGATTGGACCAGAATGGACATGATCCAGCTGTCCTGATGGCTATAAAACCCAAGGATACTCCAGAATTTCTGCAAACTCAGATTTAACTCCCAGCGTTGCTTAGAATAGATTAAAGTTGAGTTACAGTAAGAGCAAAAAACAAAAAACAAAAACCCCCAAAAACAAAAACAAGAACAAGCAAACAAACTCATGAAACTTACCAGAAGTCACTGTGTATCAGTGCCAACATTGATAATATACATATATTAATTAGTGTAGAAAAGCCCTAGGAATAGGATAAAGGAGAAGAAGGGAAGGACTATTGTCATCCCAGCTGGTTTAAGCAAAGTTTGTCTGTACTTCCCCATTCTTAACTGTTGCCATTCTGACTACATTCTGAAGTTGCTTGCACTGGCTTCTCTAAGTGGTATAATAATTTTATTTCTTAAGATCTCAAGCATTGTGAGTATACTTACTCTTTCATTTTTAAAATATAGAATCGATTTGACAATCTTTATCGGAAATACATCACCTACACTGGAGGCGAAGAGCTATTTGGCTTACCGGTGACTCAGTACCCACAGCTCCTTGAGATAAAGAAGCAGCTCAACTTGTTACAGAAGCTTTACGGTCTTTACAACAGTGTCATTGAAACTGTAAATGGCTATTATGATATCCTCTGGTCTGAAGTGAACATTGAGAAGATTAATAATGAACTCCTTGAGTTTCAGAACAGGTGGGAAAACATGGAGGCATTAAATCTGTGTTTAGCACAAGTTACTGTGACCTCTTATCTGAAGTGGGTTGTAGGGAGCATGTATTTACTGCTATGAATTTGGTGCTAATCTTTAACTGCTTAAAGCAGATCTCTCAAAGAAAAATAGAAGGAAGATTTTGCTTTAATTAATTGCTTTTAAAAAATGTAATCCTCTTTAGAATCTATATTGCTGAAACACAATGATTCACGGATTTTATTTTCATCCCCTTACGTTGCTCTCCTAGATTAAGTTTTCACATTTCTGATAATTGGGAAAGTGTGCAGGTTCTTGCTTTACTTAGATGCAGATGTGCTTTGAATATCAATGGGGAAATTGTATATAGGTCTGTTTTTAGATAAAAGTTTAATAAGTAGAAATTGCCAATTTCTTTCCTGAACTATAGATCAGAGTAAGACAGTGGTTCTCAACCTGTGGGTCCCCAGATGTTTTGGACTTCAACTCCCAGAAATCCTAACAGCTGGTAAACTGGCTGGGATTTCTGGGAGTTGTAGGCCAAAACACCTGGGGACTCACAGGTTAATAATCACTGGAGTAAGGAATGTGTGGCTGTACAAATTCTTGATCTGCAGCTCTTATTATTTCTCACTATTGTCTGTCTGCCTAGGGCTGATTGGAGCTACAATACAGCACCATTTGGAGGGCCATATACTTCTCATACCTGCTACAGATAGATAGTCCCCTTAAGGAAGAAAGAATCATGTATTAATTTTGCAAATCAAAAATCAAACCATTGAAGTTGTAGAAGACATTTCAGTCTTAATGATGGTTTCTTTCTTGATATACTTTTTGCATGCTTCTGTTCTTCACCTGAAATGTTGCAGTAAAGACAGAACTGGAATTTCATCATTCAAGGAAAATATCAACTGGATACATATCTTAGATGCCTTGCATATAACATTGCATTCTTCCTTTAAAATGTTCATGTATTAAGCTATTCCGTGGTTTTAGTTGACCTAGATAGCTGAATTGCTGTTATGTCCTTTTGGAATTGTGAAGAAAGACAAAAGATATGTTTTTACATATCTACTAGCCATCTCCTGCCACTCATTGCTGTAGCAGAGTCTGTGTATATGTGTTTTGTGTGTGCATATATGTGTTCATGTGTGTGTATATATTTGTGTATATATGTGTGTTTACGTATATAGATATGTGTGTGTATATATATGTATGTGTGTAAATATTTGTGTATTTGTGTGTTTATATGTGTACATGCATATTGTGTATATGTGTGTGCTTGTCTATATGCATATTTGTGTGTATATATGTATGTATGTATGTATGTATGTGTATATGTATATGCATGCGTATATATGTATATATGTGTGCATGTATATGTATGTGTGTATATGTATATATTTGTGTGTTTGTACTACCGAATTATCGATATTTACACATGAGTAGGAATTCATAAAAATTTGATTGTGTTGTGAAACCTTTTGAATTGAATGTTAACAGTTATTGTTGGGTGTGTCTTTGTGTGTATGTAGGTGCCGTAAGTTGCCACGAGCTTTGAAGGAATGGCAAGCCTTTCTGGATCTTAAGAAAACAATAGATGATTTCAATGAATGTTGCCCCCTGTTTGAGCTCATGTCCAATAAAGCCATGATGGCCCGTCACTGGAAACGTATTACTGATCTTACAGGCCACAATTTTGATGTTGAAAATGAAACTTTCAAGCTGAGAAACATCATGGAAGCACCGTTGCTGAAGTATAAAGAAGAGATAGAGGTACTGATGCTGACAAGTTTTAGAGGAATTCTATCATGTGTGTATGGGATTCCTGGTATTGAAATGCAGACTGGTAAAAATGTCAAACCCAAACCATCTGAGAAATGGTCAGTCATTTGTTTTTTCATTTTGATTATTTAAAAACATTAAGCAATGTGTACATACCATGTATACTCAAGTATAAGCCGACCTGAATATAAGTCAAGGCACCTAATTTTACCACAAAAAACTGGGAAAACTTATTGACTCATGTATAAGATGAGGATGGGCAATGCAGCAGTTACTGGTAAATTTCAAAATAAAAATAGATCCTAATAAAATTACATTAATTGAGGTAAAATGATCCTAAATGTATTTTAACGAGAAACAGTGAACTAACTCTGTAAGTGGAAAAGTAGGGTCAATAAAAACAATATGGTATCAACAATAACTTTATGATGATAATAATAAAACTTCATTTGTATCCTGCCCTATCTCCCCATGGAGACTCAGGCCAGCTTCTAGCCTAGTAACAGGCAAACATTCAATGCCTATACAAACAATACAGAGTTATATAGATCCATAATTATCTATACTAATTTCACATATGCATTTTCCCCTGAAACGTTTACAAATTCTCTCTCTACATATGTGCATTTCCCTCCTGCAATATTTGCAAGCCCTATATATCTATATTCATATCTATCTATCCTGACATCTCTCTATATATAGATAATTATATCTATAGGATTTGCAAAAACCTGCAAACATGCGAGGGGAAAAATCATATTTAAAATTATTTGTATACATACACACAGATATATAGATATATAGATACATGTATAAATTTATTGATATCTTTATCTATATAGAATTTGCAGAGACTTGCAAACATGTAAGGGGAAAATTCATATATAAAACAATGTATACATATAGATACAGATATAAAGGTACATGGAAATATCTAGATATCTAGTATTTGCAAAGACCTGCAAACATGAGGGAAATTCATATATAAAATTAATGTAGATAGATTGATACAGATATATAGATACATAGGGATTGCAAAGGCTTGTGAGGTGAAATGCCTATATATCTGTAGGAGAGACTATGAAATAGTTCAGAAGAAAATGCTTTTATAAGATTAATGGATATTCCTGACTTGCAAGGGCTTCTCTTCCCCTCCTTTCCCTTTTCAAAACATTACAGCCTGGAAAGAGAAGCAGAGCAGAAGCAGAAAAGAAAACACACTGTTTAGGGAGGGGAAGATAAGAGAGAAATATATCATATATTGCAAGCAATTGCCTCCAAGCTCCACTGCCCAGCTTGACCCATGATAAGCCGAGGGAGGCTTTTTCAGCCCATAAAAAGGTCTGAAAAACCCGGCTTATCTTCGAGCATATATGGTATGGTGTGTGTGCATCTGTCCTATGACTTTTTGAAAGCTAAATTAATGCTTTTGGAGGCAAAAAGGCAGTTCCAGGAGTGACCCAGAGGGAGGCTAGGCCCAAACACACACACAAAACTTTGAGTGACAGAGCTGACCCTCGTGTATCTTCTTTGCTTCTTCACTGAATCTTACTCTTACACAGCTGATGAACTAGTGTACTTGAGAAACTTACTGGCTGGGCAGTATGATATCTGAGTCGAAAAAGGAAATCCTATCCATCCTTTTAAGACCCAGGAGGTAATGAGTAGGTAATGGATATCACCAACAGCACCAGGGATAACTATTTAATGAGCAACTGTGAACTGGTATGGTGTTGCATGGATATACCATCTACTTTCACTATCAGTGCCTTAAAGGTGTAGGTGTTCTAGCCCTTCCCCCTTAATCATCATGTAAGAATCACCAGTAGCTTCTGATAGTGGAACGCCTCTCTGTTGGCTGCCGTATCCAACTAACACATAGGTTTAAATCATCAACTAATCTTTAAACAAAGATTAAATTACATTAGCAATTGGTAATGGCAGCGATATGATCTTTTGACAATGGCATCAACTCATTATTTAAATCAGTGGTTCTCAGCCTGTGGGTCCCCAGATGTTTTGTCATTCAACTCCCAGAAATCCTAACAGCTGCTAAACTGGCTGAGATTTCTGGGTGTTGTAGGCCTCACAGGTTGAGAGCCATTGATTTAAGTAAAATATTGTATCCTCAAGCAGTAATCATGCATTTGCTGCCCTACAGTTGGAAATGGCCTTATGGCCATTTTAACTGATTTGCTTCTGCTCTTAAGCAATTAATTGTTACATTAGAGAATATTCCAGGTATGTGGCAGCAAGTTTCAGGTTCTCTATCTTAATTTTGAATTTGATTTGGTAGGATATCTGCATCAGTGCAGTGAAGGAGAAGGACATTGAACAGAAGCTGAAACAAGTGATTGCCGAGTGGGACAACAAAACATTTACTTTTGCTAATTTTAAAGCCCGTGGAGAGTTGCTCTTGAGAGGAGACAGCACTTCTGAGACAATTGCAAGCATGGAAGACAGCTTGATGGTTTTAGGGTCCCTGATGAGTAACAGGTAATATAGAAAACCTCTTGCTGCCTTCTACTTATATGTTTATGTGACTGTTTAAATATCTTGGCTAAATATATTATTTATCTCAGATACAACACACCTTTCAAGGCTCAGATTCAGAAGTGGGTACAGTATTTGTCCAACACAACTGACATCATTGAGAACTGGATGACGGTACAGAATTTGTGGATATACTTAGAGGCTGTCTTTGTAGGTGGAGACATTGCCAAACAGCTTCCAAAGGTAGGAGATTTTACTTGATCCTGCAGAATTTGAAAAGATGTTTAGGCAACCTGTACCTCAGAAATTGTTGACACTCACAATGTAACAAATATATAAATATGTAAGCAAAGGTCACATGGTTATGAAAGAATAGCATAAGAAATTCCAAAAATACTGATATAATGAGTATAGATTTCATAGGAGATGTTCTAGCACGGGAGCACAGCTATCGTATACCCAGGACCGAAGACTGGAGAACTCAGTGCATTCCTTCTATACCTGGGATGTCGTCCTCTTCCCCCGAGCACTCAAGTAAAAAATTTCAAATACCTAGGACTTTGGTTCAGTAACAACCTGTCATGGTCCACTAATTTAAAATACATACTGTCCCGGGCCCAATCTAGCAACAGTGTCATCAGGAGGTTTTTCCACTCCAGGGGCAACTAATATATTCCCCAGCTCTGCAAGTTTTTCAAGCAAAGGCAATAGCAAAACTACTCTATGGAGCTCCCATTTGGTTATCCCCTAATAATAGTGCCATTAGATCTTTCCACTCAAAATTCCTCCACAAATTAATTGGTGTCCTAAACTGCATCCCATATGCAGTTCTATGTCTAGAATCTGGCCAATACTCTATAGAGGTTACTATCTGACTAAACATAAAAAATTGGCTATATATTCACTATCAAAGGTGAATTGGGTCAAAGCCCCAGTAATTCTTTGACCCAATTCACCTTGAGTGAACTCCACCATTCAAAATTGTGCACAACAGTCCTAGCAAAGATCTGGGATTTGGGCTATGATAGCGACTTCTTGAATATGCTAACTTTCACTGAGATCTTTACCCTCATTAAAAAGAGGTTGCTAGGAAGGGATTGTAAACAACTGCTGAGCTTGACCAATAAATCCTGTTCACCTGAACATAGCAGTCAGGGCCGTAACCAGATTTGGGGAGGGGGTTAAAAGTTCAACGCTGCTTTGAAATGTGTCAAGTTAAAAAAGAAACCTGGTTTACTCATAAATTGGTTAACCAGTTAAAATTCCTGAGTAAACCAGGTTTGGGGGGGGGGGGGTGTTTAAAATCCTTAACCCCTCCCCCTCTGGCTACAGACCCGATGGCAATCCCATTCATGCAAGGAAACCCAGCCTTTTATATTGAAGCACTCACTAACCCCTTATACAGGAGAGCCTACATGCTGGCTAGATTTAATATTATGCCATCTCCGCTCCATAGAGGAAGACTTAACGGCCTACCAAGCAATAAGAGGCTTTGTCCCTGTAGCACAAGACAGCTGGATTCCATCCCGCATATTCTTCTGCACTGCCCACTTTATCAGGAACTAAGATCTAGCTTATTAATACAAGTTATAGATTCTTTGAAAAACCATACTGACCCAGACAAAATAATTATGCTTTTAAACTGCCAAGATTTTAAACGTTGCCTTTCAGTGGCAAGGATCCTGAATGAAGTCTGTAAACTGGACATGTAGCAAATGTGAAGTTTCCTTTTTGTAATATATACTGTATTTTATACTGTCTTGTTATATATGCCAATAAAGGCCTGTTGGATTGGAAAGATTTCATAGGAGATATCATCTTCATTTGTATCTTTAAACAGGAAGCCAAGCGTTTCTCTAATATTGATAAATCATGGGTGAAGATCATGACCAGAGCCCATGAAATACCAAATGTGGTCCAGTGCTGTGTTGGAGATGAAACAATGGGACAGCTTCTTCCACATTTGTTGGATCAACTGGAAATTTGTCAAAAGTCTCTGACAGGGTGAGGTTACCAACAGAGAAATCCTTGAGTAGTGCAGAGCCAATCATGTTTGCATTCGGAAGCCTAGGAGGGATATTTTTGAGATCTAGAACTCCTAGCATCTTATTATCAGAATATTTATTTTAAATAATGTTGATTCCAAAATATTCAAAATTGAATGACACTGAAGACAGTTATAGGAATAAGAGTACTTCTGGCTATTTTAGTAGTCTATCTAGTTACGGCTTTTGCTTGCTAACTTCTCATTTAAATTATGTATGTCTGAGACCTTCATCAGTTTATGCAAAAAATGGCTTGCAATGCTAGGCAATATCATCAGAGCATTTTAATCCCAGGGAATAGGATTTGGCTCAACCTCTATGACTAATGGAACATTCACATTTGGGAATTCTCAGCTTATTTGATCAGTGACTGGATAGCATGAAGCTCAATTTACAAAAGCAATCTTTTCCAAGCTCACTCCATTTCTTGAGGGTGTTTTGTTGTTTAATTCCAGGTATTTGGAGAAAAAGCGCCTTTCGTTTCCCCGTTTCTTTTTTGTATCAGACCCTGCTCTTCTGGAAATCCTGGGCCAAGCTTCAGATTCTCACACAATCCAGGCTCACTTGCTAAATGTTTTTGATAACATCAAATCTGTGAAATTCCATGAAAAGGTTTGTGTGATTTTAACACCAGTCCTATAAGGGGATCAAAAGTTGTCCAAGGTTCTGAGTACCTGGCAATTTCCTATGTACAAAAGATCAGAAAGTTAGATTTTGTATTAAATGTACATCTTAGGGCCCTTCCACACAGCCCTATATCCCAGAATATCAAGGCAGAAAATCCCACATTATCTGACTGTGGACTCAGATAACCCAGTTCAAAGTAGATATTGTGGGATTTTCTGTCTTAATATTCTGGGATATAGGGCTGTGTGGAAGGGCTCTTAGTGATGAATGGAAATATTTAGTACTGTGCAGGCATCCTAAGACAGTAGAAATAATTATGTGATGAAAGGGGAAGGTTTTGTAATCCCACTTCTTCAACTCTCTCTTTCTCTTTCTCTCTCTCTCTCTTTCATATACCCCCTCGCCCCATTCAGAGTAGCATTCTGGAAAGCCTTACTATGCACAGGGCCTCTCCAGGATTCTCAGTATTCAAAAATCAGGGTTCTGGATCATGGATGAAGTATAGAGGCTAAATCAGTAATATGATTTTTGCAATTTGTATACCTTTGTATTATGATTTTATGTTGTAGAATTTTCTGTTTGGTAACTTGGTGTAAATCTGCCATGGAGCAGCCCCAGATATAGCACATTCATGGTGAATCTGTGGCCATTGTCTACACCACAGTTTCTTAACTGTGGGGTCGATTTAATTGTATGTTGGAGTCACCTTCCCTTCTCTCTTTCTTATGTTCGCATGTCTCCCTGCCTTCCCTTCTCTCCCACATGCAGGTTCTTTATATGCTGGGGATTGTGTAAAAATTGAATGGGTCAAAGGGAACCATGAGTCTGAAGAGCAGAAAAAGCCCTACTATAGATTACTGTATGGGTCCTGACCCCAAATGGGGACCACTTAGCTCACCGTTGGAATCACATTTTTTCATGAAATGGAAAATCAGCCTCTTTAGCAAGCCTTGAAAACACTGATTTCTTATAAATAAATGTTGAATTTGTATACTTATTTATATTCCCATCTACTGAGGCCATGTAAATATTTCTTGGGCTGAAAGAGGTTGCAAGTGGAAAAAGTTTAAGCCGTGATCTACGCAACTCTGGATCACATTCACTCATTGAGGTAGCCTGCATTTCACCTTCATTGTGTCACTGCCAACAATTCTAGCCACCCACAGTCCTGCTGATATTAGAGAGGGGTGCCAAAATGACCACCAGTAAGTGTGGAGTCATCTCACTCTCCTTGATGGTTGTGCAGATGCCCTGATCTCATATCAGTAGAAGTGCCTCCAATGACTAGCAACCTCATCATTTGGGGGAATAATCATTGGCATGCTCCTCTTCACCACCCCTTTAAGCACAGAGCCCACTTGCTTTCATTACATAACACTTTACTACTTCCAGTGGGGCTCTGGGCTTAAGGGGTGGCAAAGAAGAACATCCAGGTTTTCCATGTTGCCTTGGATCAGTGGGGGAAAGCCAGAAGGTCAATGTTTCCTTCTGTGGGATCACCCAGCCGGTAAGTCAGGCGATGTGGGGCGTGGGGTAATGGGTTCCCCATGACTCCCAATAGTGGTTGCAGGATTCACCACGATGCATGGTGTTTCCAGTGCCCAGAGTGAAGAGGTCATAGGAGCTTGGAATGAGCTCTGTGGTTGATTAGGAGTGGCAGCAGTGTCGACCCAGGTGCAATCCACTGCATTGGTGACAACCTTGAAGCCACAGGATATTCTGGAGTTTCCAGCAAATTCTGGAATATCTCCCAACTTCTCCAAAAAGAAGAGAAAGCTTAAAGTATATAAAAAAAACAAGCAAGCTGATAACCCACAATACTCACCGAATACTCTGTGCATTCTGGAGACAACCAGTGGTTCATTCAGCTTGAATATGGGTTATTTAAAGTGGAGACAAGCCTTCTAGTAGTCTAGAATGCTTGAGTAGGGCTAAAATATTCACTCACATGTTGGGTAGTTTAAAATAATGTGAAAACAAACATTTGAATACTTTGGTAAAAAAAAATTCACTCTGATTCACATTGAATTACAGATCTATGATCGGATTCTTTCCATTTCCTCTCGGGAAGGTGAGACAATTGAATTGGAAAAGCCTGTAATGGCAGAAGGAAATGTGGAGGTTTGGCTCAATTCCCTTTTGAAGGAGTCTCAAGCTTCATTACATCTTGTGATTCGACAGGCAGCTGCAAGCATTCAGGAATCAGACTTTCAGCTAATAGAATTTCTTTCCTCTTTCCCTGCACAGGCAAGTTTCTTTTCTTTCTTCAAAGAAGAGAGATGATTATCACCCCAATTTTGCAAAATATGTTTCAATGCAAAAAAAAAAAACAAAAACAAAAACAAAAAAAACAAACAAACAAACCCAGTACTTATTCATATACATACAAATAGTTTTGCCAGCAAGTCTTACCACTAATGGTCTCTTATTGAGGAGCCGTTGTTTTACCATAGCTCTTACCTCAATATTGGGTTGTTATGAAACATAAATTCTCCATCATATGTGCATCACACTTGTGGGATAAACGTATGCATCTTTTAGGTTTTGTTCACCTGCCAGTACTTTTTTTCACTCATAGGTTGCCAGCTGCCACAATAAGGTGCATGTACAACAGTTCACTCTTGATAATTACATGTGATATTACATGCATCATTTTTACCCACATTAAGATATATATATATATATATATATATATATATATATCTCAAGAATAGACAAAACTGATTTTGATTAGAAAAATGTTATATAGGTGGAGGAGGTACTTCAAATAGTGATTTTGAAAATAACTCCTATTGCTAGTATTGAATCATGTTTTATAATGTGAGCTGAAACTGCTGTTACTTAAAGTTGGAGAGATCAGCTTTAAGTCTTGATTAACCATATTAATTGGCTTTTATTAACCATGGTTAACTTTAGTGCCAAATGGATAGAGGTGAGTATAATAGTCAGCTAAAGGGCTATCAGATGAAGTCTTCTATTTCAAAGTATTCTTTTCAAATTGAGACAATCCACTCCAGGAAGGGAGAAATAACGGCCTTCAAATTAGGTAGTGGGCTCTGTGTGCGCGCGTAATGCATTGGAGTTAGGAGCTGCAGTCAGGAGAAAGCAATCCTGCAATCTGTGCTCAGCAGTTTATCACACAAGGCAAGCAAATCACAATTACTGCAGGACAACAGTGCCTTGGATCTATCATATGACATCACTCCTTTCCTGCTGCCCTCGCAATGGGGGACTGTTGAAAGGCATTTCCTTTACCAAAGGAGCTCGTAAATGGACTATTTTTGTTTGCAAGAGAGAAATTCTTTCCAAGCTGTTTCCCACTGGGAGAGTGGTGGGAAAGGAGTGATGTCATGTGATTATGCTTTTGTCCTGCTGTAATTGTGATTTGCCCACCTCGAGTGATAAACGACTCATTCACAACCATGGACACTTAATGACTGCAAATAAGACTGCCTTTAAAACATAGTAAGTTATATAAAAGGATAAGAACATTGGACTTTTGAAAGATACTGAATGCTGTGATTTTTTATTTTAAAAATGTTTTTCAAGGTTGGCTTGCTGGGTATTCAAATGATCTGGACACGAGATGCTGAAGAAGCATTGACAAATGCAAAATATGATAAGAAGATAATGCCCAAAACAAACCAGTTTTTCCTGGATCTTCTCAATACTTTGATAGACATGACAACAAAAGATCTGAGTCCAATAGAGCGCATTAAATATGAGACACTGATCACAATTCATGTGCACCAACGGGACATATTTGATGACCTGGTAAATTGTCTTCTTATTTATTATTAATAACAAATACAAAAGGTAGAAGTGTGTTTAAGGTGTCGTGCATATTTGTATGTCTTCACCAAATATAATCACTTAGGGCAGTGTTTATCAACCTTGCTAATGCAGTGACCCCTTAATACAGTTCCTCATGTTGTGGTGCCCCTCAACCATAACATTATTTTTGTTGCTACTTCATGACAGTAATTTTGCTACTGTTATGAATCATAATGTAAATATCTGATATGCAGGATGTATTTTTATTCACTGGACCAAATTTGGCACAAATACCTGAAACGCCCAAATTTGAATACTGGTGGATGGGGGTGGGGGATTAATTTTTTCATTTGGGAGTTGTAGTTGCTGAGATTTATAGTTCACCTACAATCAAGGAGTATTCTGAACCCTACCAATGATAGAATTCGGCCAAACTCCCCACACAGATCCCCCAGGACCAACAGAAAATACTATGTTTTCTGGTGGTCTTTGACGACCTCTCTCACACTCCCTCGCAACCCACCCAGGGGTCCTGACCCCCAGGTAGAGAAACACTGACTTAGGGCCTAATGTGGGTGACCAGTCCTGGCAATATTTTCATTGTTCTTCTGTGTCTGCCTCAGGTTATGCTGAGACTAATGCTTTTGAGACTAAGATTTTGTAGTCTTGTCTCAGTACAGTGCACCCCCCCCTTTTCTTTTCTTGATCATAGGACCTTTGGGGGGGGGGTGTAGTAATAGTGGCTTAAATGAATAACAAAAATCTTCTGTGTTACCCATTAAATTATACTTACATTATTAACACAAATATGGGGAAAACATTCATCTGTGCTGATTTCTCTCTCTCTTGGATATTAAATAGAATCATTTCAGAAGCAACGCCATCTACAAACATCTTGCAAATCAGGACACCTCTGTAATAAAGATCTGAATTTGTGACTATGTCATTCTTGCATGGGAGAAGGAAAATGCCACATTTTTCTTTACCACTGAGCAAAATTTCAAGAATTTTGGCTAATTTTCTAATGGTTTGAGGATTTTTTTGGCGAACAATTTGTAAACATTTTTATTAAAAAAGAACACCAACTTGTCCTGTGAAATATGAGAAAAATTGTTACATCTGTAATCAATAATATGTATACCAAGTTTATCTCATTTTTAAAGAAATTTGGTTTTCTGCTGCTGTTCATAGATGTCTGTTTTACATTTATGGTAATAGTCATTTTTCATAATCATCCCCTAGTTCAAGGCAACAGGCAATTTAGGGCCCTTGCAGACAGGTCCTATATCCCAGGATCTGATCCCAAGTTTTCTGTTTATCCCAGATTATCTGGAAGTGGGGACTCATATAATCTAGTTTAAAGCAAAAAAAAAAAACAAAACAAAACAAAAAAAAAACTGGGATCAGATCCTGGGATACAGGGCCTGTCTGGAAGGGACCTTTTAAATTTGAAAAACATACTATACTCAATTCGATTCACAGGAAACATATCTCAAACAACACTTAATCCTAAGCTTTTGATTTCATGTTGTCCTTATCTTCCATAGCACCTAAAAACAAATATATTTTGGGTCTCCAGAATTGTCTGTGTTTTTACAAATTGCTCTTCCAAATGATTAATTGAATGTACACCCATTTATTTACTGGCATAGCTTTTGATGTAAGCTTGATTTCTTGTCCTTAGTGCCGTATGCATATCAAGAGTCCTACAGATTTTGAATGGCTGAAACAATGCAGATTTTATTTCAGTGAAGATGCCGACAAAATGATGATTAACATCACAGATGTGACCTTCACATATCAAAATGAGTTTTTGGGCTGTACAGACAGGCTTGTTATTACACCTCTCACAGACAGGTAAGAAATAATTGATGTCATTCATCCTGATTGAAGGATTACATACTCTGTATGCCAATATCATTCTCCAGCTTTTCATGAGGGAGTCTTGTTCAGGTTTGTTTAATAGAGAGGAAGGGTGGAAATCAAAGCAACAAAGGGCAATCTCCGATACTCCAGCATGGGAGAACTTCTAGGACACTGAAAAAAGTATTTTCTGGGATTCTAAGTTACTATTGCTGTCTTAAGGATTCTTTGCAGCTTTTCTATGAACTTAAAAGTAGGGAAGGGAGGATTTGGACAGGAGACTCCAAATGTCTGCTACGTGGATCCATCCTAGATAGAGCAGCAGATCATCTATAGCTCCCTATGGTATACCATGTCGTAGTATTGGGTTTTTTTCTCTGCAGTCTTCTTCACTTAATAAAAATTATCTGAGGTAATTTCAGATAGTAAAGCTGCAGAATTGTTGGATGTAATTTTGATTTATAATGCTGTAAAACAAGGCTGAAGATATTCAAAACTGCTGCAGATTCTGCATCAGTTGTCCAGGTGGTTGTTCTTAATGAATAAAACAATTGATGTGGGTGCATCTGCCAATCTATAGTATTTTCCAAGCGCTTTGCAGGGATAATTAAAAAAACTAACATCAATTGTGAAAAGCTTTATTGTTAAACTTGCATAATAACTGTTGTGGAAAATACAAAGAACTTAATGTGCTCAAGGCTACGCACTAAAATACGAAGGCTGAAATCTCTTTGTTATTGTTTGTCAGAGTAGATCTACTGACTCAATTGAACTTATATAAGTTTTACTTACCAAGTTTTCATTGCTTCGTGGGCCTATTTTGGTTATGACAATAATTAAAGACAAAGCAGATGTTTATTATGTTTATCTGATAATAAATAAATTATGATCAGTTGGCTGAAAAATATTTAAATGTCAAATCATACTGAAGTTTTCTGTATTTTTGTACAGAAATTAAGAAAATTATATGCATGGTTAAAGATAACAGAATAGAGAAAATATGTGGTCAGAGAAATGGGTGATTGGTGTTCAATACGGGTGATTTTATTATGAAAAATTGTTGTTGTTCATTCGTTCAGTCGTCTCCGACTCTTCGTGACCTCATGGACCAGCCCACACCAGAGCTCCCCTGTCGGCCGTCACCACCCTCAGCTCCTTCAAGGTCAGTCCAGTCACTTCAAGGATGACATCCCTCCATCTTGCCCTTGGTCGGCCCCTCTTCCTTTTCCCTTCATTTTCCCCAGCATCATTGTCTTCTCTAAGCTTTCCTTTCTCTCATGATTTGGCCAAAGTACTTCATCTTGCCTCTACTATCCTTCCCTCCAATGTGCAGTCGGGCTTTATCCTTCCCCCATCCCCTCTCTTCCTCCTTCTCCCCTCCTTCTCTTCCGTTGCTCCTATCCCCCCCCCTTTTTCGCTCTAACTGCCCGTGCTCTTCCGATCTTTCAACTTTGTCTCTAGTATCCTTCCCTCCAATGAGCAGTCGGGCGTTATTTCCTGGAGGATGGACTGGTTGGATCTTCTCGCAGTCCAAGGCACTCTCAGAACTTTCCTCCAACACCACAGTTCAAAAGCATCTATCTTCCTTCGCTCAGCCTTCCCTAAGGTCCAGCTCTCACATCCGTAGGTTACTACAGGGAATACCATGGCTTTGACTAGACGGATCTTTGTTGCCAGTGTGATGTCTCTAATCTTTACTATTTTATCGAGACTGGACATTGCTCTCCTCCCAAGAAGTAAGCGTCTTCTGATTTCCTGGCCAGTCTGCATCTGCAGTAATCTTTGCACCTAGAAATACAAAGTCTGTCACGGCCTCCACATTTTCTCCCTCTATTTTCCAGTTGTCAATCATTCTTGTTGCCATAATCTTGGTTTTTTTAATTTAAAAAAGGATGTATATAAAAACATAAATAGCCCATCAAATGAAAGTGGAATGCCTCACACAACACATGGACAACCATCAAGATTAAAATTCCTTGATATTTTACAGAATTGTACAAAATAAAGTTTTAGAAAAAAAGTCATACTGAAGAGCATTATTATTAATCAACATATTTTACATCGGAAGTCTAAAATTATATATATTTTTAAGATGCGATTTGTAGAGATCACTTTATTAGTAACAGCCTTTAAAGAGTTTGAAGAATATTATCATTTAATTATAGGTTAATTAACTCATATTTTGATAAAGGTGATACTTAAAAATGAATGTGGCTGACTGTTAAATAGTATGTGGCTGATCACAAAGAAACCAGAGAACAAATCAAAACATATAAGCCTCAATACTATGCTTGTAGCATGTTGGCACAATTCTGCAGTGACCAGAGGGTGGATGAGTCATGACTACCTGTGTTTACCTAAAATAATTTTTGTTCAAATTGCTACTCCTTAAATATTGTTGCATTTTTATTGATTTTAATCAGGAGGTTTTGTGATGTTTATGTTGGTTATTGCTACTTTGTTGTTGTTGTCTTTGTACTTTTTGTATTTTGCTTGTTTGCACCATTGAGTACTTTGTGAGCCATCTTGAGACCCTACAGGAGATGATGGTAGGGTACAAATAAAGTTTTTTAAAAAATTATTATTATTATTATTATTATTATTATTATTATTATTATTATTATTAGTCTTAGCTTCTGCATTTAATGTGCACACCTAAGAATTCTTTCCCCATCCTTTAGTAGTTCTGCTATTCATTTCACACCATTGATGTTTGAGGCTGGTGTTTAGTGAGAAATTGATTTGTCTATCTGTTTCTTTATAGGTGCTATATTACTTTAGCTCAAGCCTTAGGGATGAGCATGGGGGGAGCACCAGCTGGGCCTGCAGGAACTGGAAAAACAGAAACAACAAAGGACATGGGAAGATGCCTTGGAAAATATGTTGTGGTCTTCAATTGTTCTGATCAGATGGATTTTCGAGGACTGGGAAGAATTTTTAAAGGTCAGAATGCCTTTGGTTGTAGAAGCAACAATCTTACGAAACTGAGTATTTGATTTGAAGTCAAGATGCATCAAAATGTGTCTTAACCTTTGTTTTGTATAAAAAAGTGAGAAATTGCTTCATATTATTGTTTAAACCTTGTTTTTGGTTTCATTGCCCCAGGGAAGCCACAGTGCAATTCCATAGTCACGTGGAGATTCCCAAAGAGATGTTCTCTCATATAAACATGTACACACACAATTTTTTTTATTTGTAGTTTTTTAAATTTGTGAGTATCCTGAGCACTTTGCCTTAGCAAATGTGGAGGGCTGACTGTATAAATAAATCAATATACAGTGCAAAACTCAAAGAAATGTATTGTCCCAAACTGTCTGTGCATGGCTTCTTAGCTGCTAATGTACAATGCTGAATTTTCACAACTTTTCTTTTATTAAATTGTATTATTTGTTATTAACATGCATTATTCTAGCTCTCAATAGTTTATGGATGTGGCTTTTAGAATGTTCCTGTTTTCAGATGTCTTTGATTGAATTGTTCTAGGTTAATGGTTGCTAGCAATCTTGTTGCATAAAAGTTGCAAGCCATAATGTGGTAAATTAGAAACAATGTATTGTCGAAGGCTTTCATGGCCGGAATCACTCAGTTCTTGTGGGTTTTTTCGGGCTATATGGCCATGTTCTAGAGGCATTTCTCCTCATCCTCACCTCTGAGGATGCCTGCCATAGATGCAGGTGAAACGTCAGGAGAAATGCCTCTAGAACATGGCCATATAGCCCGAAAAAAACCCACAAGAACTGAGAAATTAGAAACAATTAGATTCAGTAATAAATAACTGCAGGTGATACTATGTGATCATGGAGTTGGCAAGAATTAAAGAGTGTCTAGTTCAGTGGGCTCCCCCCAAATCCTCCTGTTTTTTCTGAGGGCTGTTCTACAGGGCCGCCCTGAGTCACCACGGTGGAGTACCAGTTCAGCACCCCAGGACAGATTTGCCACCACTGCTGGCTATGGCAGTGACAGATTTACCTACTTTATGCTGGGAACTTCATCTTCCTCTTTTCATGTCTTGTGACTTGCAAAGGAGGATGGGAAAAGTGTGTGTGGAGGGGGAAACCCCTCTTTCCCTCCTTCTTGGTGAGTCACAAGGAATGGAAGGCAGAAGAAGAAGACTACTGGATAAGGTAGGTTGAGGGTCCATGTCATGTCTTGTGACTTGCAAAGGAGGATGGGAAAAGTGTGTGTGGAGGGGGAAAGAGGGGCTTCCCCCTCCACACACATTTTTCCCATCCTCCTTCTTCATGAGTCGCAAGATATGGAAGGCAGAAGAAGAAGACTATAGGATAAGGTAGGTTGGGTGACATGGAGGCAAGGGGCATGAGGTGACAGCCACCCCATGTCACTGGGCCACCCAGGGAGTATGGGATGGCAGTTGGGATGCCTATAGCTGCTTCTGTATATGAACCAGCTTCAAGTTTCTTTGGGAGTACCTGAATCTTAGTGTAGGATTGAGGTTTTCCTCTGAATTATATTAATTTAGGGTAGAGCCACATTAAGCAGCCTTCCCTGTCTTAATCTGTATCTGGAATATATGGCAGTGTGGACTCAGATAGCTCAGTTCAAAGTACGTATTGTGGGATTTTCTGCCTTGATATTCTGGGTTTCAAAGGCTGTGTGGAAGGAAGCAAAAATGGGGCTCTGTGTAGCCTCAGCGTCTCCAAACCACTCTTTTTTATCTGACAAATTTCTGTCTTTGGAAGCTCCAGTGGTGATATACTTTTTGGCTACATCTCTCATACCCCCTCCTCCAGTTAACATTACAAAAAACTGGTTTCTCAAAATCAAGTGAACTGATGCTTTTTTTGGGGGGGGGGCATTTTGGGCAATCTGTGTAGTCCCTAGAGGTTTCTTGAGGCAGCAAATTGGTGTTCACATCCTCTAAACATGCCCACTTCTATGTTAAAGCTGATTTTATCAGATACGAATTTCTTTAAGAACCTGAAGTTGTGTCAATGTTGAGTCTGCCTTCATTAGGCTTTAAGTGAACTTTTTGATTCTTGAAAGCACGATTCCTGGTGTCTTTGATAGCTTATTGTGCAAAAAAGGCACAGTCGGCCCCATTTAATCCAAACTTTTTTCTACTCTGATTGAAGGTCTTGCTCAGTCTGGATCATGGGGATGCTTTGATGAGTTTAATCGCATAGATTTACCAGTATTGTCTGTTGCTGCGCAGCAGATTGCAATCATTCTGACCTGTAAGAAGGAGAGGAAGAAGAGTTTCATTTTTACTGATGGCGATAATGTGGAAATGAATCCTGAATTTGGGCTTTTTTTGACAATGGTATGTGCACCAAGAATGATTGGAAGGAAAATTTCATTTCAGTGGATCTATAGCATCTGCAGTTTTTGTGGCTTGATTCATGAAATATATGTAAGACTCTTTGGCCTGGCATTAACTTTCTTATTTAGCAAGGCTTTTAATTGAACCATTGCAGGAGTTGGGGATTTTATGATCGGGATGGAGGTGGAATACATGTGGATGAGGCTATGGGTTTTAACTGAAATGTGGGATTTTATTGATTATTGTTTTATCATGGTTTTATTTATTTTGTTCTCCTGATTGAAGGATTTTAATGTTTGTATTCTGATTGTAAGCTGCCTTGGGTCCATGTGGCGAAGAAAGGTGGGATAGATAATAAATAAATAGATTGAGAGAAGAAAATTTGATACCACATTGGATTGTGTTGTCATCAGACAGATAAAACACGTAGAGATTGTATTATTATTATTATTATTATTATTATTATTATTATTATTATTTTACTGACACCACAGTATGTCACAGCAAACAAGATCTATTTGCTGGATTTTGTATCACAAAATCACAAGTCGAACACTTCCCAAGCGTCTAGGACTGTGTGATGTATTTTCGAATGATGCGTGCAAATCCAAGTAAGGTGGCCTTTTGCAGTTGACAGATCATGATTTTGTCAATGTTTATTGTTTCCAAATGCTGGCTGAGATCTTTTGGCAGAGCACCCAGTGTGCCAATGACCACTGGGACCACCTGTACTGGTTTATGACAGAGCCTTTGCAGTTTAATTTTGAGGTCCTGATAATGGCTGAATTTTTTCCTGTTGTTTTTCCTTAATGTCACCTGGTAAAACTGCAAAAGCTGAAAAACTAATCTTCACATGACGTGGATTGACTACAAAAAAGCCTTTGATTCACTCCAACATAGTTGGATCATCAAGTGCCTAGACACCATCGGCATTTGTAAAAACATTGCCAATTTCATTGAAAATATGATGAAGCATTGGATTATTATTATTATTATTATTATTATTATTATTATTATTTTAATGTTTATTTATACCCTGCTTTTTCTCTCCACCAGGAGACCTGTACATTATTAGAATATCTAGGTTTCAGAAAAGCAAAAAACTGCAGATATATTTTCAGTGGCCCAATTTTTAATTTGAACTCATTTCACCAATTCACATTTAAAAAGTTGTTATCCACCAGTAGACGGTGGAGTAAAATCCTGAACAAATAAATTGTGATTTCATTTGTTCAGAAGACTTTCAGCAGGTCCTTGTGTGGCCTGAGGGCAATCATTGCACTGCTCTCATTTCAAGCAGGCTACATGAAGTGGTACTCATAAGGCAGGAGAACACGAGCCTGCAGGAACAAACTACAGCAGATATGAAACATTACGAAAGCACACTGCAGTGTGGATTAGAGCCTTTAAAGTGCATCAAGCAAAGTTGGGGGAAAGTCCAAAATAAGCCCCTTAATGCACTTCAGTGAGCCCCAAACGTAAACCACAAAATGTGATGAAATTGGCTCCAAAAAAGCAAAGCATATTGTATAAATCTTCTCTTTCTGGAGAGCTTTGGAGGGGATGGAAGCTGCCAAAAACATTAATTGAAGGAGGAATTGTTTGATATTTTCCTATGCAAAAGAGCGTGATATGACCAAAACTGGTAATTATCTGTTAAATCAGAACCCTGGATATGCAGGCCGTCAAGAGCTGCCTGAAAACCTGAAGATCAACTTCCGTTCTGTGGCAATGATGGTTCCTGATCGGCAGATCATCATCCGTGTCAAACTGGCTAGCTGTGGTTTCATTGATAACATTGTCCTTGCAAGGAAGTTCTTTACCCTATACAAACTTTGTGAAGAGCAATTGTCTAAACAGGTACAAATGCTTATATTTATTGAAAAACATTAGCCCACCAAAAGATGGAACAATTAGCATCCTCCTTAAATGCTATTAATAGCAGTGTAGATCATGATATTACATGTTGGTAGTGCTAGAAACTAGGGCTGGGCGGTTTCGTTTCGTTAATTCGTAATTCGTTAATAATTCGTTAATTTTGTTGATTACAAAGCGATAACGAACCATTCTGGAGCAATTTTTTTAAAAAATGAATTTTTAAAGACGTTTTGTAAATGCTTCGTATTTCGTTATTGTATTCGTTTCGTTATTGTTTTGAGGTCGTTTCGTTATTATTTCCGCATGTCTGGGGCAAGTTTTATAGTTGTTTTTTGTTTAATTAGTGAAAAAAAATTATAATATCACACCAACAGTCAACAACAGAGGGAGAGGAAGCTTCAGAAGGTTTTGGAGGTTTTTTAGCGTATTTCGCGGTCGCGTCCGCCATTAACGAATCGATTCGTTATTGTTTCGGAAATCGATTCGTTAATTTTTACCATTTACGAAATTTCGTAAATATCGAACTTTTTAAAAGGAAAATTTTGTAATTATTTTAAATATCGAAACAAAAAAAACCCCCAAATACAAATTGATTTTAGAAACAAATTTTTCCGTTGTTACCCAGGCCTACTAGAAACATATTCAGAAGTTCAGTAACTCTCTCATTTCATTCCAAAATACAGGGAATGGAACATTCATAATACAATATAAAAACTGTTGTCGCTGCTGGCTCTTATGTCTGACTTCACTCAGGATTTAGATTCAAACTTTAAAAATATTCTCCAAGGTACCGAACCTAAGAACTGACCACGGAACAACAGACTGGTTCAAGATTGGGAAAGGCATACGGCAAGGCTGCATACTCTCACCCAACCTTTTTAACTTGTATGCAGAACACATCATGCGATGTGCGGGGCTTGATGAATGCAAAGCTGGGGTGAAACTTGCTGGAAGAAACATTAACAACCTCAGATATGCAGATGACACCACTCTGATGGCCGAAAGCGAGGAGGAGCTGAGGAGCCTTCTAATCAAGGTGAAAGAAGAAAGCGCAAAAGCCGGGTTGCAGCTAAACATAAAAAAAACCAAGATTATGGCAACAAGAATGATTGACAACTGGAAAATAGAAGGAGAAACCGTGGAGGCCGTGACAGACTTTGTATTTCTAGGGGCAAAGATTACTGCAGATGCAGACTGTGGCCAGGAAATCAGAAGACGCTTACTTCTTGGGAGGAGAGCAATGTCCAGTCTCGATAAAATAGTAAAGAGTAGAGACATCACACTGGCAACAAAGATCCGCCTAGTCAAAGCCATGGTATTCCCTGTAGTAACCTACGGATGTGAGAGCTGGACCTTAGGGAAGGCTGAGCGAAGGAAGATAGATGCTTTTGAACTGTGGTGTTGGAGGAAAGTGCTGAGAGTGCCTTGGACTGCGAGAAGATCCAACCAGTCCATCCACCAGGAAATAAAGCCCGGCTGCTCATTGGAGGGAAGGATACTAGAGACAAAGTTGAAGTACTTTGGCCACATCATGAGGAGACAGCAAAGCCTAGAGAAGACAATTATGCTAGGGAAAGTAGAAGAAGGAGGGGCTGACCAAGGGCAAGATGGATGGATGGCATCCTTGAAGTGACTGGACTGACCTTGAAGGAGCTGGGGGTGGTGACGGCTGACAGGGAGCTCTGGCGTGGGCTGGTCCATGAGGTCACGAAGAGTCAGAGACGACTGAATGAATGAACAACAACAACCGAACCTATGAATGAATGGATTGGGTACCTCCTTTAAAATCTGTTGTCTTGAAATGGAAGCCACCAGCTTTCATAAATATAGATGGATTTTATTGAAAGAACACCAAAGAGTAAATTTCCTCTATCTTAAAAATTTCCAACAGAAATAATTCTAAAGTCTTATATTTGTGGCACAGACTCATTTTTAGACCACATCCCCATGCTATAATTGTGTGATTTAGCTAAACGCAAGGAACACAAGGTTGCTACTTTTATGTTCTAATATGTATTTTAAACTGTTCAAATGTTTTAATAAGATTGTTTAATTGATTTTCAATTTTAACCACATACTGTTTTAATTATATTCTTTTTTAATGTAAGCCATATAAGTCACATAATGAGAGAAAGGTGGGATGTTAAATACATACATGTCAGGGGTTCAAATCAGCAAGGAATTCCCTGTTGTATAGCGGAAGGGACTCCTATTATGGAGCCAAATACCTTCTTACAGTGAAATGGTCTCCTCAAGAACAAGAACAACACACAGATACAAACCAGAAGGCCTTTCTTTCTTAATTTCCAGTAACAGTACAAATACTAATACAGTATTTACAGTATGTACAAACTCTCTCTTTTATATCTTCATACATCAACCTCCAACCCTATCAACTCAACACAGGGTTACTACAAACAGTGAACTTGTGGTTATTCCTGAGACACTGATCCTGTTATCACTTAAAGAAATGCTGTATAACTTACACATTCTGGCAACATGCACATACATAGTGGTAATGTATGACATATTTATCTGCATTTATTTCAAATATTGCTATTGCAAATCATGTCACTTATTTCAATGGCTAAACACAGAGTTATCATTGTTTTGGTCACAGTTCCATATTCCATCTGTTCATTTCTATCTAAGAAGGATTATATTTATAGGTTCATTTTTTCCTGATATACACCAACCTCCAACCCTTATCACCTCAACACAGGGTTACTGCAAACAGCAAACCATTCAATTCAATAGACCTTTTCTTGAAAAGATTAGTAGGACTTTATTCGTTGTTGGTGAAAGCTCACTTCATTTGTGTTAGCCTAAAATCTTTTATTCTGTTTCTAGGTACATTATGACTTTGGCTTGAGGAACATATTGTCAGTATTGAGGACCTTGGGAGCAGCCAAAAGATCAAATCCCGAAGACACAGAATCTACCATAGTTATGAGGGTCTTGAGAGATATGAATCTTTCTAAGCTGGTAAGCATAAATTCGATGTATATTAACAGCATCTTTGGAAGCCTTTCTCTAAGTGCCTCTACTATCAAAGTTGAGGGGGATATTATTTCATGGTATTGGCCATTGGGTTTTGGCATTGCAATTTCCTGCCTTAGTCATTCTTCTGGGGCCATTTCAAGCAGTTCCTCCAAGATATGTTAGGTGTAGGTGCCAAGTATCAGTGGGTTAGCAAAGAAGGTGAGGAAAGTGTAGGTAGTTACAGTAAGTATACAGAGTCATCAACCCCCCCCAAAAAAAAAAATTGGAGGAAAAGAAGAAAGTAGTAGAAGAAAGGAGAAAAGTGTAAAAGATGCATAGAATGAGCAAAAGCAAGGAAGAAAGCTGGTGATATAAGAAACTAGTAAGTAATCAGAAAGATGTCATGATATGGAAGAGGAGGGACAGAGAGAGCAGAAGTGTAAACAAGGAGGAAGAATTGCAGCTAGAGTATAGCAGAATCTCTAAAAAAAAGCTCAATTAGAGAATGAGAAAGAAGTTCATGGAACATCTGTTGGAGTTGTGGCCATGGCTACAGATGCATGGTTACCTCAAGTGTCCTTTCTTGGAAAAAAAGCATGAAGCCCCAGGCAAGGACCTGTCATGACCATTAAGAATTATTGGAATAATAAGATCTTTATGGGTTCATTTGAGGGAACTGAAAAGAAAGACTTTTCCTGTAAAAAGAATATTGGAAAGGCTGATGCTGGGCAAAAATGCTTTAGTATCAAGAAATAAAAGAAACCAAAGCTTGTATTTGTCATCTTGTCATTTCCTAGATGGATAGAGAGTGCAACCGTTATGGGACCTTAGTGACACAAACAAAAAATATCCAAACCTTTGTTCATTTGTTGCCCACTCTTACATCTTTTCAGAACCAGACACAGATGTATTTAATTCTATAGACATTTTAAAAATTACTGCTGTTTTTTTCCAGTTTCATGATGCTATATCTTTTTTTTTCAAAATTGCCTTTCTGTAATTTTTTTACCATTAGTACGTTTTATGTTTTTATTGTCATTTGCATATTAAAAATAAAGGGAGAGTTTCACAAAAGGATGAATGTTTGCTTCATGTAGGTTCGATATTCTTGTATGATATATTGGAATTCCGAGTTGGGAAATAGTTTAGAATAGTATATACAGCAGGTATTTTTAAGATGGGTAAATCCTTTGTGCTTTCAAAGTAGGTTCTGCAACAGATTTCTTTTTTCCTTCTGATTTGATTAAAACAGCTGAGAATGTCAAATCCCCATTCTGCTGTTCAGCTAGTAACTCTTTTTTCTCTTTTCCTTAAGCCCTTTGTGTCTCCACTTAATGTATTCCCATCCTGATTCCCTCTAAGTCCCTTTGCATGCCATACTTTGTAAGTTATGTTATTGTTTTACTTTGCAGTAATAACGATTAGCCAAACGATTCCTAAATTTAATGTTTCATTCCCAATATATTCAGAACCAAGGCCAGCCCTACCATTAGGCAAAGTGAAGCAATCACCTCAAGTGATAGATGCTTTAAATGGAGGTATCCTCTCTGCCGCTCCTTCTGAACTCCCCTGGTGTTCTCTGTGGGCGGTTCCACACAGCACTTTAATGCGAGTGCAATTGTGTTTTAAAAACGCAATTGCACTCACACTGAAGTCCACACACATCCCAGAAAGGTGTCCAGATGCCTTCCCAGAACCTTCTCGGAGGACAGGGTGATACCCCCACCCCCTCCCAAAGCCCCTTAAAAATGAGGATAAATGAAATAACTTACCCAGCTGCCGTGAAACTGCTGCCGGACCTTTGCTGGCACATGGGAATGACACACCAGGAGAAGGGGGGTGCAGGAATAATTTTCCTCCTCCTCCTCCCCCTCCCTTTCTCCTGGAGGGCCAGAAGCAGTTATTTTACTCCACTCCCCCCCAATTTTAAGGGGTTTTGGGTAGGGGGTTAGAGCCCTCTCACATTTTCTGGCCTGATTCAATATGGAAAATGTGAGAAGACTGTGTGGATGACTCCCTCAAAAGTCCCAGGACTTCTGAGGGGGCAATGCAGACTGTGTCCACAGCAGACTCAGCCCATAGCAAGAAAGATGTGGGTCTTTCAAGAAGACCCACTTCTTTTCCACTAACAAATAATCTTGGCACAAAGCAGAGTTTTCCTGCTTTGTGCTGAATGCAGTCGTTTTTATGTGGGGCATCATCTGGACACCCCACTTGAAGAAGCAAGAGGGCATGTGTTTTAGGGCCTGTCTGGATGGCTCCTGACTGTCCTGTCCTAAAATAGTCTAGTACCTGAGATCATGGTATGAAATACAAGTCCATTGTATATGCTGAATTAAATTCCACATGGCCAATACAGCTGGTTTCTGCATGTGGGAGGTGGCAGTGGCAATATTCTTTCCCTTAGGTCAGTGGTTCTCAACCTGGGGTCCCCAGATGTTTTTGGCCTACAACTCCCAGAAATCCCAGCCAGTTTACCAGCTGTTAGGATTTCTGGGAGTTGAAGACCAAAAACATCTGGGGACCCCAGGTTGAGAACCACTGCCTTAGGTATTAAAATATGTTGATTTGGCTCTGATGATGAATGAAATTCAGTGGATATAGACTTAGCTACATATTTTGCATTCTTAAAAATATTTTATCAACACTGTAGATGGAAGAGGAATCCTGTACCACAAGTTTTTGGTTTCATGTTTAAGTTAGCTTTATTTATTTATTTTTCTTGCATTGGATATGCTCCAGTTTTTCTTGCACTGCCTTTTCTCTTGCCTATTAAGATTTCCTCTTCAGGCAACTAAGTTAGAAACTACAATGACTCTTGAGAGCAATGTCATGGAAATGTGTGCGTATTGGTGAGTTGAGGCTCATCTGTGAAGTATAGAACTATGATTTCAGCAGGCATCATTATTAAGAGACAGTGTAAGCAAGCATGATAAGAAAGTAAAGAGTAACTATTCTTCTTCTTTTTGGCTCTGCTAGATTGATGAAGACGAACCCTTATTTTTAAGCCTGATTGAGGATCTTTTCCCAAGTATTCAACTTGACAAGGCAGGCTATCCAGAGCTAGAAGCTGCCATTAGTAAACAGGTAATGCAAACACATATTTGTATGCTGTTTCTTCAGCTTGATTGAATTAGCCACTCAGTAAATGAACAAATTTCATGAAAAGCTCTATGAAGTGTGAATTCCCAATGCAAAAATAAAAGCATGTTGGTGCTCTGTCAAAAAATTAATAACCATACCAGTTAGTGGAGTCTTTACTTTGGTTTAATAAATGAACCTGTCAGATGGGATATGTTCAGGCATATAAACAGTATTACATTCTCAGAACTTCAGAAAGCATATGTTAAAACAGGAGGGAGGGAGAAGTAGCATATAATTAAATCACCACTGTAGCTGTTCACCAGGGCAGATGTTCTAGTGGAAAGGCTAAAATGATGATGAATTGTGAGGAGTAGGAGTACAATTCAGTGAAGTATCTTCAGATGGTAGCCCCGCATTCAGCACATACATCTGCTGGTATCCAAATAGGCCAGGGCAGCAACATCCCCTCTGGGCTGTCATTTCAACCTCTGTGTCACCAACGTTGCTCCCTTCCGGCCCTGCCTGTCATGTCTGCTGATTTCAGAATGGAGCACCTTGCTGGTTGCACAGGCACCTTATTGTGACATCATTAGGCATGACAGTGATGGCTGAGCACTCACAACTAGTTCTGTGATTGCCACCCATTTTAAGGGATGGATGATTGCGGGGGTTGGGGGTTGGGGGGGGTGTTAAAAGTTCAGCCCTGTCCTGAAATGTGTTATGTTAAAAAAATGCATAACTTGGTTAACCAGTTAAAATTCTTGAGTAAACCAGGTTTACTCATAACTTGGTTAACCAGTTAAAATTCTAGAGTAAACCAGGTTTACTCATAACTTGGTTAACCAGTTAACATTCTTGAGTAAACCAGGTTTACTCATAACTTGGTTAACCAGTTAACATTCTTGAGTAAACCAGGTTTACTCATAACTTGGTTAACCAGTTAAAATTCTTGAGTAAACCAGGTTTCGGGAGGGGGGGGTTAGAACTCTTAACCCCCCCCCCACAAGCTACGGACTTGACCATCAGTCCCGGGAATAGGGCTGAAACGAACCTGATATAGTTGTCCAGATGGAAATTTCAGGATCTTCTGCAGTTTCCACCAAACCCCATGGAGTTTCCTCCAGGTTTTCCCCAAAATGGCACAAAGTTGAATTAAACCTAGAAAACCCATAATATTCAACAGAGGTCACTGTGTGTCCTGGAGACAGAAAGCAGTCCTTAGACACTTTCCCACCATGGCAACATTTGCAGTGAGAGCATAATTTTATGCCACTGTTAGCCATGCCCACAATACCTCTTTATGATCCATTTTCACTCTACAATAAGAGGAAAAATGGAGGAATCCTTCCTCATACATTCACTTCACTGTGAGTTGAAACTTCTGTATAATTAAAAACCCTCTGAAAGCAGGTGAAGTCTTGTACACTGTTATACTACTATATCCTCCAGTGGTGCAATGGGTTAAACCCTTGTGCTGGCAGAACTGAAAGGTTAGCAGTTCTAATCTGGGAAGTGGGATGACCTCCCATCTGTCAGCTCCAGCTTCTTGTGTAGGGATATGAGAGAAGCCTCCCATATGATGGTAGAACATCCAGATGTCCCCTTGGCAACGTCCTTGCAGATGGCCAATTCTCTCACACCAGAAGCGACTTTGCAGTTTCTCAAGTCGCTCCTGACATGATAAAAAATGGCCGAGTATGATTGTCTTCCAAGGGTAGTTAGTAGTCTTGGTGGTAGGTCTGTCAGTAACTGTGGAGACCTATTCTGAATCCACACAGTTTTTCATAATTAGGACATAGATTTCCAGATGGAAGGCAGTCTTGACAAGGGATTGCTTGATGCACCTTCCTCTTGGATTGTTTCCCCTTTTGCTTTCTATTGATGGCTCTTCAAAATCCATGGCAGCATTAGTAGCAGCTCACCTCCAGTGGGAACTCTCGAGGACCAGAGCTTCCCGATTCTCAGCATTTCGTTCACATTTTTCTTGTACCTTCATCTCAACATGGGGATGCCACAGATTGAGCAAGCAGGGATGAAGATATTGCATGTATTTTATATGCATGCTGGTCATAAATAATACTTGAACACATTTTTTCTGTAAAGGAAATGATTCTTGGTGTTCCTAACAGGTTGAAGAGGCTGGCTTGATTAATCACCCTCCATGGAGACTGAAAGTTATCCAGCTCTTTGAAACACAAAGGGTGAGGCACGGCATGATGGCCCTGGGTCCTAGTGGGGCAGGAAAAACTACATGCATCCACACACTTATGAAATCCATGACAGGTATGGTATATAATTAGGATTGTTCACAGCAGAAACAGTAAAAAGAACATTTAATAATTGATTTGGGATATATCTTCCTTGTCCCTGGGACTAGGACTCAAAGCTTATTATAAATATTGAAGTATGTATGATAAAAATATGTAAAATCGTGAAGCTGAAGCACAACTTGAAAAATTGTAATGTTAGGGTACTATTGATTCTGCAGAATGGTCTCTTCCTTATTGTCCTATTGGCAGGTGAAGACATGTTTATTCAGATAGACTAAAGATTTTTAAGAAAAGGGCTTATATAAGGTTGTTTTATTGTTTTAACTGGGTTTTTTATCCTTTTATGTTTTTCATTATTGAAATATTGTTAATAACTTAATTCTACTTCAATGTTCTCTTTTTGGTACACTTTAACTCAATTAAACTAGTTTTAAATTAATTTTAACTTGATTTAATCAATGTAATTTAAATTAATTTTATTTTATTTAAAATATTTTAATTTCTTCAAATGTTGAGGAATAGGTAGGGTATAAACAAAGATGGTGATGGTGATGATGATAGATTTAAAGATAATATATAAGTTACATCATTGAGTGAAATTTTAGGTTATCGCTTTTTTATTGTTTCCAGTAATTTTGCACAAAAATATTTTTTGTGCAGGACGATGGAATTTTAACTACATGAAGTATGTTCGTATAACTTTTTTTTTGCAAACTTCTATTTTTTTGGTCAAATCTTCTCAAATTCCAATGTAGAAAAGAAAATTATTAAAAAGATACAACACCCCTCCCTCATGATCTAGCACATAGGGAGATTGGGGTTTTTTTTTCCATTCTGGTTTGCAAGAATTAAATAAACATGTCTTTTCTTTTCAGAGTAAGGACAGCTTTTAGAAACAAGTTGTTCTGACAGTGGCAGAATCTAAACAAATAATTGTTGCTACAGATTCTTATAGAGAACATCTGGGAAAGAAATGGATGACAGAGTGGAATACATAAACATTATATAACAGTCTTAATTCCATTTCAATGCAAATTTCAGATATAATAGAAGTTACTCCATTATCAGATTTTTATTAGAGATTATTAATTTAAATTATGCATTTGTACTCAATTTGTTTTGTGGAAATATTTTGAAATGGATCAGACCTCAGAAGAAGAATGCTACGTTTAGCAAGAGGAATAGATGATAATTGATGTATAGTTTCCCCCTGGGCTTCCAATAGAAAGCTGGAGCGATCAAAAAATAAATATGTGATACTTTTTGTTGAGAAAGATTTCTCTGTATATGGATGATCTTTCCCTCTCCTTTCCATTTCTCTCTCTCAAGGAAGAATGTATTCAAATAAAATTTGTACTGAACATTGGAAGTTGGAGATAAGACTGCATTTAGTTAGAAGTTTAGCAAATGGCAGCCAATGGATACGTCATGACACAAAGTGGGGGAGCTTGTGTTCCTTTGGCTGCTATTAATTCCAGTTCCCATTTGCACGATCAATATTGTATCCTGATTAGAACAGTAGTCCAGTAAAATCTGAATGCCATTGATTTCCTAGTCCTGTTCTAAGAGTTTCTCATTACATCCTAACTTTCTTATGTCTCTGAGGCCCCATCTACACTGCCATACATACATACATGTAGATTGATGGGTAGATAGATAGATAGATAGATCAATTGATTGATCAATCGATAGACAGACAGACAGACAGATAGAGATGGATGGATCAGTAGATGGTCAATGGGAACATATAGAAAGATATATGTATATATATAGAGAGATAGATAGATAGATAGATAGATAGATAGATAGATAGATAGATTAGGGTAATTGATGATAAATGGAAACAGATAGACACAGATAGGTCAAAATGTATAAAGATAGAAAGAAACATAGAGATGTATATATACAGTTAGAAACATATACAGAGATAGGTACACACACATATGCACATATACACACAACCACACACACACACACACACACACACACACACACACAAGTGATGTTTCAGAGATGTGCTAATACTATTTAAGGCCCGATTTACACTGCCATATAATCCAAAGGAAGATAGATGCTTTTGAACTGTGGTGTTGGAGGAAAGTTCTGAGAGAGCCGACCAGTCCATACTTCACAATAAAGCCCAGCTGCTCATTGGAGGGAAAGATAGTAGAGACAAAGATGAAGTACTTTGGCCATATCATGAGAAGAAAGGAAAGTTTAGATTAGACAATGATGCCTGGGAAAATGGAAGGAAAAAGGAAGAGGGGCCAACCAAGGGCAAGATGGATGGATGGTATCCTTGAAGTGACTGGCTTGACTCTGAAGGAGATGGGGGAGGTAACGGCTGACAGGGCGCTCTGGTGTGGGATGGTCCATGAGGTCATGAAGTGTCAGAAGTGACTGAACGAATGAACAACAACATAATCCAGTTTCTGAAAGCAGTTTAACTACATTGAATTGGATCAATCAAACTTTATTACAGTCCAAAGATCCAATTTTCTCAGTGGTAAAAGATGCACAACTTCAAACAGATTCATAGACCAATTAAATGCAGGAATAAGGACTATATTGGACTCATATAATTCAGTTCAAGGCAGATAATCTGGCTTCAGAAACTGGATTATATGACAGTGCAGATCCAGCCTGAGATAAACACACATTTTTCTGATTACATGTCAACTAACCTGAAGCTTAGGATATTACCTTCAATTATCAAAATTGTGTAGGGTCTTCTCTGGACACTGACATCTTTTCTCCATCAGCTTTGACTCTTTTTGTGAACAGGTGAGGTTGGACAAGAGCTATGGAAAAGAGCAGCCACCTATTCCAAGATGTTTTCCTCTCCTTTAGAGTATAGTGATCTCATTGCTGAATTCATAAAGCCAAGCTTTGAGCTGCTAGTTTTCTTCTACTTGCTAGTTTTGCAATTTATCTTAATCTAGAGAAACAAGATGACATACTTAAACTCCCTATTTGTTTTTGGAACAACTACTATCCAAATGGTTACATGTTGACAATGGCTAACACTAATTAGAATTTGCACAAAATCCATAAATGGTTGTTAAGAATGTTGAACTCCTAAACTATTTACACACATTAATAGTAGTTAGAATGGTCAAGGATGTATATTAAGAGGTTTCAGGAGCAGGGGTAGGTGGCCTTATGGGTGCCTTTTGGTTCAAGTCTATGGTACCATCACTGTAGCGTTTACAATCTCTATCGTTGCTTCTTTACAAAATGTTCTCTAATAAAGTATATAAAAATGTCAAATGTCTAAAAATGTCATACATGGACACATATATTACAAATACAAATTTGGACATACAACTCATGTGAAGAATGAAAGGAGTCTCAAGTCTAAGAGCTAATCAGCATGTAACCTAGAATTACCACGAGAATCTGGTTGTTAACATATTACTGTGTATAAGTACTTGAATAATTGTGAGAAGAAAACTAATGTATAAAATTGTCCTCTCCAGGTTATGATGAACTGCAAATCTGCAGATCCCTGACAATTGTCTATTCTGATTTGGGATAAGGGAAACTATAGTCCATGTGTCAGAGGACTCAAGGCTAATATACACATTGACTGAAGTCTTCATTGTGATTCATTTGCCAATTTGTCTTCAATAGATGCCTTTGCTAGCTGGGGATAATAGAACTGTTGCACAATGTATCAGGAAAGCACTGGGTTGCGGCAGGCTGCTGCATATTTACAAAATCCTTTAATATTTTCTGGACATTCCACCCATGGAAATGAACTGGACTGCCAAATTCAGAGACTGATGATGAACACATTAATATAATGCTGTGTTACTCTACCAGAAATTATAATTGATTTATATTCTCAAATTGGCTTCTACAGACTGTGGGCAGCCACACCGTGAAATGAGAATGAACCCTAAGGCCATCACGGCACCTCAGATGTTTGGACGTCTTGATGTTGCAACTAATGACTGGACAGATGGGATTTTCTCCACTCTTTGGAGGAAAACATTGAGAGCAAAGAAAGGTATTTAAAATCTGAGTGCAATGCTTTCATAAATACATTATTTAAACCCATGTTTTATATTTTAACCAAAGTTCCTTTTAATTCCGTTTGCTGCAAATTGCTCTCTCCAGTTCGTACAATATACAATTTTCATGGAACCTGCAGTTTCAATGCAAATGTGCATTTATGGTCACATCATTTTTGCCTTGAGAGAAGTAGTTTAAGAGTGCTATTTTTGCTTTTGAGGTTGATACTCTGGTCTGGGAGCACTTGTCTGCATGTTACTCAGCTGCTCAACTTACACATCTATAAATAAACAGTTATCACAAAATACCACAGTTTTTCAGATCTGTTCTTCACAGGACATCTGACGTGGTAAACATTGTCCTAAGATAATAAATATTACATCACTGTTCTTAGTAACTGTACTGCTGTTATGAATATCCCTTTTGATTTGAGCTTGTAGATATTGTTGGAGAGAAACCAAAATAAGGTGTTTGAGGAACTAATGCCCCATTCTCTTTTGTTTACTTCTTTGGTTTTCTTCAAAGCTTTGAAACCCACAAAAACTATGTAAAGTAGATAGAACTTCAGGTTTTTGTATTGATTTGAACCACAGAATCAAACAGCCACATACAGTGTCTACCATAAAAATACATGTCCTGAAGCTCTTAGTCATATTGACCACTACTCAAGGGTTGTCAGAGCATTTAAGGTAATGAAATATGTTTGATTTGTGCATTTTTTTAAAAAAAAAACACCCTTTTGATTATAGGAGAACACATTTGGATAGTTCTTGATGGTCCCGTTGATGCAATTTGGATTGAGAACCTGAATTCAGTCCTTGATGATAACAAAACACTAACACTAGCTAATGGAGACCGGATCCCTATGGCACCAAATTGTAAAATTGTTTTTGAGCCTCATAATATTGACAACGCTTCTCCTGCCACAGTGTCAAGGAATGGCATGGTGTTCATGAGCTCATCAGTTCTGAATTGGAGTCCCATTCTTGAGGTATAAATATTTTCGTAAATTCAAATTCCCTACTTTGCTATTTCAATGGGCATCAAAGTGTCAATTACCTTTGGGATATTAAAATCTGGTTTCTGAACCTCATTTTAGAATAGTTTGTAACAGCCTGCAATTGTGAATCTATTTTGCTGATGTGAAAGACAGTTTGCTATCCTAGACAATATCTCCATTGGCTTTAGGATATTGTTGTTGTTGTTGTTGTTGTCATTTTCTCTCCACAAAGGAGACTCAAAATGGCATCATTGTCACACTGTCCCACCTCAGAGCTTAAGATCCTCTGGGGATGCCCTGCTCTCGGCCCCACCATTGTCTCAAACTTGTTTGGCGGGGATGAGGGACAGGGCCTTCTCGGTGGTAGCCCCCCGCCTGTGGAATACACTTCCCTGGGAAATTAGATCATTGTCATCCCTCCTCACCTTCAAAAAGAAGATTTTTTTTGTCGTGTCAGGAGCGACCGCTCCTGTTGTGAGAGAATTGGCCGTCTGCAAGGACATTTCCCAGGGGATGCCTGGATGATTTTTTGATGTTTTATCATCCTTGTGGGAGGCTTCTCTCATGTCGCCGCATGAGGAGCTGGAGCTAATAGAGGGAGCTCATCTGCCTCTCCCCGGATTCGAACCTGTGACCTGTTGGTCTTCAGTCCTGCTGGCACAGTGCTTTAACCCACTGCGCCACCGGGGGCTCCAAAAGAAGCTAAAAGAAGCTCCAAAAAAAGAAGATAAAATCGTGGTTGTGGGACCAGGCCTTCGGGCAATCAGGTTTAAGAACAATGGATAATATTTGACTATGGCTTGGAAGTGGATTTGGATAAGTGAAGCCAAGTAATCATTAGTATATGGCTAAATAAGTAGCCACTAGACTAGCAATAGCTAAATGGATCGTTAAGTATTATTTTTTTTAATGTTCATGGTTTTAATTGTTATTTTTACTATTTGTATTTTATGAAGCGACATTGAATTGTTCCCAATTGTAAGCTGCCCTGAGTCCCCCTAGGGTTGAGAAGGGCAGGGTAAAAATGTTCAAAAATAAATAAATAAATAAAATGATGCTCTAAAAATGAGTCCTGCCATTTGGTGTAATCATTCAGTAAGTAGTATTTTTCCCAAGGAAAATCCATCGCTGAAAAGTCATGTGGTTGCTCTGTCTTGGTCATAACAGAGTTTTCTGAAGAAGCGTTCTTCACAGGAAGCTGAAATTTTGCGACAACTGTATGCAGCATCTTTTCCAGAACTGTATCGATTTAGCATCCAGACATTGGAGTACAAGATAGAGATGCTGGAGGCCTTTGTGATAATGCAGAGCATTAATATGCTACAGGGCCTTATCCCTTGTAAGGTAAATCATGTTTGATTTTGAAATTTTGTTTTGTAAAACGTGTTTGTTATAGACAATACCAAAGTAATGTTTTTTTTTCTAGATGTGTAAGAGTAAAATGTGGAAATATGTCTTTCGGGATTCTCAGATCAGGGATAAAATACATGCTTTGCACGCAGAAAGTCCCAAGTTGAGTCCTTGGTATATCCAATGAATAGGTTATCACCTTGGTCGAAATCTAATTGCCTAATAACCAAGGAGTAAACCTAATTGTTAGTCACAATTAGAGCAGATACATTGAATAAATTCCTTAATTGTAAGTCACTATTTATGTCATTTACTAATTTATGTCATTTACTAATTATAATCACTCTGAAAGCATAATGTATGAAAATGAGTAAGTTTGTGATTAAAAGAATAGGGAGATACCATTTTATTACAAAATGCTATGCAATTAGAATGATTGGAGCATTTTTTTTTGTTCTGGTATGGCAAACATTCCTCTAATGCCTGGCAGTGCAAGTTTTAAACATATGAAGGGCATAATGCAAATCAATCAATCAATCAATCAATTAATGTTAATCAGTAAGGTGCCTGAAACCTCTGTGCTTTAACTGCAGCAGATTAACTTCTCTTCTGGAAATATGTCCCTGTCTTACATAGAAATACATTTTAAGGCCAATTTTGAAATTCATGAATTTTCAAATTATAGATTTTTTCCTTGATATTTAAAATATTCCTGCAAACTTGAATTCTGCAACAAACATTCAATGAAAGGCAACATGTATCTGTTTCATGCTGGTAGAATCAATCAAGATTATACAAAGTTCTATGTTATGTTTCAAGTAAGCTGTTGATACTGTCTAGTACTGAAATTTGCAGCTTTCAAATACCTATAAATGCGGATTACTATATTTCTTACACTGTTAACATCTAATACATAGGAGTATGAAGATGGAAGGCACAAGTAATGGAAGACAAACTAAGCACACACCAATCTCAAGTGTCTGATATTTCATTAAACTCAATATAGATTTCTTTTCCAGAGGTCTTTGAAATAAAAGTGAAAAACAAGTCAATCTATCTAAAGAGTATCACCTGTCAAATTATGGCCATTTTATATCAGATATTGTCAAACTACAATGGTTCCAAAAGCTATTGTTAAAACGTGTCTAATATTCACTTTCTATGTCAGATATTGTTAAATAGTGATTTGTCCTGCATGTCAATATATTGTCAAATGCTCCTTTTGTCCATGTATTATCCTAAGAATATTTTGTTTCTTTATTAATTTGTTTTGATATATAAACCATACAGCTCTGATTGCCTGAAGATATTTTTTTTTATCTTCAAAATGTTTCTGAGCTCTTGATAGTTAAATGACAAGTAATGTTATATTGCTCCTTAGGAGCAGGGAGGAGAAATAACAGCAGAATTCCTGGAACGACTGTACATCTTTTCTCTGATGTGGAGTGTTGGAGCGCTGTTGGAATTGGAAGACCGTCGCAAGATGGAGCGCTGGCTTCGTGGGCATGAAACAATAAGACTTGACCTTCCTAATATCCCTGAAACAAGTGAAGACACTATGTTTGACTACTATGTTACAAATGATGGTTAGTGAACTAAAGAGGAGTAGTTTGTTGTTGTTGTTCATTCGTTCAGTCGTTTCCGACTTCGTGACTTCATGGACCAGCCCATGCCAGAGCTCCCTGTCGGTCATCACCACCCCCAGCTCCTTCAAGGTCCATCCAGTCACTTCAAGGATACCATCCATCCATCTTGCCCTTTGTTGGACCCTCTTCCTTTTTACTTCCATTTTCCCCAGCATGATTGTCTTCTCTAAGCCTTCCTTTCTTCTCATGATGTGGCCAAAGTACTTAATCTTGGCCTCTACTATTCTTCCCTCCAATGAGCAGTCAGGCTTTATTTCTTGAAGTATGGACTGGTTGGATCTTCTCGCTGTCCAAGGCACAAGAAGAGTAGTATGTATTATTAAATACCATCCTCAAAAAGATTAATATGTGTAGAAGATACATGAAGATGATTCTTCTTGATCTCCTTGTTGTTTAGTAGCTAAATTAGATACAAGATACTTTCAAAGGATTTTTTCATCATGTCATGAGGACAATGAGTGTTTGGTAGCTGAGAATTTCATATTCTCCCTATATTAATTTTTATTGTATATACATCAAAGATAAAATAAAAAGAAGGTAATAGTAAAAAGATGCATAAAATTAGAAGTACACCGAAAGTGGGAGAACAATTGATATCTAGAAAAAGTAAGAAAGAAAGAGAAAAAAGAAAAAGAAAAAAAAGGATCCATTGACTTCCATCCTGCGCTTTCGCTCATCATTCCTTTTAAAGGTAGTTATATTCATCTTCGTATCTGCATTGTTAATATACATTTCTTACTCCATAAATTCATTTACCATATATTTGTAGGAGGGAGGGGAAGAAAAATTACATATGTTAACATAAATCTTTCATATTCTAATTAAATAATTAGTTGCTTTAATTTAGTTTCACTATCACTTGTGAGTAGTTAGTTATGCCTAGGCAGAGGAAAAAAAAAGATTTAACTTGACTCTATTGAAGTTGTGGAGTCTTGTTCTGCATTTGTGGATTTAAATACATTTGCTTGTTCTTTTCGGTAGGGAAATGGATGCATTGGAATACTTGTGTTGAAGAATATGTCTATCCTAGCAACAGTACTCCAGAGTATGGCTCTATCTTGGTGCCAAATGTTGACAATGTGAGAACGGACTTCCTTATCCAGACTATTTCAAAGCAAGGGAAGGTAATGTTTTACTGTTTTATATGGGAATGCCACTAATACCTCTTGTTTGTGACACAAAAAGAGCAATATTTTGGCAAAAAGAATCACTGTTAGGAGAGCTGGAAGTCAATATATATTCTATTCTATTTGTTCTATGAGGATTGAATGAAAAGTAATGCCTCCACCTTTATAAATTCTCAACAGATAGCAGTACTGGTATACGGCATGTACTGGCTTGTTCAATAGACTCTCCTCTACAGTTCCATTTTGGTGGGAAGCCTTAGCATTGAATGGTTGTGTTGTTAAAGTGCAAAGTATGGAACCCTGCACAGACGGTCAGTCAATGCGACGTAAGCAATGTGCAGTCATTGAATTCTTGACAGCAGAAGGTGTCACCCCAAAGGAGATTCATCAGAGAATGCAAGCTGTTTATGGTGATTGTGTTGATGTGAGTACTGTGTGTCATTGGGCAAGTAAGTTTAAAGATGTTGAGGTGGGAATATCTGACTTGCATGACAAAGAGTTGGATGTCCTGTGACAGCAACCACCGAGTTTCACAAGCAAAAGGTTGACAGATTGATTCAGGATGATCGTCGTATCACTCTGAGAGAAATTTCAAGCATAATCGGCATTTCACAAGAGCGTATGGGTCACATTATTGCTTTGTTTGGCTATCGGAAGATCTGTGCACGATGGGTTGCAGAAACAGAGTGTTGACTTCTTTCATGACGGCTTCAGAAAACTTGTTCATTGTTTGCAGAAATGTATCCAATTGTCTGGGGATTATGTGGAAAAGTGAATAGTGGTAGTTAAAGAGCACATTCTAAGGATTATTTCTGTGTTTGATTTATTAAAATATTCCCATCCAAACCCAAGTGACGAAGGTGGAGGTATTACTTTTCATTCAACCCTCATATTTTCCTTTGGAATTCTTTCATACTTTTCTGTATTTTTTATTTTATTGTGATATTGTTGTTATAAATATAATAAAAACTAGTGCCTTACCAATGTACTACTTTAAAGGCCTAGTGAGAGGAGAAAAGTTCAGGATAACAAGGTCTCCTGAGATCAACTCTAATTAGGAATGGATCAGAATAAGTTTAACCTGGGAAAGAAAAGACTGAAGGGAGGGCTGAATTGTCTTCACAGTCTGTGTGGCTGTTTAACAGACAATGACACAAGATATTCTCTGATGCGCCAGTGGGCAGGACTTGAATCAAGAGGTAGCTTTTGGATACATTTTGAGAAGAAGGTTCCTAACAGTAAAGGCTGTCAAACCAACCTCGTCTGGGTTGAAGAGGAGCAAACACCCAAATTAAATGAACTTTTTTTTAGAGGGCTTTTATATTTCACGTGAAAGTTTCACTTTTGTTTCTCCTAGAACATGGATAATTTTGAGAATTGAGGCTTTGCCAACATTTTTGGCTCTCATGTCCCCAAACTCATTTGAATTCTATTCTCATCTTCAGGCAGTGCTGCTAATTGGTGAACAAGGGACTGCTAAAACTGTCATCATCAAAGGGTACATGTCAAAATATAATCCTGAAAGCCACATGGCTAAGAGTCTAAACTTTTCATCAGCAACTACTCCTCTTATGTTTCAGGTAACTACTTAGAATTATCTTTCTCTAAAATGAAAGCAAGGTTAGCCCTTTTATGGTTTACTGGAAGAAACTACTTGGGCCCTGAGTATTGATGGTGTTTTATTCCAAGAATTCCAGTGGATACCAAAATCAATGGATGCCCAAACCCCATTCTATATAATGACATAAAATTGTGTCCATAATATCAAAGAGCATAAGGTCTGCCTTTTGGAATGTCAAAGGTGGGAGGTATTTTTGAGCTATGGATGATTGAATCTGTGGATACAGAAGCAAAAACATTTTTAATGGTGAAAGTTTTGTTATCTTTTTCCTTTTGGCTTTAATGACAAAATGGCTATTTTTCTGGGATTGCTATCACTTTCTGGTTCATATCATTTTAAAACAGAGAAATCAAATCAAATCAAATCATTTATTTCGGTCATTGACCAGCACAGGAAATAGTCACATTTTCATACAAACTTGGTATGTTTGGTACATTAAAAATATAAATATAACTACTGAAGCACAATATGGGTGAGGGAGCAGAAGGGAAGGGGAAACAGGGTAAAAACATACAATGCCCAGATCCATCACCAAATTGTAGATTCAGAGAAGAAGATTACTGGACACACAGTTAACTTTTGGGACTAGTCATTCCCTGACGGATTTTGTATGCTGCTGCACAGAACTTTGCAACATTGTAGGTTGTAGCTGAATTAATATCTGCAAGTAGCATGGAGGTATAAAATTGTCCTGAATGGCCTGGGTGCTTGTATAACAGAGGTAAGATAAGCCTGGCACGGATATCCCTGTAGAACGGGCACTGGAGGAGCACATGTTCTATTGTTTCTACATGACCCAAGTCACAGGGGCATAGTCTCTCTGGGAAAGGGATCTTCCGGTAGCGGCCTTTGAGTACAGCTGATGGGAGAGCGTGGCATCGAGCCAGGGTGAAAGCCCTTCGATGAATGGGAACCTTTAAGTTTGTTAAATATGCCATAGGGGAGGCAAGATATCTGCTGTCTTCATTGATAAGGAAGGTTGGAACCAAGGCCAGATCTAGTTGTCGCTCTGTGTCTGTGATACATTGTTTAATAAGTGCTTTGGCTTGATTGTAATCCATAGCGAGTAGTAGACCTGGAGAAAATCCCAATGAGAAGATTTTTGATGCTACCGCCTGCTTCCATGTGGATTGGAAGTCATCCTTCATAGTTAGTGGGGCAAGACCAAAGGGTGCACGGAACAGAGAAATCGTCATTCTTAAATCTCTTCCAAATCTCCTGCTGTTGCTGTTTTTTTAAGGACAGAATAACATCATTTTCTTGGAATACATGTCAGCCTCAACAGAACAAAATATCATTAAGTTCTCATTAAGAATATATGGAATAATAAGTAAGGAAGTATATTAGAGCCATAAAAACAAGACTAATTGTGGAAACCCCAAACTGAACATATGCACATGCAGCACTGTCCACTTCTTTCTCTTTAAATTATATACTTGTCCTAAATCCAACTGCTGGCCCAGCTAGATTATGTCCATTGAATCTGTAGGCTTTACATACCTGCTCATTTCCGGCTTATCAATTTGTTCATTGCAACTACTTTGTCTCACAAGACTATATAAAATGTGTAGATCTGATTTTGGAGATCTCATAGGGACATTGCTGATGTATCTTTAAACAAAAATGTTTTTCTTACAGCGCACAATAGAAAGCTATGTGGACAAGCGCATGGGCACAACTTACGGTCCTCCTGCAGGAAAAAAAATGACAGTTTTCATTGATGATGTGAATATGCCTGTAATCAATGAATGGGGAGACCAGGTCAGATAACTGAATAAGCTGTGTGTTTTGTTGTATAATAACTTTATTTTTACATTAGAATAATTGCAAGATGATTCTTTCAATGAGATTTTTGTTTAAATTGGGAATATTTCAAATAAATGTTTCTGCTTCTAAGCTAGAGCAGAATGTTGTCTGAATTGGTTTTGATAGCAACCTTCCTAGATTGGCTCTAGCAATTTTACAATGACAAAGAGAGAAAGATAGAATAGCATGATACATTAAAATATTAAGGAGTTATGAGATAGTAGATTGTCTAAAAATGCTATATACTGATTTGTACATGCTATCCTAAGTGCCTACTGTGGTATTACATAGTCAGATACAGGAATAATAAATATGCAATCTATGCAAGTATGCTTTTCTCAGAAACTTTGCAAATCCAATGTTAACTGGAAAAATAATTTCAACCTTATGTATCTGTGTTTCTGTTCTTTGGAAATATAACTCCATCTGTAATTTGAGTAAAATTTGAAATTGAAAAGTGCATCAGTATACTGAATAATAGTGATTGCAGAGAATTTGATTAAGCCAAAAGAAAAATGTATCTAGAAGAACTATGATAGTTACATGTTGATGGTCAAATCTGTAACTAAGTAAATATTGTCAATAAAAATAGATATTGTAAGATTTTTTTTATTAAGAGTGGAAAATAACTAATTTTAACCAAGTAGGATAACAAGTATTTTGTCAAAGTGATATTACTTTGTGATAAAGAAATCCCCTCACAGTTCAATCTTAGATTGTTTCCCCCAAGCTTTGAGAAAGGCCTTTGTACAGAGTGTAATTTTAAATTTAATGAGAAGAAAGTAAAAGGTTACCGCATGAAGCAGGAACCCATGGTAAGAAAATACATACACCAAATCCATTTAGTTGTTTCCTACAGATAACCCAAAAATCTTCTTTTACAGGTCACCAATGAAATAGTTAGACAGCTGATGGAGCAAAATGGATTTTATAACCTTGAGAAGCCTGGAGAATTCACCAACATCATAGATATCCAATTCCTGGCTGCCATGATCCACCCTGGTGGTGGGCGCAATGACATCCCTCAGAGATTGAAGAGGCAATTTTCTGTATTTAATTGTACCCTGCCTTCTAATTCATCCATTGACAAGATTTTTGGTAAAGCGCAACCCATTTTAGTTTTGTCAATTATGTAGGCTCCCTAGAGCTTTTTTTTTTTCATTTAGACAAATAATCCTTTTTATCTGGAAAGTGAATGTTACCTATAGCAGGTTGTCAAAGTAGGTAGAGCCTTTGAGAAGCATTCAGTTTGCATAGAATATTGTTTTTGTTCTTTCTACAATTAATCAACATTGTGGCTGTATGTTATGCTATTATTTGGATTCTATACATTGATAGCAAAGGTCTAGTTTTGAGAAGCATAGATCTTTCACACTATCAAACTTGATTTTTCCAGGTGTGATTGGCATAGGACATTATTGTAGCCAACGGGGCTTTGTCGAAGAGGTGAGAACAACTGTTGCTAAGCTGGTACCTCTGACACGGCGCCTTTGGCAAATGACCAAAAACAAGATGCTCCCAACTCCAGCCAAATTCCATTATGTTTTCAACCTCAGAGACCTTTCCAGGATTTGGCAAGGAATGCTTAACACCATCTCAGAAGTAATCAATGAATCAAATGTAAGTAGCATATCTAGTATCGTCATTTATTAACTCCTGCTATCACAACCTTTGTATTTTTTTTCACTTTGTATGTATGTGGGAGATCTGTACTTGAGATTACAATGAAAGGGAAATTAATGCATAATTCATTGCTTTGTGCATAGTGGATAAGATTGACAAGTAATTAAATAAAATTATAGGACCGTATAGGTGAAAACATTGATCCAAAATATTAGTGGGAGAAAATCCAACATGGGAACGTGAAAGGTTCAGGGTCAAAGCATTCGGCAGGAAAAGGGCTGAACATTTTTATTTCCCCAATAGGAATCAGTCCTCTCCTTGAAAAGATAAAGTAACATTACAATAGAAGTATTCATTTTAAATAGCAGCTATAGTCTAATATGAGCACAGAAAAAGACACGTGTAGAGTTATGAGGCTGTCCTTATGGTAGGCATGTGTTGTTATGTCCTTTTAGCAGTTTACAATTGTCAGTTGCTCCATATAACCAGGGAACTAATAAGTAATATAGAAGATCCTAAGACAAAAACATGTGTGAAATATGAAGTTGTGGAGTGATCAATGTCTACAGACACTGTAGTTTTCTCACTTGCCACAACACTGTATTGGATCATATCCAACAACCTTTAAAAGATGCATTGTGAGAAGGAATGATTTTGAAGCTGGAAATTCCTCACCTGTGGTGAAAAGCTACATCCAATTTTCTTTCTGCTTTCTTCTGAACAGGTGCTCATAAAACTATGGAAGCATGAATGTAAGCGTGTTATCGCTGATCGTTTCACAATTCCAGAAGATGTGGCTTGGTTTGATGTGGCATTGGCAAAACTGATTGAAGAGGAATTCGGTGCTGATAAAAAGGCACTCGTACATCCCAATATTGATGCATATTTTGTGGACTTCTTAAGAGATGCACCTGAAGCAACAGGTAGGGAGCTAAATTGAAAGGCAACTCTCTGACATAACCAATGTTAGAATATGAAATAGTGTTGGATTGGTGGATTTGATAAAATAAGTATGGAAGGACTGGGTAGACCGGAGATGTGGACACAGGTAATATCCCAGGGCCATTCTGACTTGGTGGTTTTTGGAGTTATAGGGAAAAAGTAACTTTTCTGAGGTCTAATCCAACTTAGGGTACCAAAAAGATAAGAAGTTCAATGTCAGGGGTGATAACTGGGAAAAATGGCAGCTCAAAATATTAAAAGGACAAAAGAAATAATGATAAATGCTTAGAGCATACATTTATATAAGTTTCTTGGTGACCTTTGGCAGCAACTTTCCCCCGAGGGGTGAGAAGAGTGGTATAGAAATGCAATAAATAAATAAATAAATAAATAATGCTAGTAACCTTACAAAAGTTACAGTACATAGGAGAACGGAGATAAGCATATGTCAGGTACTGTCTTACCTGCTACTTGGAGCCCCAGGTGACACAGTGGGTTAAACCCCTGTGCCAGCAGGACTGAAGACCGACAGGTCGCAAGTTCGAATCCGGGGAGAGGTGGATGAGCTCTTTCTATTGGCTCCAGCTCCTCATGCGGGGACATTAGAGAAGCCTCCCACAAGGATGATAAAAACATCAAATCATCCGGGCGTCCCCTGGGCAACGTCATTGCAGACAGCCAATTCTCTCATACCAGAAGCGACTTGCAGTTTCTCAAGTTGCTCCTGACATGATAAAAAAACCCTGTTGCTTGACAGATTACAATAGATTTCGAACTAATGACATGAAAAATGCTCACAGATACACAGAGAGAAGAAAATGTGATAGTCATTAGCCACCCTTTTCCTGAAAAAAGACACATTTTATTTCAAACTAGGTCTGGAGAAAGAAAAACCTCTAAAAGGTAAGTTGTAGATGCTTGAAGCAACTAGAATGTTTAGATTTGTCCTTTCTAAAGGACATGAGTTCTGCACTTGGCATGTTTAGTTCCATAGGAATCAATGCATCTAAGCATGGCTCACTGTTCACAATATGGTGGCCTTGTTTTTTTTTAAAACTATAATTCTTATTTTAAAATATCCGTAGTTTAACAGAAATAGTTTAAGCTCATAGCATGTTTGGTTCCGATACCACTGTCTTCTTGATTGCTGATGGCACAGACCAATAATACTGCAAATTAAGCATCAGTACACGGTGCAGCCATTGTTAATAAACTTTCTCCACCCAGGAAAAGTTTTACTGTAACAAAAAATTAATGCTTGCAGTATTTGAAGTACTATCTGAGTGGCACTGCAAAGGAGACTTTCCTATATATGTGAGGGAAAATAATAATTCTGCTTAGATTTGCAGTATTTAAAATTTTCAGCTTTTTTAAAAAAAATAGCATGAAGTGCTTGATTCAATTATTGACATGAACCTAAACTGTACAACTAACAGTAGTGCTAGCATTTTGGCATGTTTATAAAAGCTATTAATTGTAGTTTATTGCTTCTGATAGTTTTTATATAATATATATATAATATATAATATAATATCTATATGCTGAAAAGGGCATGCTTTAACAAAACATAGTGTATAATGAGATGTCTACATTTCTTGCAAGGATGACCTGTCTTCTACTTGCAAAATACTTAAGAAAGCGGCTTTATTTTTTCCCCCTGCACTTCTGGTGTTGCTCTGCACTGTTCATTAGCTCATTCCATAAATCCTGACAGGTTGACATTTCAGTGTTGCAAAAGTGAGGACCAAATGAAGTGGAAGTGAACACACTAACTCTTCCATCTAGAAGGGAACTGCAGGCACATAATGTGAATATACAAGTTTGACCTGAAGGCTTCCCGGATAGCATGGTTGTTTTTGTTAATGCAGAAACATTTGCTAAGCTTCTGCAATCATAACATCTATGTGATCAGGACATAGCGTTGTGTCTGCTTTCCTAAAAATTCAACATCCACTCAGTGTAATGTAATAATTTGCATGCAGATTTACATTATGCTGAACCATATGTCTGTTCTCTGATTTACTTTAAAGTCTTGAAGCTGCCTTGCAGAGCAATGTTTGCTTTGCAGCAAGCAGGAGGTTTTGGAGAAGCATCTGGTTATACCTCCCATGGCCGGACAATGATTACACAGCCAAACAAATAAAAATCTTGGTGTCTTGTTTTTAGACCTGTTCCTTGGGTTGTTTGTGGTGCTGATTCAGAAAATTGCACTGGATAGATCACATCAGTTCTAGCTTCATAGATATGGTTGTCATGGTTTTTCGTGGGAGAAAGGATGATGACTGGTAGACTATGTATCTCAAAAACCAGAACATATAGGGCAGTGGTTCTCAACCTGTAAGTCCCCAGGTGTTTTGGCCTACAACTCCTGGAAAATCCCAGCCTGTTTACCAGCTTTTAGGATTTCTGGGAGTTGAAGGCCAAAACATCTGGGGACCCACAGGTTGAGAACCACTGATATAGGGGGAAACTGGTGCCATTTTTGGAATCAGTAGATCTTACTTACTTACTTAGGTGATCCCTCGTTGGCTGAGTAGGATAGTCTTCCAGGATCAGAATTCTTGTGAGTCTGTAGGTGGCTGTGGAGCCCTATTTTTGATCTGCATCTTCTTCCGCAGTGAGGGCATTGGTTTCCAGGTGGAAGGTGGTCCCAGTCGGGGTTGGCTTGACGCGCCTTCCTCTTGGCACATTTCTCTCTTTCACCCTCCATTCGTGCCTCTTCAAATTCTGCAGCACTGCTGGTCACAGCTGACCTCCAGCTGGTGCGGTCAAGGGCCAGGGCTTCCCAGTTCTCAGTGTCTATGCCAGAGTTTTTAAGGTTGGCTTTGAGCCCATCTTTTAATCTTTTTTCCTGTCCAGCAACATTCCGTTTTCCGTTCTTGAGTTCGGAGTAGAGCAACTGCTTTGGGAAACGGTGCTCGGGCATCCGGACAACGTGGCCGGTCCAGCGGAGTTTATGGCGGAAGACCATCACTTCAATGCTGGTGGTCTTTGCTTTTTCCAGCACGCTGACATTTGTCCGCCTGTCTTCCCAAGAGATTTGCAGGATTTTCTGGACGCAGCGCTGATGGAATCATTCCAGGAGTTGCATGTGACGTCTGTAGACAGTCCACGTTTTGCAGGCATATAGCAGGGTTGGGAGGACAATAGCTTTATAAACAAGCACCTTGGTATCCCTATGGATGTCCCGGTCCTCAAACACTCTCTGCTTCATTCGGAAAAATGCTGCGCTCGCAGAGCTCAGGCGGTGTTGTATTTCGGTGTCAATGTTGACTTTGGTAGGGAGGTGGCTGCCAAGGTAGCAGAAATTGTCAACATTTTCTAATGTTACACCATTAAGCTGTATCTCATTGGAAAGGGGTTGGCTGGTGACTGCTGGAACAGCACTTTGGTTTTCTCGATGTTCAATGACAGGCCGATCAGTAGATCGGTAGATCAGATATACACAGAAACAGGGCTAAAAGACACCAAAATGTGTTTTGGCCAGTGCTATAGAAAGGGTCTTCTATGGGACTGTAGTTTTTCTGTAAACACCATGTATCTGGCAAGTTAAGGGAAAGATGTCAGATATTTTTGTGATCATTTTTACTTGCCATGAAAAACAGAGTGGCCGTGCAAGGTGGCTATGGGGTCTTTAAAGTAAGTCAGAACGGAGGCTTACTTTAGGACAAGAGAGGACAAGAATACCAATCCACCAGTGCCCCAAAAAAGGACATCTACATGTGTGAGTCACATTTATGGATGCAGATGTCTCTATCTAAATCCTGCCTATCGTTGATATTTCTTAAACTCCCCAAGAAGCCTTGCTTTATACTCTTCCTACTCTAACACCAATGTACCTTAAAGTTTGTCTTTTCTCTCAGAGATATAAAGTAAACGAATGGAGGTGGAGGGGTGGGGGGAGTAGAAACTAAATATATTCCAGTATTTCTGATAGGTATCTTCCCAGAAAGTTCCTGAATTTACAAGTGTCTCTGCACCCATAAAGGTACAAAATTAACTTGGCATTGATTCCACTTTTACCATTTTCTAAGAAGAAATATATGTGAGTGAATGCATGATAATCATGAACTAGTGTATGTATAAAATATTTTATAGTCAAGATGGGCATAAGGTTAGGTTTTCATCTGATACTGTCAACAGAATGCCAAATTGGAGAAGGAATTCAAATTCATTCAAATCACTGTTCAGTCACAGCTCACTGGGTGGCCTAAAAGAGATTCAGAAAACAGCTTATTCTTAAGCAAGTTGCAGTGAAAGCATGTTTTACAGTAAAATAAGAAGTATTTTATCACATGGTCTCCAAAAATCTTGCTATCCCTTTGAAGATCATCTCAATCTTCTTTTATGGTGCCCTCCTTCCTTTAGCAGCTTGAAAATGTGTAAAACAGCATATTTTGTAACCATTAAGACCAAACAATTAATTGAAAATCTATCAAAAAGAACACATATTGATCTTCATGGGTTGCAAAGGTATGAACAGCTAGGGAAAAGATGGAACAGATTTTTTTTCACTTTGCCCTCTTTGCTTTGTTCTTTTTTCTCTCAGGTATTCAATTCCCTCTCTACAGATTGTGTTGAGTTACGCACACAGGCCAACACTTACTATAGCCAAAATAATTTAAAATTGTATTTATTTTTGAGACATACTGTGTTTCCCGGAAAATAAGATACTATCTTATATTTATTTTTCCTCAAGAAGACACACTATAGCTTATTTTCAGGGGATGTCTTATTTTTATTAAGTATGGTACAACAATCTGCATTTATTGAAATATTGTGCTGGGTAAAGCAGCAGCCACAGCTTTACTTCTTCCCCCTGAGGACACACAATATCTAAAGCAGAGCGTCCTATCAACTTGTTGGTCTAGTTCAGTGGTTCTCAACCTGTGGGTCCCCAGGTGTTTTGGCCTACAACTCCCAGAAATCCCAGCCAGTTTACCAATGGTTAGGTTTTCTGGGAGTTGAAGGCCAAAACATCTGGGAACCCACAGGTTGAGAACCATTGGTCTAGTTCTTGTTGTGTGCCTTCAAGTCATTTCTGATTTATGATAAGTCTAATGTGAACTTACCATGGGGTTTTCTGATGCTGAGAATGTGTGACATGCCCAGAGTCAGTGACTTCCCAAAGTTGAGCAGGGATTCAAACCCTGTTCTCCAGAGTCACAGTATTCAAACCACTATACAATGCTGGCTCTCATTTGATCAGTATTGCTGTTTAGCAATAATATCAGTATTCATAGAATCATAGAATCATAGAATCAAAGAGTTGGAAGAGACCTCATGGGCCATCCAGTCCAACCCTCTGCCAAGAAGCAGGAATATTGCATTCAAAGCTCCCCTGACAGATGGCCATCCAGCCTCTGTTCAAAAGCTTCCAAAGAAGGAGCCTCCACCACCCTCCGGGGCAGAGAATTCCACTGCTGAATGGCTCTCACAGTCAGGAAGTTCTTCCTCATGTTCAGATGGAATCTCCTTTCTTGTAGTTTGAAGCCATTGTTCCGCGTCCTAGTCTCCAGGGAAGCAGAAAACAAGCTTGCTCCCTCCTCCCTATGGCTTCCTCTCACATATTTATACATGGCTATCATATCTCCTCTCATTCTTTCTATGAGAGCTAGTAGTACCGTTCTCAGTTCCCAAATGGAAGAGAAAACCCTACTATAGGGTGTACAAAATAGTCAAGATGGTCTCTAATTTGAGGCATTATTTATTTATTTATTTATTTCCAGGAGAGGAGCCAGAAGAAACAGAAGCTGACATGCCTAAAATATATGAACCCATTGAGTCCTTTGATCACTTGAAGGACCGTTTGAACATGTTCTTACAGATATATAATGAAAGCATCCGAGGAGCAGGAATGGACTTGGTATTTTTTGAAGATGCCATGATCCATTTAGTAAAGGTATTGGTTGCACATGATAATTACTTTAGTTTAGGAATTGAAAGGATTGGTACAAGCTTGCATCATCATAATCGTCATCGTCATCATCTGATTTCAAACATTTAAACTTTGACGTTACGACAAAGTCAAATCTTGGTAGATGAAGCATTGACTGGGATGCAATATCAAAAATTTCCAGAAGATGCTGCTAGTGTGCCAGTTCTTTGTAACCATATTTCTACACTGATATGGAGAATGTTACTATTGAGAACCAAAAAGTCAGTGTTTGGTGCACAAGGAACTAAAGAAAAAATACCTCTCTAATTTTCAGGAAACACTCCTTCCATCCACTTTACAGAAAGAGAGGAGGAGCTCTGGGCATGTGTCTCTCATGTGTTGGAATATAAAGGGAGCCTGTTTACCTGCAGCACATCCTGGACATCATGGCAGGGCCAATATGAGCTATGCATGAGATACATACATGAGCCAGTATTTCAGCATTGGGTTTATTCATAAAGGTGCTATAATTAAAATAAGTATGCAAAGAGGACATTAGAGATGAAAAATGATGTTAGCTTAAGATTTCATAGACTATCTGAGGAAGTAGATTTAATCTAGGAAAGCTTATGCTACCAAATTCCTTCTCTAAGGGCTCATCTACATGAACCACACAATATGAGTCTGGACTGGAATTACCTCCCCCCCTTCCCATGTTGTGTCAGTAATTTTGCTGATGTCTCTTCTGAGGACAGCCCACATAAGCTTCATCCCCTTTTCCTTGTCCCATGAAGCGGAGGGAAAAGGGAATGGTGACAGTGGCCCATGTGGACACTACAGGTTCAACTAGTTGTCCGCATCACCTGCCCAAGGAAACTTCGGATCTTACTGTGAATTTTATTAATGTGGGGCAAAACCTGGTGAACTGGTTTGTACTCTGCATTTCAGGCTGGAAGTTCCTGGATATAATCTGTCCCATTTTAGGGTTTCTGCCCAGTGTAGACAGCCCTGAGTTTCTAATGTACTATAAGATCACTTTGCATACTGATATTCCAGACTAACGTGACAATGGCTTTGAATAATTAAATAAGTATTTAAATATTGATTTTGTCTTTTAAAAAATAATGCAGGGTGAATGTACTGGGGAAAGGGAACAAATTAATGACATGGATTGAAAATAGATGAATATACCCATTCCTATTAGATGTTTGTTGCCATGGCACTACCTCTCTGCACTGGCAGGATTGAATGCTCCTGTGAGGATAAAAACTGTGTTGATGGCAGGAGTGCTGCATGTAGGGTCTCTAAAGTTAAAGAGGCTTTTGCTTAGGAGGCCAGACTGGACTGAATGTGCCAAATAGCTACTGGGATGCAGCAATAGCGGTGTATGTGTTTGACACTAGCAGACTATTTCACTGCGATGACAGCAGTGGTATCACATCTAACAGTTGTTAATACTGTACATAATAAACGCCATGAAAACCCTGTGTTGAGACAATCTAAAATAAAACAAGATGAAATTCCCAGGTCAATGGCACTCAATGAGCTACTGGGATATAGTAGAGGACAATTATGAGTAATACTGTAGCTAATGACACAGCTCAAATCAAACAGAAATAATGTTTATTTATTGATGTTCTCAGAAGCCAAAGGAAGCTCTAAGGCAGCACAAACAATATTATAGGGACATGGAATGTGAGAAGCATGAATCAGGGAAAACTAGACATAGTAAAACAAGGAATTAAATGTATAAATATTGCAATGCTTATGATGAAGGAGCCAAAGTAGACAAGGATAGAATATTTTGTCAGATAATTATACACTGTTTTACTCAGGAAATAAAAATCTAAGAAGAAATGGGGTGGCGTTAATAGTGAGGAGAGATGCAGCAAAAGCAGTGAAGGCATATAACATGAAGTTTGATCATATAATATAAGTAACACCTTAGGAGAAACTAATCAATATAACTATATGTTCATGTTCCAATTATACAAGCAGCAGAAGAAGAAACTGAAAAAAAATCTATGCTGGGTTTTAGGAGGAAATTCATCTCGCACCATAACAGCTCATCTTGTTCATCATAGACAATTGGAATGCAAAAACAGGAATGTGAGCAGAATCAAAGTATGTAGGAAAATTTGACTCAGGATCAAGAATTGAAATAAGAGAGAGACTGGCCAAGAATTCTTGTGATGCCAAGAATGTGTTCACTGCAAACATTTTTAAAGCAATAAAAAAGGGAACTGTATACACGCAAGCAGCATTTTCCCCAGACATTTCACTGCTATTCCTAGGATATCCTGCTGTTTTCATTTATGCTGATAAATGTTGACTGAAAGCCCTATTAAACTGCACAATGATAGCAGTATTATTCCTTTTTATCTCCTATGACTACATTCCATGGAATACTCAGGATTGTAATCTGGTGAGGTATGAGAGCTTTTAAGTATTTCTCCCTACAGTGCAAACCCCAGGATGCCATAGGATGTTGCTGTGGTAGTCAAAGTGGAACCATACTTATCCTATATATTCATGTATAAGTTTAGAAAATTTAGTCAAAAAATCAACTAAAAAAACTGGTTGACTTTTCCACGAGTCAATATGTGTACTGTATTTCAACTCTTATTTAAAAAGGAATCATGCCCTTCTCTCAGTAGTGTGGTAAAAGGCAAGAACCTAAAAGAAGAAACAAGCTCCTCTATTTTCTCTGCATATCACTTCTGGATTTTTGAATGCCTGTGCAGGTAGATGGTAGCTAGGGGTGCTGGCCACTGACACATCATTGATGTCTTCTCTGCAGAATGACCCTCAACATATTCAGAGGTCATGCATAAATCCATATTTTTGTCCCCCAAACCTGCTCTTGGTTTATATATAAGATTGCCTTATACATGAGTATATATAGTATATCATTCTGTAGTTTTAAAGACTCCTATTTGCCAATAGTCATGCAAGATTCAATACCCATTCCTTAAAGTGTATGACCCTGGAACGTAAGGCAATATGCCAACTAGTCTTTTACTACACCCAGCCAAAGGTCTTCAGCCGCTCCTGAGTTTAAGTTTGCCTGAGTGATTCAAATGATTAGTCAGGGCAAGGCCTGTAGAACCAGAATGGTATTAACTGTCAAGGTCATTTGTAAGTGTTTGTTTATGTCTTAAAATACATTCTTAACAATAAATTTCTGTATTTTGTAGGTTTCTCGGGTAATCCGCACTCCACGTGGAAATGCCCTGCTTGTTGGAGTTGGTGGGTCTGGGAAGCAGAGCTTGACTAAATTGGCATCATTTATAGCTGGCTATGATATGTTCCAGATAACATTAACAAGGTTAGCTCTTGAATGTTTCCCCCTTAGACATTTGAGGGGAGAGCATTTTGTTCAAGCAGAATTTGTTATTCGTATTGTAAAGTTAAGTGAGGTCTTTTGCTTCAGATAAGTTGCCAGTGAAGAAAGAATGTACTGCTATATCACAGAAGTCTGCAGCTCTACAGGTCTTTTTGAATTGCACCTTCCATCTGCCTTAGTTAATATTTCCAGTGAGGCAAAGTGGTGAGAACTGCAATCCAACTACATGTAGATCAACATAATATCATGTGAACTTTTTATTTAAAGAACTAGCAATATTTTTATGGGAAAAAGAAATTTCCACCTTCTTTCAGCTCTTACCACAGATAGTTACAAATGGTGGTGTAGGCAGTGATTGTGTGACTTTTGTTGTCAAGTATCCCCAAAATGTCACAGGTAGTATAATATAAGAGATTTCTTAATCTCTAGTCTTCTTCCTTTTCTGGCTAAAAAGAACACTATAAGCCCCAAAGGGAACAAAAGAATATATATGAATAGCTTGTTCTTTAGGTATATGCAACTTTACAAATGACTCTACAAAAATTACTAGATTGTATGATGTTCAATCTCGATAAAATAGTGAAGAGTAGAGACATCACATTGGCAATGAAGATCCGCATCGTAAAAGCAATGGTATTCCCCGTAGTCACCTTTGGATGAGAGAGCTGGGGAAGGCTGAGTGAAGGAAGATAGATGCTTTTGAATTGTGGTGTTGGAGGAAAGTTCTGAGAGTGCCTTGGACCATGAGAAGATCCAACCAATCCATACTTCAGGAAATAAAGCTCGACTGCTCACTGGAGGGAAGGATATTAGAGGCAAATATCAAGTATTTTGGCCACATAATGAGAAGACAGGAAAGCTTAGAGAAGACAATGATGCTGGGGAAAATGGAAGGCAAAAGGAAGAGGGGCTGACTAAGGGCAAGATGGATGGATGGCATCCTTGAAGTGACCGGCTTGACCTTGAAGGAGCAGGGGGTGGTGATGGCCAGCAGGGAGCTCTGGGCTGGTTCATGAGGTCATGAAGAGTCGGAAGCAACTGAACGAATGAACAACAAATTATGATGTTCAGGTGCAAACCCTTCTCCTCTTGAAATAACACATGAACATTCGAATGAGAATGGAAGGAGTATGCCACAATTTTATTGGCAACAGATGTTGATAGGTTTGGCACTCACATGTCTTCAGATCCAGGCATCAGCTAGTTGATTGACAAGCCCAGTCATTCAACCCAATGCTGGAATCATTGGGATAACAGTTGTAAATGCACATGGGTAGATGCCTTGGCATGGTCTCCTTGCTATCCAGGGACCAGAAGAGCACCTATCCCAAGCTAGTCCTGCCCATTTCTGCCCCACAACTCCCAAATGCCTTTGGAGAACCACATTTCTTAATGATACCTGTGTGTAATGGCAATTGATGCCTGGATCCAGGATCTATGCCAATTGCCCAAAAATTGTAACAAGAAAGCAATACAAAGTATACATGCAACAGCTTAGATTACAAAAATCAAACAACATAAATGGAGGATGAGAGAGTGGGAAGATGCTTTAAATTAGTCTGTCTAGGAGTATGAGGAAACCCATCAAATAAACCCTACTGTCCAACTAGAGTGAAATCTAAATTTAGTCAATTTGGTCAGGCCCACCTGACTAGAGTGACTAAACCCATTGCCTGGCAGCCCCTGCCTATCCAGAGAACATACCAAGCCTTGCAAGCCTCTGAAAAGAACTTGTGAGCTGCCATGCTCCACTGAATCCCAAAGCAGCAAAATTGCAACACAGTAAACAATGTAGCATTCTCATTATTTTTACTACCCTGTCAGTCCAAATTTGGGGAATGACAACACAGTTTTTGAAATCCAGAAAGCTATCTAATCCCAAATATTTTTTTAATGGTAGGGAAAGAGGGGCTATCTATTTTGCAATTACAATGTGTAGTGAAGGCAGACTTGAACATTTGTTTCCATGTCTTTTATGTAGACAGAGGTTTCCCTTGTAGAGAGGAAACCGTGCATAAGAAGACCTCTGTTACAATGGTATATAGGAGTTTGTATTGTAATCTAATCCATGTAGCAATAATTTAAATTATGCCTACCGGTACTTCATTCTTATTTACATGAATGCATTACTTGTGGATTAGGTTATTTAAGTTGTTTTTCATTTGGGGACTTTTTGCAAAATATTGAGCTTACAATATATCTGTATAGAAAATTACATTGTGCTTAGTGTATTTTGTGAAAAAGATGCAAGCACAAATTTTTATATGAAAACTAGTTCTGTGCACAATTTGCTCTTGCCCATCGAACTCTAAGATTTGGACAGGATTATTGTGAGAATGTAAAGCCTCCACATGCCTATTAGACCCTTGCCTTTCTTGGTTTATTGAAAAGCCAGAGGGGGTTGGCTAATTGGTAGAGGGAATGGATAGTGCTTCATTAAAACAGGAGAGAGTTCCATCATGCCAAAAGGAGTTAGTTATCAGAACGCTGTTGAAAAGCTCTCCCTGGTTTTTATTACTACTGGCCAGTCTCTAGCATTCCATTTTTGGGCATGGTACTGGAATGTGTGGTGGCCATCTAGCTCCAGAGGTTTCTGGATGAGGTGAACTTTCTAGATCCATTTCATTCAGATTTCAAGCCTGTGTGACAGAGGAAGTTTTAATTAGTGAATGCTGGGAGTCTTCTGTTTGTTCCTTAGCTGGTAGTTTTTGGGGTTCCTCAGGGTTTGGTTTTAACTCCCATGTTATTCGTATCTACATGAAATGTTGGGTGATGTTTAGTGCCACCAGTAAGTGGGAGATGCCCAATACTTCTTTCCATTACAATCCAGAGAAACCATCTTGGTTCTACAATGATGCCCATCAGTGTTAATGGACTAACTGAAGGTAAACAAATTGATACTTGGAAAGACCCAAGATAATTCAGATAAGAAGGTGGTGTTCCTGGTCAATAAAAAGGCAGGTCAGGGAATAAAGATTCAGCAAGTGCTGGGTAGATTACCCTTCTCCCCTCTATAGCTTGGATTTAACCCTGAACATAGAAGCTTAGGCTTCACTGGTAGCCAGGAGTGCATTTTCATAGCATGCCCATTGAACCTACTTCCTGTTGTTTTAGATTTCTCTGCACTACATGGATTTATCTAGGAATAAGTCTGGCTGACCTTCATGGGATTTACTTCCAAAAGGATATGGATGAGATTGTGCTATATACCTTCAAAAGCAGTGACCAATAAACCAATAAAGAAAATGAAAAGGAGGGTCTGAGCAGATAAAACGGTTTTTATTTGAGGCATATTTTCTTCTTCCAACCTCTTTTTTATCCTTTCCTTAGGTCTTATAATACATCCAACCTGATGGAAGACCTGAAGCATCTCTATAGGACAGCTGGACAGCAAGGCAAAGGAATCAGTTTCATCTTTACAGACAATGAGATAAAAGATGAGGCTTTCTTGGAGTACATGAACAATGTCCTGTCGTCAGGAGAAGTAGGGTTATTTTCTTTTTTAAAAAACCTCCTCCTGGCTTTTAGTAATTTTCCTTTCTCCCTTGATGTCCAAACAGCAGTTAGAGGTCACCCACAAATGAACAATCCTCGATGATGATGGGATTAAGCATGCTTAAAATTAGGATGAGATATTTTAATGGTAGATCAATCTATTAATGTTCTATTCTCAAGAACATCCTTTATGAAATCCAACCCACTGAATACAATAGAAGTTATTTCTAAGTAAATGCGGAGGATCATGCTCTAATGCCTTGGCTGATTAATTGGTGAGATGGAATTTTAATAACTGAGAATAAACTTTCAATTGGCGCAGATTCTTATTAGAAGCACATTCATTTATTTAGTGAACATATGTTGGTTCTAGTGTGTTAAAATAATGAGGAATGAAAAGGAAAATTAAATACGATCTAACAACCAGCGCTTTATCTGCAAAGAATGCAGATAAAGTCTATTGAGTTTTTGGTAATACACAAATTAATTAACTGATCATATTAATCAGTCTTGTAAGAATTAGTCAATTAGTCAGTTCTATGTTCTTTTAATGAAAGGCTTTGCTGGAAATATTTTCACTTTTAAAAAAAATTCGTCTTAGGTTTCCAACTTGTTTGCTCGTGATGAAATAGATGAAATTACCAGTGATCTCATATCTGTTATGAAGAAGGAGCATCCACGGCGGCCTCCAACCAATGAAAATTTGTATGATTATTTCATGACCAGAGTGCGGCAAAACCTCCATGTTATTCTCTGCTTTTCACCTGTGGGTGAAAAATTCCGAAATCGAGCTTTGAAGTTCCCTGCCCTCATTTCTGGTTGTACTATAGATTGGTTCAGCCGTTGGCCTAAGGATGCCCTTGTTGCAGGTAAGCCTCCATTCTATTACAATAAAATGGAGAACAATTGATTTACCAGACACCATTCTTGCTATGATTATGGTAGATAGGGCTGATAGGGGCTATAGTCTAAAGTAGAAATGTCTCTAGTCCCTGGAGTAAAGAGTAATCATTATAGTGGCTTTAATATGACAAAAAGTCTGTAAGGAATCAAAATTGTGTTAAATTAATTGATTTTGCTGAAAACAAGGTTTTCAGTAGAAATCTCAGTGGAGTAGATACAGATTAACTTTTTTGAATACATGGAAGAAGGTGGCAGTATTCTTCTTACACACACACACACACAGAGAGATAAATACACCAAAACATTAGTGATGTCTAAAAGGTTCATTTTTAAAGCTTATTCGGTTCTGGAAAATGACTCAAGATTTACTTCAAATTCATTTACTAGAAAATTAGAGTATTCCATTTCAGAGATAACCTCTCAGATTTGGTGAATGCCATTTTAAATGCTACACATGATTCTAATCCCTGTGTAAAAATATTAGCAAAGGTGAGAACATCCGTAAAACCTATTTCACTGTTGAATATTTCCTTTAAAACAAATGACTTGATGTGAAATTTGCGAATACCTGAATTAAGTGATGCCCACTGACCTAGTCTCTTAGCAAAATAATTCTTAATCCCATCAAGACAGGAATACTAGCATAACTATTTGTTAATTACAAAAGGAGGATTACTCACCAGTGAAAAGAGATAACTGCTAAGCTGATTTTGCTTTTGGGGTGATAAGCAGAGCACTCTGTGCCACAAAGGTCCAAACAGAGAGCAAATCAAGTAGTTTAAATAATATAGATTGATTTTGTTTAGTAGTCCAGTAATTTATAGGAGTGTGGTGCTAATTTCATCCCACAGGTCCTGTGCAGACAATTACCTCAATTTTCTTACCATCATAGTCCTTTGCACTTTCTTTGGCTCTCCCACTTGTAATCCTGTTACTGTAAATGTCTTAACCTCCCAGCTGTGACCCAAACTGAATTGAATCGTATTTTGCACTTTTCTTGTGCCCTATTTAGGAACGATTGTACATTTCCTCATCCCTCCACACTCAGCACCTAATCTTTCAGCCATTATGCTGTTTTTAAATGTGCACTTGTGATTGTTGAGCTGATACTGTTGTTGATTTTGATTTTTTTCATTTCATTTCATTTTGTCTGTTTTACTGTAATTTTTGGGCTTGTCCCTCTGTAAGCTGACCCGGATCTCTTCGGGGAGATGGAGGTGGGGTATGAACTAAAGTTGTTGTTGTTGTTATTGTTATTAGTATTATTATTATTTGAAACACAACAAGATGAGTCCACAGCAGACAGGATCACTCTGCTGGCTGTTGTATTGGATCACACGTTGGACACTCCCCAAGTGTCTAGGACTGTGTGATGTATCGGCAAATAATGCATGCAGATCCCAGTGGTGATTTTGTCAGCGCTGATTGTGTTTAAGTGCAGGCCAAGGTCTTGAGGCACTGCACCCAGTGTGCCAATCACCACTGGGATCCTCTTGACTGGCTTGTGCCACAGTCTTTGCAGTTCGATCTTTAAATCCTCATATCGTATCAGCTTTTCCAGTTGCTTCTCTTTAATCCTGCTGTCACCTGGGATTGCAACATCAACATCCATATTATTATTATTATTATTATTATTATTATTATTATTATTATTTTCTCTAACAAAGCACCTGTCACCAGGTGCTTTGTTAGTTGCTTTCATGCACTACAGTGTAGTTTTTGGGCAAAAAATGTATACCCCCCCCCCCAAATTATGCAAACCTCTCTCACACATTCTTTTCTTTATTTGACATATTTCTCCCTTATCCATTAACCAAACATGCTTGCAGATGAATAGTATGGAAGTCCCTGCTTGTGCCTTAACAGTCTGGGTTTAGGATATATGATGCATAAAGAATGGGGAAGGACTGGGGATGAAATTCATGAGCGGGTTGAAAATAGTACAGGTAAGCTGCTCAAAGAGTTTCACCTTTGATGGTCAGCTTGAGGCAAGATGGGAGAGAAAAGATCCAAGACTGTGATCTAGGATGGCAGAAGCTAAAGTCAAGAGGTGTGTTAAAGTCTGACTAAATTAGTTAACAAGGGGAATCGCCTGTGTTTTTTTTTGTCTCTGCTATAATGTGTTCACTGAGTTATAATCACACAAAGACTTAGTTTGAAAGGACAATCTGGTTCAAGCCCCTACCAGTGTAGGAATCAACAGTTAAAGCACTTTGGAGAAGTGACTGTCACTTTGTTTGAAAAGTCCATCAACTTCTGAGACAGTGTGTTGCTTTGCCAAACAGTTCTTATTGTCAGAAAGTTCTCCTTTAAATCTATGGGTCTGGGTCTTATTGTTCAGAACAGCAGAAAGTAAACTTGCTCCATCTTGCTCATGACAGCCCTGATATTTAAAGATGGCTATTATACGTATCACCTCAGAGCCACCTTTCTTGAAGTTAAAATATACCTTCCCTCCCTCAATTGCTCTTCACAGGTCTTGGTTTCCAAATCTGTTACCATCGTGGTTTCCCTCTCCGAACACATTTCAACTTGTCGATATCCTTCTTAAATTGTGATGGCCAGATTGGGACACAGTGTTCCAGACCAGATCTGTCTGAAAGAGAATCAAATGGCACTATTACTTTCTTTGACCAGGACAGCACACTTCTGCTTGTGTTGGCCTTTTTTGCCATTGCATTAGATTGCTGATCTGTGGTTTTTGATATCCTCTACATCTTTTTCTCACGTGCTGACAGATTTTTGACACTCCATTTCTGTTTTTGCAACTGATTTTTTTATGATGCAATCAATTTTGTTATCCACATTTCCAGTTTGTTAAGATCACATGGAATCTTGATTCTGCCTTCTTTGGATCAGCAATCCTTCCTAATTTGTGTGATCTGCAAATCTGATATGCTTACGTACATGCCTTCTGTTACTTCCATAAAGTCATTTACAATGACGTTGAATGACACCAAGCCCAGGATAGAACCCTGTAGTACCCTGAATCTGGGATGACAATGAGGCAATGGCGATGTCAGCCAACTAGCTACAAATCCACCTAGCAGTAGATCATCTAGTCCAGGGCTCCTCAAACTAAGGCCCAAGGGCCAGATACGGCCCTCCAAGGTCATTTACCCGACCCTCCCTCAGGGTCAACCTAAGTCTGAAATGACTTGAAAGCACACAACAACAACAACAACAACAACAATTCTATCTCATCAGGCAGAAGCAGGCCCACACTTCCCATTGAAATACTAATAAGTTTATATGTGTTACAATTGTTCTTCATTTTAATTATTGTATTGTTTTCAAGTGTTTTTTGCACTACAAATAAGATATGTGCAGTGTGCATAGGAATTCATTCATTTTTATTTCACATTATAATCCGGCCCTCCAACAGTTTGAAGGACTGTGACCTGGCCCTCTGTTTAAAGAATTTGAGGACCCCTGATCTAGCCCATATTTTAGCAGTTTTTCTATGAGGATATTATAGAAGAACCATGTCATAGGCTTTCTAAAATCAAGATATATTACATCTACTAGTACACCCACAGTATTCCATTAATGAAGTAAGCTTGTAACCATATCAAAAGAAGAGATAGGATTTGTATGAAATGACTTGCATTTAAGAACCTTGTACTGGTTCTTAATAATGAGCAGTCTGATAGTTTATTTATAAGTACTGGTACTTTCAGGGATTAATATTAAACTGAGTGATTGCAGTTGTCTGGCTCTCCATTTTTGTGGATGGGAAAACATTTATCCTCCTCCAGATAACTTCATTTTCTTTATTCTGAAAGATTATAGATGAAAGTTTTAAGGTTACACCTTCAAATTACTTGGATTTGGTTCATTGTTACTGGGAACCTGAACATCTTTTAAAGAAGCTAGGTACTCTTTTATCTGTTTGGAATATTGGTTCCTCACTGCATTATTTCTTCCTTTTGATCACTGTTTTTCTTTTAAGAAGGCACAGAGTCAAGGTTGATGTTCCTCAGTTCTGCGTTGTCTATTTTTTGATATTTTACTATCTTTTACACACAACAGACTTATCATTTCCTTCTTCTTCCACTTGCTTCGAATACAGCTCAACTCTCTTTTTATCATTTTTAACCTCTTTTACAAACATAATCTCGTGCTAAACTTTAGTTCTCATTACTTTATTGAAAATATTGGTTATTTGAGCTCTTTCTTGCTTTTTGACCTATTTTCCTATTTCTGAAACAAATATGTTTTAAATGAGGTCACCCAGAAGTTCCCTATGAATCCACTTCAGTTTCCATCTCCTACTGTTCTTTCTCATTTTGAATTTTCTTGTGCTTTCAACTTCACTTTTAAGAAACCCCAATTCACCATGGCTTCCCAACTCTTTGGGTGTTTCTGACCATAGATTCCCACCCACTATTTCCTTAAGCTTATTGAAATGGGCTTTCTTACACTCCATTGTACATCTGATTTTACTTTGCTTACCCTTTCCTCCCTGTAATAAATCTCAGAAGTACATGGTGACTCCTCCACAAGATATTCACTATTTTCACATAACTGAGAATCAAGTCCAAAATTGTCAATCCCTTTGTCTTACTTTCCACTGTATGAAATTGAAAAGCAAACAATTTATTTCTTGGACTTTACTTCTTGGGAGAGAGTCTTCATGTTGTTGTTTTTGTTGTTGCATTCTTTCAAGTTGGTTCTGATTTATGATGACTCTCAGGTGAGCTTATCAAAGGGTAAAATAGACAAAAATTGTTCAAAGGGGGGTTGCCATGGCCTTCCTTTGAGGATGACGGAATGTGACTTGCCCAAGGTCACCCAGTGATTTTTTTTTGACTGAGCAAGGATTGGAACTCTGGTCTCCAGATCCTACTTCAACAATCTAACAAGTACAGCATACTAGCACTCTTGAAATATTTTGTTCCAATTTACCAATCAAAATCTCTCATTACTATATTTTTGTGTGTGTTGATATTTGATAATTTCATCCAGGTCTTCCATTAAGATTGTTTCTTATTGTTTCTTCTTTTTATCCATTGTCTGGCTCATTGAATATACCACTTGGGTTTCCCTGCTCTGCTGAGATAGTATTTTGCTTCCATGCAGGACTTAATTTAAAGCTCCCAATGAGTATTTTGAGACTTCTAGCAAATATGTTCTTTTTAACATCTCTGAGGTGCAATCCATGACTTTCCAGACATTGGAATACAAGAACCTATTTTTCCCTAGTGACGCATTTGGAGCAGCCAGTTGTTCAATTTCAGTGTTTTCTCTTGCTTCCAGGGCCATGAACTTCTATAGGAAGAACTGTTGAGAAAACAGTGTCCTAAGAGCCTTCCTCTTCCTATCTACATTCCTACAACCGTTTGCAGTATACTGAAGGTTCAATAATACCTGTTCTAGAGCTTGGTTATCATTTGTTCTCATTTATGTGAGAAGAAAAGGGTTATCTTCAGTGGACTTGATGAGTCTTGGCAGGCTCTCTCTCGCATGCCTTGGATTAACTTAAGATGTTTTGTCAGGTCTGCACGGTGACGTCCTCCTCAGTAGAATTAGCAAGACTTTGCCATTTGTGGCCTAAATGATGGATGAAAGAGGATTAGGTGGAAGATGCTGAAAATGTGTATTTTGTAACAAAACATTTTGATCTTTTGCTCAGATGAAATTAAAATCTTACTCTTTTCTTTTTCTTTTTTAGTGTCTGAACATTTCTTGTCATCCTACGAGGTTGATTGCACAGATGAAATAAAAAAAGAGATGGTGCAATGTATGGGTTCTTTCCAAGATGGAGTTGCTGAGAAATGTGTCGACTATTTCCAGCGATATCGTCGGTCTACGCATGTGACTCCCAAGTCTTATCTCTCATTTATTCAGGGCTATAAAGCTATATATAAAGAAAAACATACAGAGGTGCAGACTCTGGCCAACAGGTGAAGTTTTTTTCTTTGTTTCTCCCCACATCCTCAAATATTCTTCTTTAAATATCAGTATATAATAGCAGTTCCCAATATCAATTCTTTTTGATATAATAACTATCACACTTGGAGCAGAATAGAAGGATGTTTACCATATGAAATAGTGAGTTGGAAGAGATGGCTTGGAGAGGGAAAATGGCAGATGGGGAAGAGATACTGAATATAATAATAATAATCTTTATTTATACCCCACCACCATCTCCCCGATAGAGATTTGGAGCGGCTTACATGAGGCCAAGCCCAAATAACAATTACAATAAAGAAAAACCAAAAACACAAACCGAAAACGCAAACAATAAACAGTAACATCATAGTTACCTAAAACAAATGAATACATAACAATATACAAATTAAAATATGCATAGGCACAGTAATAATGGGCGGGGTACATGTAGTGATTAAAAGACAAAGTAATTAAAACTAATTAAAAACTCAGGCGAGATAAAAGAGAAGCAGGTAATTTACAGAGGAGGGCTTATTTTAGTGGGAGTTGTGGAATAAAGCTTTCCCATAAGGGGGAGGGGACGTATAATCCAATGACAAAGCTTTGAGGTCGAGCAATCATGTGGGGCTATATACCTGCTCATCAAAGGTGCAGCGAAAGAGCCAGGTTTTAAGGTTCTTTTTGAAGATTTCTAGGGAAGGGGATTTTCTAATGTTTCCAGGCAGTGAGTTCCAGAGTCGGGGAGCCACAGCGGAAAAGGCTCTCTCCCTTGTACTCACTAGGCAAGCTTATATATATCAAACAATTCTTTTCATATCTTAAGGCAAAGTACATGAATCTTCTTTCACTTTTTACTCTATGTTCACAATAACCCTAGGAGGCTGGGTAGACTGTGAATTAGTGACTTGCTCAAGGTTACTAAATGATTTTAGTTGTTCAAAGTCATCTGAACTTGGATCTTCCAAATTATTGGCCCAGCATTCCAACCACAATACTCAGCAATGAGAGAATTTTTTTTCTTGCCTGGCTTTAGGATTGTGTGCTCTGGGTTTCTGGGAGCTGTAATACAATCCCTAGCAGACAGCACTCATACCAACGTCCTGACTCACACTGATTTCTTCCCTTGTATCCCATTTCTCCATTGAACTCTACTCCATGATATATATTTTTGCTGTGTATGTGACTTTTGGATGGATGGATATTTGCAGTGATGTAAAATTTGTCATGGTTAACTAGGACCACAGTTAAAAAGGATCCATGCTTGGCGAGCCTTGTGCTAAAAATCAGATAGACCAGGACATAGAAACCAACTCAACAAGTTGGAGACAAGCCAAAGATGTTTATTTCAATTTGGCCAAACGCAAATACAGCAATTTTGCTTCAAAATGTACAAGCATAAACATACAGAGAAATACATAGCCATACATAGGTATTCAGACTTCCTGTCTTCTCCCCTGATTGGCCAGAAAAGAGGCTGGATAGGATCCATGCTGTAGTTTGGTGATAATGATCTTGAGTGTGCAATAGAAGTTATACATTTACAAAGGAATTATATATATATGTGTGTGTGTGTTACTATACCTTTGTCTTCTTTGCACCCTGCATCTCCTTTTCCTGTCCCTTTGCTGCTGAATGAGTTATTGGATTCTTGTCGCAATGTTTTAGGTTGAAAGGGAATATGCAATCAGTAATCTCCCATTTTCAAAATTGTAAAATTTGATCGAGTCAACTTCTAATCAGCCTTGAGGCAACATTGATCCTATGGGAGCTTTAAAAATTAAACATCCCTCCATGTTAAATTGCAGAATGAATACAGGATTGGAGAAACTAAAAGAAGCCTCTGAATCAGTGGCTGCTTTGAGCAAAGAGCTGGAAGCCAAGGAAAAAGAGCTCCAGGTGGCCAATGAAAAAGCAGATATGGTAAGAGTAGCGTTTCTTTCCTTCTCCTTTTTAAAAGCTTCTTTGGAAAGCCTGGAACAAAACATATTCTATGGCTCTCACACAGCCTGATCACTGAAACAGAAAAAAATCTTGATAACTCGTGAAAGAAAAAAATAATATTTTACACAATATTTTTTGTCGTGTCAGGAGCGACCTGAGAAACTGCAAGTCGCTTCTGGTGTGAGAGAATTGTTCATCTGCAGGGACATTGCCCAGCGGACGCCTGGATGTTTTGATGTTATATCATCCTTGTGGGAGGCTTCTCTCATGTCCCCGCATGAGGAGCTGGAGCTGATAGAGGGAGCTCATCCACACTCCCTGGATTCGAACCAGCAACCTGTCGGTCTTCAGTCCTGCCGGCACAGGGGTTGAACCCACTGCGCCACCGGGGGCTCCTATTTTACACAATATTTTACACAATAAAAACAGTAATTACAACATGTTGTTGAAGGCTTTCATGGCTGGAATCACTGGGTTGCTGTGAGTTTTCTGGGCTGTATGGCCATGTTTCAGATGCGTTTTCTCCTGATGTTTCGCCCACATCTATGCCAAGCATTCTCAGAGGTTGTGAGGTCTGTTGGAAACCAGGCAAGAGAGGTTTATATATCTGTGGAATATCCAAGGTGGGAGAAAAATCTCTTGTCTGTTGCAATTGTATTTAAAAAAAACTCCAAAATCTGGACAGTAAATAAAGAACAACACTAAAAAAAACCCAGGAAAATTCCAGAGAAGAAACAATCAGAACCAGCCAACACCTCCCAATAAAGCATGTCTCCAGGCAGGAAACAGCCAGGCTTTGAAGCTGCAAGGCCATTCAATGCTGATCAAGGTGCCCAAGGTGCCCATTCACACTGGCCTCAAACAGACAAGAGTTCTTACTCTGACCCTGGACATTCCACAGATATATAAACCTCTCTTGCCTAGTTTCCAACAGATGCCTGCCATAGATGTGGGCGAAACTTCAGGAGAGAATGTGTCTGGAACATGTCCATACAGCCCAGAAAACTCACAGCAACTCAGTAATTATAAACATCTCTCAATTCCATTTCCTCTTCTTCCCAGTTATGTTCTATTTAATTTCTTCATTGAAGTTTGGTTTCCTCTATAGGTTTTGAAAGAAGTCACAGTAAAAGCGCAGGCTGCTGAAAAAGTGAAGGCTGAAGTACAAAAAGTGAAGGACAAGGCCCAGGCGATTGTAGACAGCATCTCTGCAGACAAGGCCATTGCAGAAGAAAAATTGGAGGCTGCCAAACCTGCTTTAGAAGAGGCTGAGGCCGCTTTGCAGGTTAAAGATGGATAAGTGGGGAATGCGATTTTGTGACCTCATTTTGATATTTATTTTCCTCTCCAGCATTGTACCCAACAAGAGATTGAAAACAGGTCTATCTTCTTTTTCTTCTGCGTTTCCCATTGTGGGAGAAAAAAAGTAATCATTCATGTATGTGGGTGCAGGAGTTTCCTGAACCTGCAAGGCAAAACTCTCTATTGTGGAATCTGACAGGGACACATTCAAGTAACTGTAAGATTTCTAGCTTTAATCATTCAGTTTTGCTGCGGTATTTCAGGTAAGGCATCGGAGAGCACTCTTGCAAATGCATTCTAAAGGAAAAATAACACACCCGTAAACCATTTGTCTATTTTATGACTAAACTAATTAAAATCAGAGCATTTCTTTTCATTGTTCAGCCAACATACATATGATTTTTTTTCTTTGAACAAAAAATACATCAAGTGACTTAGATGCTGCAGTACTTCTTGCACATAAATCTGCATTGTGTTTTACTACTTGCTGGTTTTCTTATCTCCCACCTTGCTGAAGGTGGTGGTAGGAAAAGGTAAAGGTTTTCCCCTGACATTAAGTCCAGTTGTGTTCAACTCTGGGGTGTGGTGCCCATCTCCATTTCTAAGCCAAAGAGCCGGTGTTGTCTGTAGACAACTCCAAGGTCATGTGGCAGCATGACTGCATGGAGCGCCGTTACCTTCCCACCAGAATGGTACCTATTGATCTACTCACATTTGCATGTTTTCAAACTGCTAGGTTGTCAGAAGCTAGGGCTGACAGTGGAAGCAAACCCTGCTGATCCTGTTTTTTTCAAAAACCTAGACTATCAAGCCTGCAGATATTGCCACCGTCCGCACATTAGGTCGACCGCCACATCTTATCATGCGTATCATGGACTGTGTGCTACTGCTATTCCAGAGGAAGGTAAATGCTGTCAAAATAGATTTGGAGAAAAATTGCACCATTCCTTCATGGCAGGAGTCCTTGAAACTGATGACGGCAGGAAACTTCTTACAGAATCTGCAGGTGTGTCAAAAGTGTGGATGAAATTAAACACAGGATGAGCAAGAATAAAACATGGTTGCATGGTTGCAGTGGTCTGTGGAAGCTGGTGAATGGATTGCAAATTCATCATCCATGATCCATATTCCTTGAAACTGTGCCAGGTCATAAAGTGCATTATGGGGGTTAGGGGTGGGGGTCTGTGTTCCAAGTTGTGTACACGTCCATCATTTGTGGAGGTCACAGCGATCTGTGGAAATCAGAGCCAAAGTGGGTGCAGGTACTGCAAATCCCATTATCTGTTGCCCATTCTCCCCTAAACTACACTGGGATGTAAAGTGGGTCATCGGGGGGGGGGGGGGGGGGGGGGGGGGGGGGGTCTCTGCGCCAAATTTGGTCCATGTCTGTCATTTGTGAGGGTCACAGTGTTCTCTGGAAGTCAGAGCCCCAGCCAGAAAACTACATTGTCACCCATATGCATACACCACCACATATATACATACGTACGTACATACATATAGATATATTGGTAGGTAGGTAGGTAGGTAGATAGATAGATAGATAGATAGATAGATAGATAGATAGATAGATAGATATCTTCAAGTGCCAACATAATGAGTGTTGGATTAGGATTCTAGAGACCAAGGTTCAAATTCTCTCTCTGCCATGAAAACCACTGGGTGACCTGGAGCAAGTCACTTTCTTCCACCCTCAAAAGAAAGTAGTGATAACCTCCTTTGAACAAGATCAGGCCAAGAAAATCTTATAAGATTTGCCTTAGGGTGACTATAAATAAGAAATGGCAAATCCTTATCTACACAGCACACATACGGCACATTATTTTAGCTCCAAATTCTCTCATGAGGGATCTAGTGATGCATTTCTAGCAGGGCCAGATCCTATTGCAAGCAAGGTGGCAGGCTGACCTCCTCACAATTGGGCCAGAAACTGCATGGGTAGCCTTCCAGATCTGGAGTAGCCTCCTAGATGTGGTTTGGACTGAAACTTCCACCAGCTACAGCTCATGTAAGGGACTAATGTAAACTGTAGTTCAATAATTGCTGTTCAAGAGCTTGGTTGAAGACCAGTTAATATGAAGTGATTAGTGACTGTTTTGGAGATGTCCTTGATATATTCATACATAAGGACAACTGCATGTTCCTTTGACCCTTCCTTTGATGTATGTGAACATTAAATGATACATCTGTCCCTACAGAAGTATCTGTAGAGTAGAGCCTACTTCAAATTCATGAGGATAAACAATTTCCAGTCTGAGGCCTAGTTGCAGGTTATTAAATTGGAATATCAATGAAGTCTGTAACTGTAGGAAATGATTGACCACACTTTTATTAACACGAAAAGCAATATTACAGAATTAATAGTTTGTTTTGACATAAAAGCAAACATAAAATGCATGTTATGAAGCAAGGTTTACCACTGAAGAGGTTTAAAGTAACTTAAGATTCAATACAGAACAATACTGATTGTATTACAAGTGTGATAAAAGGGAACAACATTCGGAATGATTCAGGAAACCAATTAGACACTTGGCTCAAATTGAAAACAATATTTATACCCTTAAAGGACAGGTTAGATATGCTAGGAGAAAGAAGCAAGAAGGAATCTAACAAGGGCAATTAATTGAATGTCAGCCAAGTAAAAACAGGGAATGGGAACAACTAAAAATGCCCAGAACTCCAGGGTTTAGATATTTACATGGACATATTCATCTATATCATACTAGCATTGATTAAAGTATAAGCAATAAAAGCAGGATATTTCCTCCTTAGTAATTGGAAGAGCATGAATTTGAGGAAGATACATTCTTAATAGCTCTTCAAATCAAAACTAAGTCCATTGGAAGATGACCGATTAAGCAAAATCATTTCACAAGATGACAGTATGAGTAACAAAATAAATTTGGTCAGACCAAGCTTTTAAAGTAACTTTTAGTAACATTTTCCACACCCTATACTAGACCAATATGGAATCTGGGTGGTTATAGTTTTTTGGGCTATATGGCCATGTTCTAGAAGCATTCTATGAATTCCATATAGCCCGAAAAACTTACAACAACCCAGTGATTCCAGCCATGAAAGCCTTTGACAATACAATATGGAATCTTCTAACATTGTTGTTCATGTGAGTGATTGTGAGAATTGATATAAAGGTGGGAATCTCTTTTATTATTATTTTTTGGATTATGAATGAAACTAAATCCTTATCTTTATAGCAATTTCCAAAGGATACCATTAATGAAGAGGTGGTAGAGCTTTTGAGCCCTTACTTTGAAATGGTGGACTATAACATTGAAACAGCTAAGAGGGTCTGTGGAAATGTGGCTGGTATTTGTTCATGGACAAAAGCGATGGCTGCCTTCTTTGCTATCAACAAGGAAGTTTTGCCTTTAAAGGTAAGCCAACATACATAAGCCAAGACTGAAATCAGACTAGAAGTGGACCAGCTGCTGCTTATGGTATTTGGAAGTCTTGTGTCAGAGGTTATCTATTTGTCAGATTGCGTTAAGACATTATTTAATGATTTATAAATTCTGTATATACCTATATATAAGTCTAGAAAATTTAGTCAAAAAATCAACCCCAAAAAACTGGGCTGACTTTTGTACGGGTTAATATGAGTACTGTATCAAACAAGGAACCAATCCCTTCTCTGAATAGAGAATGGAAAAGAAGCATCAACCATCTCTATTGCTTCTGCTACGGCCTTTTTAAATCCCTGGATAAGGAAATGGCTGTTGTGACAATAATGGGTGGCACTGATGCTTTCCCCTCTCCGTGGAATGACCCTCAACTTATCCACAGATTATATCAAAATTGGTCATTTTGACCCCAAAACCTGTCCTTGACTTCCACATGAGTATTTATGGTACGTACATACATATGTACAATTTTGATGGCTCTATGGACATAGCAAAATGAGTCAAAGGATGGTAGAATCCACTTCACTATATTCTGAAATTTGTGTGGGTATAGGCAGGGGAACCACTTTGTGCATTGGAAAACACCATTTTACAGTATAAATGAGTACTATAAGGCTAATTTTTTTTATTTGTAAGCAAGGTTTTTGTTTTTTTAAAAAAACCTTTTAGAAAAAATTAATGCACCCAAAAGAACTTTTAATTTTGTCTTCTGGAGTCTAGTTTTAGAATATGAAATGCGATATCTTAAGAACATTAATGCTTAATTATATCAAAGTTAAAATGATTTTATTAATTCGGCATTTGTCAATAGTTATTTTTAATATATTGCCAATTTTATCCCAATCCTTTAAATTTTCATTCCTTCAGAAAAAGTTTTAGAGATTTCAACTATTTTCCCCCCACTATATACTATTTAAAAACCTGATTTGTGTGAATTTATGGTTTATAGGCTAACCTGGCTGTCCAAGAGAACCGTCTGACAACTGCCATGTTAGACCTACAGAAAGCTCAGGCTGAGTTGGATGCTAAGCAAGCTGAGCTAGATATTGTGCAGGCAGAGTATGAGAAGGCCATGAGGGAGAAACAGGTAGGTTATTGTGCCAAAGAAACCTCCCATAACATCCCTATATGATGAGTATCATCTAACATTTTTAAAATTGCCATTGACTGGTTATGACCATGTAGCTAAGATCAGGATGGTCTTTCTAAGGCCCCTTCTACACTGCCCGATTATCTGCTTTGAACTGGATTATATGGCTGTAAAAACTCATATATGGATTACCTGATCTAATAATATGATATGGATAATATGGTTTATCTGCTTTGATAATCTGGATTATATGGCAATGTAGAGGGGGCCTAAAATGTGAGAAACATCTGCTGCATCTGAAATCCTGGGATGCAAATAAGGGAGAAAACTTTCCTCAGGATTTGACATGGCAATATAATACTTATCAAACAGTTTATTTATTTTAATTATTTATTAAAATAATTATATCCTGATTTTTATTCAAATTTACAAAATAATAAATATTGTGCTGTTGTGAGCTGGGCCTGTGACAATGTCTGTTTTTAGGATGTGCTTTCTGTATGCCCAACGGAACGCTGGGGTGCCTCAGCTAAAGGGTCCCACAGGTTTCCCAACACAAAGTTCTGTGGAGGCTCAAAATAAGTTCTTTATTAAGGCTTAAATCTCCGAAAAAATGAATAAAATGCCATATAATCTTGAAAAACTAGTAGCTTTCTCGATCTGCCGACAAGGGACAGGCAACTGCTTGAAAACTGTTCCTTTCCTCTTTAGGGAAACCTTCCGACCCCTCCTTGGGCAAACTTTCTTAATCCTGCTGGCGTGAGGCTGCCACTCCCGGCTCCAAGCTGCATTATGGATAGCCCGAGTGGTCCCTTACCAGGCAATGGTTGCTGCAGATCTGCCAAGCTGGTGTCCTTTTAGTTTCTCCACGAAGGCTGTGGAACTATTTCTTTTCCCAGCAAAGGCTGGCTGTATTTCTCTAGCAAAGCTGTGGAACTATACTCCCCAGCAAAACTGTAGAGGTTTTCCTTTTCCCCCAGCAAAGGCTGCTGTAGATCTATATCTTTGACCCTGGCAGAGCTGTAAGAAGCAAAGCTTTTTACAAGTGGGGTAGAGAAAAGCCCACACATCCTACTGTAGGGCTCCAAACTGTGAGACTGAACTAAAGTCCCCTTTTCCCTCCAAAACCTGGGGAAAGGGGCGGATCTAAAGGCTCTAACAATGATTGATAGGTTGTTGGCCCTATGATTGCAACCTGGGGAAAGCTACCCAATTTTTAAAAAAACATAGCTTGAATAGAGTTGTGCAAACTAACAGTGCAAGAAAAGAAATTCAAATCTCCTGGCACAGCTGTGCCAGCACAAATATTAAAAGTAATATTGGAAGGCTAAAATATATTAATTTAGCAAACAAAAAGATTGAAGCCAGCTAAAATAGTATATTTGGGTTCATCCCAGGTTTCCTTTTATTGAGCTCCTTTTTATTATGCAAGTGTAAACAGAACAAACAATGAACAGCACTTTTTCATTATGTTCCCACTTCCTTCTTTAATGATTTTGTAAATAATTTTCATCATCAAGGTGGCTGGCACTGAGGGCTATAATTACTGCTGGACTGATCAAGCAAGGTTAATATAGGGTGTATGATTTTTCTATAGCTTTTACTTGTATCAATTGCTGTGTCTTAGAATGATTTCTTCTGTAAAAAGTGCATGGGTAGTTTTTATCAAGTAATTTTAACAATATTGAATGTGACATCTTATACCTTTTTATTTGTCCATAAAATAAGCTGACATAAAAATAAGTCTGTTACCTTCTGCCAATGTCTCATGATGATTCTTAGATGGTCCACTGATGAAAGTGCTGGATGAGGTTACACTCCCCTTGAAGGTGCAGGTTTGCAGCTTGGGAGTCCTCCTGGACTCATAACTGAGCCTGGAACCTCAGGCTACAGCAATGGCCACAGGGGCTTTTGCACAATTGAAACTTGTGTGCCAGTTGTGCCCGTACTTGGCCATAGTGGTCCATGCTCTCATTACATACAGGATAGACTACTGTAACACACTCTACATGGGGTTGCCTTTGAAGACGGTATGGAAGCTTCAAATAGTTCAATGGGAGGTAACCAGGTTAATAACTGGGGTGGCATACAGGGAGCACACAACTCCCATGTTACTTCAGCTCCACTGGTTGCATGTTTGCTACTCGGCACAATTCAGATGGCCCTGGCCCAGTTTACCTGTCTGAACGCATCTCCCTTTACGAACCACTGTGGAAACAAAGATCTTCTGGAGAAGCCCTGCTCTTGGTTCCGCCACCATCGCAGACATGTTTGGTGGGGACAAGAGACAGGGCCTTCTCAGTGACTGCCCCCCCTCCCCTGGTTATGGAACTTCCTTCCTGGCAATATTAGATCAGCCCCCTACTCCTTTCCTTCAGAAGGATGGTGAAGACCTGGCTGTAGGACCAAGCCTTTGGGGCAGTGGCAAAATAGTGTCCTGATATGGTTTTTAAGCATCTTTTAATGTGGATATGAATTATTTTAATGTTTGTATATATTTATGGTTTTATGTCCCGGCATTGAATGTTTGCTGAATATATGTTGTGCTCCATCCTAAGTCCCCTGTGGGATGAGAAATAAATAAATACGCAATAAAGATGCAACATGTGGGATAAAGATCAAATTAAATATAGTCATTTGCCGACTTCCAGATACAAAGAGGAATGCCCAACCTTTGGAAACTGCAGCAATGAAAAGATCCATCCAAGCTAGTTTGCAAGATCTCTTTTTCAATAGTAGTTAAACAAGTGCTCTGTTGGAGGCAATAATAAGATAATTTCCTTGTCAGCAGGAGGGAGGGAGTTCAAAGGAAAATTCCACTTTGTACTTTTAGAATGAGATTTGTCTTCTTCCAAGGTGGCCAGGGGTCCAAGAGATCATCCCCAACCCCACCTCTTTTTGTAGACTCTGGCAGGAGACATGTCCTTGCCTAAAACTCTGCTTGCAAGTCATATTTTTGGAGCACAGCTTATAACGTAACAAGAATAAGAATATGTAATCGATTAGTATCTGGTGTGTTTGGGACACCAGAACACCGCCATGCCACGAGTTTTATAGACAAGGTCAAGAAATGAAAACATCTGGGACCCTGAGCTGAAAAGAGCCTGGAAACACGAACTAGCTCAAACTGGTAGGCCTGGAGTCTGGACAGAAGAATTTTTGGAAGTTGAGGAGGTGGGGTTTTGGGGGTTGAAATTCAGAAGCTGCCTTTGCTGTATAGTAGTAACCTAGCATTTAAAAATTGCAAGATTTCTTTGTGAGAAAATTTAATTGCTACCAAGGTTCTGCAATCATCACAGAATATGACATATGTTATACAATGGGTACACTACAGAGAAGTACTAAACCGCCACTTATGCATATTTTCTTTAAAAAAATCTTTGGCAGACACTGCTTGAGGATGCAGAACGCTGCAGGCATAAAATGCAGACAGCTTCCAGTCTTATTAGTGGTCTGGCTGGTGAAAAAGAAAGGTGGACTGAACAAAGTAAAGAGTTTGCTGCACAAACAAAGAGGCTTGTGGGTAAGGCAAATGATCTGCTAGTTAAGTTCTCTATTAAATTGTCCACTACATTGAGTATGTTTTAGTAAATGAGAACTGAATGAATGAAGGACTTCATTTCTGTTTTCTCCTCTTGGAAAAACTTAATACTAGCAGTGAATCCTGTAAAAGTTTGAAGACAATTTAATTTTGTTGGTAAGACCTTTTATAGGCTAGAGTTTGTTCTACTCCATAAAATGTCACCTCACAATGGGTTTAGTAAGTACTGAAGTGTTACATGCAACATTAGAACATTAGAATACACCAGCAGTGCTGACCTAGACTCACAAACAGACTACAGTAGAGTCTCGCCTATCCAACCTTCGCTCATCCAACATTCCGTATTATCCAACGCATTCTGCTTCCTGCCTGGATCCACAGCTGTTCCAATACACTGCAATGTTTTGGTGCTAAATTTGTAAATACAGTAATTATTACATAACATTACCATGTATTGATCTGTTGATTTGTTGTAAAATGTTATATTTTGGTGCTTAATTTGTAAAATCATAATGTAATTTGATATTTAATAGGCTTTACCTTAATCCCTCCTTATTATTCAATATTTTCGCTTATCCAACATTCTGCTGGCCCATTTATGTTGGATAAGTGAGACTCTACTCTATACATTTTTTCTTGTACCCTCCACTGTGTAGAATACTCTTCCATCTGATATTAGATTTGAACATTTCTTGCGACCCCTCTATTCTTCCACACCTGGAATACTGTGTCCAATTTTGAGGACCACCATTTAAGTGAGATGTTGACAAGTTGGAATGTGTTCAGAAGAGGGTGACTAAAATGAGTTAGGGTCTGGAGAACAAGCCCTATGAGGAACAGCTTAAAAAGCAGGGCATGTTTAGCCTGCAGAAGTGAAGGTTGTGAGGAGATAAGTTGGCCATGTATAAATATGTGAGGGGAAGTCATAGGGAGGAGGAGCAAACTTGTTTTCTACTGAGCTGGAGACTAGGATGCAGAACAATCACTTCAAATTACAGGAAAAGAGATTCCATCTGAACATTAAGCAGAACTTCCTGACTGTGAAAACTATTCAGCAGTGGAACTCTCTGCCCTGGAGTGTGATGGAGGCTCCTTCTTTGGAGGCTTTTAAACAGAGGCTGGATGGCCATCTGGCAGGAGTACTTTGAATGCGGTTTTTCTGCTTCTTGGTAGGGGGTTGGACTGGAACTCTTCTAACTCTATGATTCTATGATTCTTATTTTGGGTTACATGTTCAAGTCTAACCTATTTTTACAAGTCCTCCTGGTGCTGTTTAGTCTACCAAGTATTTTACTCTTATTGGTCATGGAAATATGTTTTTTTTAGTCTGCATAGTTTATGATGGCTATACACTGCTTTAAAATCTTTAAATATAAGAAGTTTATAAAGATTTGCAATAAACTAGATTTTATAGTCATGATAAATGGTAGAATCCCACATAAGAGAAGAGCCAGACTTGATCTCATGTGTCTAGTCTCTCCTCTCAGATACAGAGTAACACTTTCCGTGGGAAAATGGATTGTGGTCTAGGAAACAATCTGAAGTCACTTGATGTAGGCCTGGTATACCTGGCTCTGAAGCTTCCTGGATATAACAGCAGGTTGGAGCAGAAGCTGGAATCCTATCATTGATGAGCTCTGAGAAATATTTACAGACCCTTCAAGAGCACAATTGGGACAATGACTTCCCTGTTGACTTGTCACCCATCTTCTCATTCATTGTTTCACTAGAATGACAAAGTGTTGGTCTGTTTTCCCCCATACACATTCACTACATTAAGTCTAGTGAACTGGGATTCTGAATGCCACTGGTGTATCTCTGTGTAGCCCAGTAGTCAACACTACTATTAAGAATTGTATGGAGTAGTTGGAATCTGGGATTTGAAGTTTAGGAAGAGGAAATTGTAATTTTCAGCCAAAGAGTTTAGCACCTCACCAAACTGCAAGCAAAAGGATTCCATAGGATATTGCCAGCACAGTTAAAGTGTAGTATGAAAAGACCCTTGACCATAATGCTCAGTCACATTGTACTTCTCTTATTCTTTCCTTTCTGCACAAAAATAAAATAAAAATGAAAGTAAAATGCAAAAATCTCTGTATAAAGTATTCTGGACAGAAATGGAAGAGTAATTTGATTTTTACCAAAGAGGCCAAGATGATGTACTTTGGCCACATCATGAGAAGACAGGAAAGCTTAGAGAAGACAATTATGCTGGGGAAAATGGAAGGAAAAAGAAAGAGAGGCCGATCAAGGGCAAGATGGATGGATGGCATTCTTGAAGTGACTGGATTGACCTTGAAGGAGCTGGGGGTGGTGACGGCCAACAGGGAGCTCTGGCCTGGCCTGGTCAATGAGGTCACAAAGAGTCGGAAATGACTGAATGAATGAACAACAAAAGAGGATTGGTTACTAAAACATAATAACTTAGCAGAGATAGTGAAAACTTTCTATTCTGATTAATGAAAAATTCTTAGTAATGTTTGTGTAGGATTGGAAACCCCTAATATATATTATGTGGGGTAATGGAGATGGTGTAATGACTGTTGGTTTGTCAATTAGTATGACTTATATACATACACAAAGTATAATTCATTGCTAACCTAGAGGTAGAATGTAATGCTTAAATGATAATTGTAGAAATGATATTTGGAAGTCGTGTTTTCCCCCTCTTTTTTATTAGTTCTTTATTAGTTAAGTGATATTTGCGGTAATTTTTGCATTTAATTTTTCTGTTGGTTGGTTGGTAATTTGTAGCTTGTTATATAGTTTATTCAATTTGTATTTTATGTAGATCTTATTTAATAAAAACATTAGCAAATCTTCCATTTTTATTTTTACACTCACAATAAACATTCATATTGTCTTAGCAGTGTATGTGCACGGTGCTTCAGCACTCATCAAATATGATCTCTCTCTATTAATTCAGGGGATGTACTGTTGGCCACAGCCTTTCTATCCTATTCTGGTCCCTTTAACCAAGAATTTCGCAATCTTCTGTTGAACGGTTGGCAAAAAGAAATGAAAACCAGGAAAATCCCATTTGGAAACAATCTAAATCTCACAGAGATGCTGATTGATGCTCCGACTGTCAGTGAATGGAACCTTCAAGGGCTGCCGAATGATGACCTATCCATACAGAATGGCATCATTGTCACAAAGGCAGCTCGTTACCCTTTGCTGATTGATCCACAGACGCAGGGCAAGATCTGGATTAAAAATAAAGAAACTAGGAATGAACTGCAGGTAATCTATATTCAACCATACATTCAAACTGGGCTTTAAGAACGTTTTGGAAGGCAATGGTGAAAATGAAATGCACAGTTTGTAGCAAACACTGCAAAATAACACCCCGATTGAAACGTTTTGGTTGTTTAAATGTGTTCAGTCGAATATGCAGAACTGAGGGGCAAGACTGATTCCATTTCTGCATTCAAAGACAGCAGTGTTAGTGTGGATCAATATGCGAAGGGATTTTGTAGCACCTTCAAGACTAACTGAGAGACAGAGGTGTAAACATCAGCTTTGATAGACTAAACTACCTTCATCAAATGCTTTTCTGTATACAGCTCTGTTTCTGCCTATAATTCAGTGTTGGCATTCAACTGAGGGCCAAACTATACAGATTGTATCACTGACATCTTTAAAGATGCCGTGCATGATTTATGCCACCCCAGAAATAACCAAAGTTAGACCAGAACCATATTATTGAGGGGGAGGGGCACAAAAAACCCTTAATCTTTGTATGGTTCGGACCAAATTCTTCTTCAAATGAGAGTGAAATGCCAGATATATTGGACATTTCTTTTTGTCTTGTTTGACCTAACGCTAATGATTGTTATATTGATGATTAATTATTGATGATGCTATTGTTTTAACTGTCCCATAATCYTTTTATGATGTTTTGCATTGAATTTTGCTSTTGTTAACCGCTTTGAGTCACCTGAGGGCTGAGAAAAGCGGTATATAAATGAAGTAAATAAATAAATAAATAATAAATAAATAATATATGTCCATAATGATTCTCTTTACAGATAACCTCTCTAAATCACAAGTATTTCAGGAACCACTTGGAGGATAGCCTTTCTCTTGGAAGGCCACTGTTAATCGAAGATGTTGGTGAAGAGCTGGATCCAGCTTTGGATAATGTACTGGAAAAAAATTTCATCAAAACAGGTTCTACATACAAAGTGAGAGAAATGAAGCATTCCTCTTTCAAAACATTTCATTTCATAGTAAAACAATACTTATCTATATGTTTCTTGTCACACCTGGGGTTGGTGTAAAAAAGTAATTTAACCTGTATCCACAACGGCATTTACTTTACTATAAAATGGACCAATATTTTGTTTCATTTGTACTCTGTGGGCCCCAAACCCTGTGGTTGTTAAATTGGAAGATGCTTCAAAAGAGCTTTATAAGACTGCTTTCCACTATGTAATTTGCTTATCTTCCTTTCACCTATTTCTTCTTTCCCTCTTCCTCTATGTGCTGCAGGAATATGGGGTGTCTTGAAAATTAATGTGCCAAACTTTCTAGTCACTTACCTAAATGCTTCCCTAGAAACAAAAGTTTTCTTGTTGGTTCCTTTTGATTCCATCTATTATATATTTTTTTACAATTCTCAGTTCAGCTTGTCACAATGCAATGCAACAGTACAATGCTAAAAAAAGAGAAGCGACTTTCCTGAAGAAGCAAGCAGCATTTGCAATTCATTTTAACATTTATCTGAAGAAGAAGTGTAGCCTCATCAGCATGTAAAGTAACTGAAACGGCCATCCTCAGAGGATATTTTAAAAGAACTGTTGGCTTATAAAAATAAGAACCATTACATATGCTTGCTGCTGTCTGGGGTTTATGTACTGGCTTATTAGTACACAAGAGTTTTTGCAAACAAGAAACAATACAATTGACCTTTTTTGTTCTGAGTTTTGAATATTGAGATTGTGGATATGCAACCCTGATGATAATAGCAAAAGGACTTCTGGTCCAAAAATCCATAAACAAGCACTGGAGGTTCTAGAAAATGTCTAGCCACAGTGGTCCACTCTCTTGTCACATCCCGAATAGATTACTGCAATGCACTCTATGTGGGGTTGCCTTTGAAGACTGTTCGGAAACTGCAATTAGTCCAACGGACAGCAGCTAGATTACACACCGGAGGGTCATATAGGGAGCATACCACCCCCCGTTATGTCAGCTCCATTGGCTGCTGATGCATTTCCGAGCATAATTCAAAGTTCTGGTTTTGACCTATAAAACCCTATACGGCTCTGGTCCAGTGTATCTGTCCAAACGTATCTCCTTCTACATCCCATGTCAGAGTTTAAGATCTTCTGGGGAGGGCCCTGCTCTCGGCCCCGCCTCTGTCTCAAACACGCTTGGTGGGGATAAAGGACAAGACCTTCTCAGTGGTGGCCCCTTGCCTGTGGAATTCACTCCCCAGGAAAATTAGGTCATTGTCATCCCTCCTTACCTTTAGAAAGAAGGTAAAAATGTGGATGTGGGACAAGACCTTCGGGTAATTAGGCAGAAATGACAATGACAATGGTTTGGAAATGGACTATGGATAAGTTAAATGGAGTACTCAATCATAGAATTCAGTTAGATAATGACTGGTAATAGACTGGTAATAGTTCAGTAGACTGTAAGTATATTGTTTTAATATTTTAATGTTTTTAACTATTATAATTATTGGTGTTTTGTATTTTATTATGCAGCATCAGATTGTTGCCAATTGGAAGCCACCCTGAGTCCCCCCCAGGTGTTGAGAAGGGTGGGTAAAAGGGTTCAAAATAAAATATATAAATAAATATTTGGTTGGATGTGGATAATGAAACCTTAGTTACTGGATAATTGAGTCACAGTGTAGTTTTTGCCTACGTTGTAATATATGAATAAAAATAGACAATTTCTTACATGGAAATGGTCTGAAACATTATGTATTGTGTTATGTGATCAAAACTAACACAGAACTTTAATGCACAATAAGTCAGTGGTTGTTACTTGAAACTGCAAAATAATGCTCAGAGACTTCTATTTCCCTTCTGTCTTTGTTAATTAGGTAAAAGTTGGGGATAAAGAAATGGATGTAATGAATGGATTCAGACTTTATATTACCACTAAGCTTCCAAATCCAGCCTATACTCCTGAAATCAGTGCTCGCACCTCCATTATTGATTTTACTGTCACAATGAAAGGACTGGAAGATCAACTTCTAGGAAGAGTCATTCTAACAGAAAAACAGGTTGGTAGAACTTTTTCCTAGAATAAGAAAGAATAATTTTAGAACTGTGTGGACTGAGCCGCTTTCTCCCATTTCTTTTACATTAGAAGGATGAACTCAGAGATAGTGCCAACACAAGACAGTTCTCTTGTAGTATCAATAAAACATTGAAATAAAATCAGTAGAACTCAGCTAACATTCTCCTTTACAACCGGCCATTGTTATATTCCTGGTTAAAACATTTATTATGTTATGCATGAAAGCATGAAATTATACAGTTAGTTAAAGCCCATTGGGCATGCAAAATCACAAATGGGGATTTCCATTGTCATGAAGTGAATTTTCTTGCCAGTCCTTCCCTTTGTACTTTTGTGTCTCCTAAATTGACTTCAGAAGGTTCCCTCAAACTTACACAACACATTTGGGTCTTGCAAGAAAAGGAGGAATAAACATAGGTGAATGAAGGTCAGTGCATACATTAGGTGGCAGTGTTTTTCTCAGGTCTCAAGAAAATATTCTTCCCATCTCAGTAATACAACATTTCTTAACTGAAGATACCAGAGGTAGAACCTGAGACCTTTAACTTTGCAAAGTACAGTAGACCCTTTTATCCACTGTCTCTGCATCCACATATTCCATCGTCCATAGTTTCAAAATATTACAAAATACCAATTCACCCTTTCGTAAAGCAAGACTTGTTGCATCATTTTATATAATGGACACCATTTTGTTATACAAATTGTACTTGAGTGTACACAGATGTTGATAACTATAGGAGTGTCCAGGAACCAAACACCAGCAAATATTGCAGGCCCAATGTATAGTTATTTCTCATGAATTCTATTCTTTGTTTACAAGATTTATTTTCAGAAAAACCTTCCAACATAGGTTTTTTTTAAACAAAATCAAATATTCATCCTACTTCCTAATTTTCAAGCATTACTCCAAATTATTCAAACATCCAAAAATTATTCCAACATTACTGCCAATATTTGAATAGCAATCACTACCAGAAAAAAACTAGCTCATGCATAGTTTTGACATCCGCCTTTCTGTTGTGGCTCACCTTGATTCTGAGCCTGAAACTGAACCCTCTTGTGAGCCTGAAATGTTCCCAGATGAAGAGGATGATGGAATTCAGATTTCTGGGCCTATTCCTATGCCTTTTTCTGTGCCTCTTTCAGACAGTGCACTAGAGGAGTCAACAAGTCAGTTCTCATGGGAAAAGAATGCCAACAAATTAGATAACAACCAGGTGCAGAGGCCTTCACTTGCTCAGCCTTCTCACACTGATACTGATAGAGAAGAGAGCCTTGGTAGTGATTTAATGAGCAGGCAGGAACGGTTAGATTGGCGGGTCAGGAGGAGTTCGCGATTAGCCAGCAAGAAAGAAGCCAGGTCAGTGAAAGGTCACCGTAATGCTTTCATGTTGGCAAAAGTGTAATGTTTTCATGTTGGCAAAAGGTATTTAGGCTTCTGGTTAACAAAGGGAAGGTGTCAGTTCAATGTGGCTTTTTTCGTGAAAGTTTCTATGGAATAACCTTGGCTTTAAAGCAGCACGCTTTGAGCTTCCTGAATTGGAATTCTTGGGGCTTGGGTTTCACTGTTTTTACCATGGACTCTTGCTTGACCATTGCTTAAAGGATTATGTTTTATGTTCTTACCTGAGGATCTTTGGAACTATGTTTTGCATTTAAACGTTGTCTTTGGAACTTTGCATTGCTTATTCTAAGCTTTGACTTTGGTTTTTTTCCTCAATAAACTACAAAATCTACAGCTTTTGTGTGGTGGTGTTTGGGAGCAAGGTGAAGCCTATTCTGAGTTGCAACACTTCCAGTATTTCTATAAAGTTACTTCTCAAAATCCAAAGGCAGATTTGTGAGAGTGCTCAAATTTCATAATGGGATTGCAACCGCCAAACTGTAGAAAAATATTTTCCAGAAGAAGAGACAAATGATACTTATGTAAATAGATCCAGGAATGAAACCTTTAGTGTCCTTTGATACTGATCTAGGTTTGGCATACATTTGATATGGTTTGACCATTGGATCTAAGTCTCAGATTTTCCCATTTTTCCTTTCCAACTCCATGAAACTTCCTGGTTCAAGACACATCAAGCTTTCAATTGATTCTGAATAATCAAACTATGGTTGTTCCTTGTTTCCTAAAATCATAGCAAGAAGTTATGGTTGTCAGTAGGTCTATATTTTGACAATGTGCTTTGGAAGACAGATTGTATTTTCCCCTAACATGGGAAGACAAGTTGTAACCTCCTAATATTGTTGGAATGTAACTCCCAGGATATCCAGTTTACAGCTAATGGAAGTTACAGTTCACCAGCAAGTGGAGAGCCACAAATCACCCACTGTCATTCTGTACAGAAAATCATTGTATTTGATTCTAATGACATTACTATCCATGTCAGAGCCAAGGTAGACTGTGGCAGATGCATCTTTGCATTTGACAGGAACATTTTACAATGCAAATAGCAGCTGTAAGGATGATGTGTGAAGAAGATATTTTTATAAGGACTACTGCAGCAGAGGGAAAGATTAAACATCCACTCTGACTGCTGAGAGCTCAGTAACCATGTGCATATTAGATGCTGCAGTTTATTGAGTGCCATGCTTAGTTTGACCAAGCATTCATCTGTTGCATCTCTTTCAGAAGCCAAACCACTTCAGTTTGTAATAAGCTTTTGAGTGAGTATAAAAATAAAGTAACATATATTCAGACCACCTCTAAATATCTCCCCATTAATGATACAGACTGCTGTGCTCATAGCTGATTGCCAGTATGCCAGTCCTACCAGATACATGGATTCATTGAAGCTTTACTAAAAACACATCCCTCTTTAGAAATTTATGTAGGAGTTTGCACAAATGCTTCCAATTTTAATAGCTTCTGTAAGTGTCTCAATTCACAGGATATGCGTGTACGTCGAACTATTCCATGCAAAAATAGAAGTGTCTCATGGAGTCTTGTTTAGAACACGGTGACAAAATCATTTCCATATTAACTACCAACTTTTTTGTGTTGCCCAAAATCCTAGATACCTTTCTGGCACACCTGGTAAGCATAACACTTATTTGTATTCTGCAGACATCTTTTTTTCTCCAGCCATTTAATCTTTAAATGGAAACTAATTAAAACAAACAAAATGAGCAAATGTTCCCTTGTTTCTTTCTAGATTACCTTTTCATCCTTTTTGCCTCAAAGATATTTGCATTTTTAATGCTCAGATTTTCTAGCATGGTGTGTCCAAAGACAATGCATAATTTTCATAAATTACTTTCACAATCCCCAATTACATTTTCCTCTCCCCCCACAGATTGTACATGTCATAGGTCTTTCTTTCATGCAAGAATGTTTTTTCTAAAAGCCTGTTATGACCAAGACATATTCTACAGAATGAGACCCATGTTTGAATTAAATGCAAATTAACTTCTTGGTAGCACTAACAATGTGAAATTAATCATTCCTGTCCGGATATATTGGGGCATTTTAATCAACTATAAATAGAGAATAATGCAAGTTGCTTGCATGAATGTTCCTTGTAGTATTGCATAGAAAATTCCAGATTTCTTGTTGGTGGGCAAGACTTTATTGTTGCCTTTACTGCCACTCTGTTTAACTCAGAGCTTCTTAAAACTTTTCCATGAGGGGCCCTTTTTGGCCTGATAAATTTTGACATGATCCTGGGTATGTAGGAATATAAAATAGGTATCGAATGAAGCATATGCTGATAACAAATCAACATTTGCACGGCTTGCTAAATATTCTGATTTTCGTTTCTAGGAAGTATAGCTGAATAATAATAATAATAATAATAATAATAATAATAATAATAATAATAATAATAAATAAACCTTTATTTATACCCCACTACCATCTCCCACAGGACTTGGTGCGGCTTACAAAAAGCCGAGCCCAAATACATCATAAAAGCATAACAATATCAATACAACAATAAATAGCTCATAACAAAGCAAAAAAAAAAACAATACAGTAATGACACGACACATTTAAAAACCTGTGGCAGGGCCAAGTGCAAGAGTTAAAATTAAGAATGCTGGGCATGTCCAAGGGAAATAGGATGGATATCTTAGGATAGGTGGATGTGCAGGCAATTCTAAGTCTCTCATAAAGTGCATTTGGGACATATTGCTTAGGAATCCTTATTCTGGGAAGGCACACTGGAACATCCACTTTTCAAGCTCCTTCTAAAGACTGCCAATGATGGGGCTTACCTGATGTCCTTGGGGAGGGAATTCCAGAGTCATGGGGCCACCACCGAGAAGGCCCTGTCCCTCGTCCCCACCAATTGCGCTTGCGATCCAGCAGGGCCTCTCCAGATGAACGAAGAGATTGTGTGGGTTCGTATGCAGAAAGCATCTTCTCCAGATGCTTTCTGATTAATGTAAATGTCTAAAATAGCTACTAGGTGGCACTCAGAAAAATGTTGCCACATTCTATGGGACCCCAAGATTGAGCTAAGGGGACCTCATTTGGGGTTGGGACCCACAATTCAAGACACAGTGATCTGGCCAATATAAAGTTTAGGACATGGTAGAACTAAGAACTGGAACTAGAGAGCCAGAGTGGTATGGTGGAAATACTGTGTTTATTTATTTCTCTAATGTCTTGCTGCTGCTATTATATTATAGAGTGACATGTCTGAAATATAAAACTCATAGAATCATAGAGAACTCACCAGAAACATAAAGATTATTTCACTTACACAGCACTAAATTGTGAGACAAGTCTAGAGAGTTTCTATCTGCTACAGATATATATCGACAGTCATGAAAATTCCAGGTGCTTCAGCAAAGCATAACTGAGCAGAGGAAGTTCTTCAAAGTTCGACGTATATTCTTGGAGAAACATTTTCCCCTTTTTCCCCTGCTGTCAATTTGTCAGGATGGGCATGCCAGTCCTGACAAGAATTGTCTGAGGAATATGAAATTCAGAGGAATCCCAATGGCTTTCTTGTCTTCTGTTATGTGTTACTCAATAATCATTTGGGGAACCTATCTACCAATTTTGAGAATGGAACCCTATGCAATATGAGATTTCATCAATGCCATACTATTTGACCAGAAAGAAGTATTCCCATAGAATCATAGAGTCATAAAGTTGGAAGAGACCTTGTGGGTTATCCAGTCCAACCCCCTGTCAAGAAGCAGGAAAATGGCATTCAAAGCATCCCCGAAAGATGGCCATCCAGCCTCTGTTTAAAAGCCTCCAAAGAAGCAGCCTCCATTACAGTTCCACTGCTGAACAGCTCTCACAGTTAGGAAGCTCTTCCTAATGTTCTGGTGGAATCTCCTTTCTTGTAGTTTGAAGCCATTGTTCTGTGTCCTAGTCTCCAGGGCAGCAGAAAACAATTCTAGTATCAAGTTATAGCTGTCTTCCACTAACAACAGGGATGTCAAACAGGGATGTATTATTGCCCCAACTTTATTCTCCATCTTCATCGCTATGATGCTTCATCTACTTCATCTTGTTGATGGGAAGCTTCCCACCGAAGTGGAAATCGTCTATCGGACAGATGGCAAGCTGTTTAACCTCAGTAGACTGAAAGCCAAAACCAAGGTTACAACAACATCTGTTATAGAACACCTGTATGCTGATGACAATGTCATCTGTGCGCATTCAGAAGAAGACCTACAAGCCACTCTATACACCTTCTCAGAAGCATATGAGAAGCTCGGCCTGTCATTGAACATCGAGAAAACCAAAGTGCTGTTCCAGCAGTCACCAGCCAATCCCTTTCCAATGCCAGAGATACAGCTTAATAGTGTAACATTAGAAAATGTTGACCATTTCCACTACCTTGGCACCGAAATACAACACTGCCTGAGCTCTGCGAGTGCAGCATTTTTCTGAATGAAGCAAAGAGTGTTTGAGGACCGGGACATCCGTAGGGATACCAAGGTGCTTGTTTATAAAGCTATTATCCTCCCAACCCTGCTATATGCCTGCAAAACATAGACTGTCTACAGATGCTACATGCAACTCCTGGAACAATTCCATCAGTGCTGCCTCTGGAAAATCCTGCAAATCTCTTGGGAAGACAGACAGACAAACATCAGCGTGCTGGAAGAAGCAAAGACCACCAGCATTGAAGTGATGGTCCTCCGCCATTAACTCTGCTGGACCGGCCACATTGTCCGGATACCTGACCCAAAGCGGTTGCTCTACTCTGAACTCAAGAATGGAAAACAGGATGTTGGTGGACAGGAAAAGAGATTTAAAGATGGGCTTAAAGACAACCTTAAAAACTCTGGCATAGACACTGAGAACTGGGAAGCCCTGTCCCTTGAGTACTCCAGCTGGAGGTCAGCTGTGACCAGCAGTGCTGCAGAATTTGAAGAGGCACGAATGGAGAGCGAAAGAGAAATGTGCCAAGAGGAAGGCACTTCAAGCCAACCCCAACCGAGACTGCCTTCCACCTGGAAACCAATGCCCTCACTGCGGGAGAAGATGCAGATCAAGAATAGGGCTCCTCAGTCACCTACGGACCAACCACCAGTACACTGATCTTAGAAGACAATCCTACTCGGCCAATGAGGGATCGCCTAAGTAAGTAAGTAAGTCTTCCACTAGCATTGCATAGGATGCAAGTAATGAATAATTTCTCTACTGTACTATGTATGCTACTCTGTATGTCATATACATTAATGAGGCCTGATTCTGACATTGCATCCTATTGAAGCGTGGCTTTGTTTTGTGCTCTAACAGGAGTTGGAGAAAGAGCGAACTGATTTAATGGAAGATGTGACAGCTAACAAAAGAAAGATGAAAGAACTGGAGGATAACTTGCTGTATCGACTGACAAGCACGCAAGGTTCTCTGGTGGAAGATGAGAGTCTCATTATTGTACTTAGTAACACAAAGAAAACGGCAGAAGAGGTGACACAGAAATTGCAAATTTCAGCTGAGACTGAAGTACAAATTAATTCAGCCCGGGAAGAATATAGACCAGGTAAATTGATTACCATTAATGATAGGAAGCCAGTGATGAGAAATCTGAATGAACCCAAGAGATCAATATTAGCATATGAAAAAATGAAGAAATGGGGTTATGCAGCTAACCCAGATATATTGTTTTCTTTTACTTTATAACAATGATTGGTTTATAGTCAGTTTCAAAAACTCAGCTACCAGAACTGAACTGAAACAATGGCCATGTTCTCACAGCACTTTAAGTCATGGCATGTGTTAACCATGGTTTATTCTTAAAACCACAGGTTGCACAAGGTGTGACCAAACAAACCATGGAGTATTTTCTCCATTCTTGGTATGTTTCTGGTTTCTTTTTCTCATTTTTCTTTTGTTAGCTCCTGTTTCAGGGTGAGCTTCTAGGAAAAGGAATTAGGGACCAATTATGACTCTGGATTCAGATAAAAATAGAGAATAATTTAAACAAGCCAGAGATCATAAGCTAAAAGAAATTAAAATGATTCCTGGTTGTGGTTTGTGGTTAGTTGATAAATCATCTTTTGTTAGCAGAGGCACAACAGGCTAAATTTCAGCAAACTACACCATGGTTTGTTGTGATTTCTGCGTGTGACCAATGTGCCTTGGTTCAGTATCATTTTGTCTGTATGATTGATTAGCATCATTACCATTTTTCACCATGAATACACACACTTTATCCCATAATTTTATCCCATGACTTTCTTTTTAAAAATGTGTGTGTATTCTATGCTGTTCATCCTCTCCTTTTTACCCGCAGCATTTTTATTTTTAATGAATATTTCTGGCTCCCAGCCTGTTTCTGGACATAATTTAAAGTGCTGGCTTTAACTTATAAAATCCGGATACTACTAGGGTCCACCTTATCAAAAGAACTGTATTTCCCCAGATGAATCTACCTAGATCTTTAAAGTGAAGCAAATCTTTGGAAATTGACTATTTATGAAGTTCTTTTTAAAAAATACACTTCACAGATTTCACCCCTTGCTATTTCATGTATATGTTTTAAAATTGGCTTTAGTTCTGAAAATTTTACATTTTGTATAGTTTTATTGGTAGGTGCTCCAAGTTGTATCCATTTTAATTTTCTTTAGAATCCTAGTGCTAAGGAAACAAAGGGACACAATTAAGTAACTAAGGTCTACTTATATCCTTAACATGGTACATTTCATCAGAGTATATATCTTTTGCGATGTTTGCACTGGGGTATTAGAAGGATCTAAACAATATTCATTTTTTCCCATCATGAATGAAAAAAGCTATGTGATTTGGACTTTTTTCCACACAGAAGAGACCCCTGTTTTTCCCCCCAGTGTAACAATTACATATGCATTTTCTAACATAGGAAAATGGGTAAAAAAGTAACTAGACAGGAATGTGATGTTCTATGCTAAAGGCATGTTTTCTGTGCAGGGAATATGATTTTCTGCGCAAGAAATTAGCATTGTTTCCTGTGCAATCACTTTTCCAGCACATAAAATGCATTTTTTTAAAAAAGCCTGATTTTTCATAGAAAACATGTTTTTTTGTGTGAAAAAATCTTTTTATGCGAAAAATATAATTCATGTGAGAAAAATAGTACTTTCTACATAAAAAACTATTTGCCTATTATGCACAAAATACTCATTTGAAAAATGCCCCAACTGTCAATAGTCTCCAGAAACTCTTCAATTTTTAATTCAAATTCAAAGTGCTGGTTTTGACCTATAAAGCCCTAAACAACTCTGGCCCAGTTTACCTGTCCGAACGGATTCTCCCCTATGAACCATCAAGGTTACTAAGATCTTCTGTAGGGGCCCTGCTCTCGGTCCCACCACCCTCGCAATCGCGTCTGTTGGGGACGAGAGACAGGGCCTTCTCAGTGGTGGCCCCTCGGCTTTGGAATTCCCTCCCACCAGAAATTAGATCTGCCCCTTCCCTCCTGACCTTTAGAAAGCTAATAAAATCCTGTCTTTGGAATATGGCATTCGATGATTGAGTCAATATCCACATGGAAGGATGGCGATGAATTGGGACTGTGTTTGACGACTTGGCTTGTGTAATGTGATGATGTATTTTATTGTATTTTATATTTTAATGTATAATGATGATGCATTGTGCTGTTTTTTATATTACTGTATATGAACACATGTTGTGAACCGGCCTGAGTCCCTCCTCGGAGGTGAGAAGACCGGTATATAAAACTTATAAATAAATAAATAAATAAATAAAATAAAAAGAGTTGTACAATGCTGGGACACACTGCCTCAGAGTCTGACAGAGTCTCTTTCTTTGGAGGTTTTTAAACAGAGGCTGGACTGCTTTGATTGTTTGGCAAGAGGTTAGACTTGATGGCCCTTGTGGTCTCTTCTGACTCTATGATTCTGATTCTCACCTGTGACAAAAATATTGAAAGTATTCATTATTGCTTGCAAAAAAGAGAAGGAATTGAGATTGATATTTCTAGGTTAGTAATTAGAACTCTAACCAGAAACCAATAACTAAAACTAGATTTTTATTGAATGTCCATTGAATCTTCAGAAAGTAATATGAACTCCAGCTTGGTTCTGGAATGCATCAGATATCTATGTTTTGGCATGCAGCAATGCAAACCAGAACCTCATGTCCTTAATTTCCTATCCTGTAACTCTCATTTCCCAAACTGAGGTTGTAAGATGGGCATCTAGAAGGCTGAAATTAATTTTTCAAGTTTGATAGGCTTCTTAGTCACATTAAAAAAATAGATCCAGGGTGTGACATGAGGATATGTCTCAATTAATTCTGTCACCCCACTTTTCTTGTTCATCTTAAAATGTACCAGTTTATCTCTTTGTGCCTCCCATTTGTCCCCATCATACCTCAGTTGTTGCCAACTGAGTTAGAAGTACAAAGTTGTTTGCATTCAGTTCACTCAGCAGGGTGAATAGGATGAATTAAATCTTACCCAGTAAACTAAGGAAATCTTGGAGCCTGTCCTAGCTTATTATTAACTCTTTCTCAGTAATGATTTTTGACATCTTGACCATACTCTGATCCTGCTTGGCCACACATGCCCCAGTTTTCATCTGTGAAATGTTGAAGCATATGATATGTGTTTTTAAAAATCTTGTGCTCAGGCTCCTGGAAACAGGAATTTTATACCATTGCTGTGCTCCATAAATATTTCTGTGACTCTGTGACATGGTATATTGGTTTAATTCCATTTGTAGAGCTTCGAGGCAGCAGTAACAAAAAAGATGGCAAACTGCAATGTTTGAAAGCTGAATTGTTGCAAATCAGGAAAGGAAAGCAAGCTTGTTTTTTGAAAGAATGAAATGAAAATGAAATGAACTATGCAGTGAGACTTCTTGCATGCTGTTTTAATCATGAAAGATATATTACTAATATTATATATATCAGATATAGATATAAGTAATGTTATTGTTCATATTCTGCATTGATCAAATCCAATCTTCTCTTCAGTTGCAACAAGAGGCAGCATTCTCTATTTCCTGATAACAGAGATGAGCATGGTCAATGTCATGTATCAAACTTCACTTCGACAGTTTTTGGGTCTGTTTGATCTTTCACTTGCCAGGTAACAACACTTAAATAAGTCTTTCACATTCTAGACATTGGATTAATCAAATAGACAAATTTGAAGTAACTGGAGTGGAGGAAGATATCTGTATTTCACAAGAGTATGTAAACTGTGATCTCCATTGTCCTGTAGATGGCAATTCTCAAATAGGTTCTGCATGTTTTTGAAGCATTGCCAATAAAAATAAACTCTACTAAATTTCTTTGACCGGAGATGTCAGTTGGATTGAAGTGAACAGTTCAAATTGTGATCAAAAGTATACCTAATGGACTGTTTGTAACTTCCTGCATGGTCAGCATTTTCTTCAATATTCTTTGCCACAGAAATACATAATAAGCTAATGCTTTCATTATGGTTATTGTTAAACACTTACACAGTTTTCCCCAACTTTTCTAAATACTGTGGAGATATTGAAAGGCAAGGCAACCTCTGATGCTCACAATTTTATAGGCAAAGAAAGAAAAATAGGAATGAGCAAAGTAAGTATTAGAGCAGGGTTCTTCAAACTTTTTAAACAGAGGGCCAGGTCCCAGTTCCTCAAACTGTTGGAGGGCCGGATTATAATTTGAAAAAAAACACACATGAACAAATTCCTATGCGCACTGCACATATCTTATTTGTAGTGCAAAAAGACTTAAAAACAATACAGTAATAAAAATTGAAGAACAATTTTAACAAATATAAACTTATCAGTATTTCAGTGGGAGATAGGATTGTTGTTGTTGTGTGCTTTCAAGTCGTTTCAGACTTAGGTTGACCCTGAGCGAGGGCTGAGTAAATGACCTTGGAGGGCTGTATCCGGCTTTCGGGCCTTAGTTTGAGGACCCCTGTACACAGGCATGTAGCCGGGGGGGGGGGGGCTTGAGGGGCTTCAGCCCCCCCCCGAAATTCTCATGGTGGTTCGCGAAAAGGCCTTACTGGTGCATTATTTAAACTGTTGTTTATTCATATCATGATCTGATCACCATACTCAATATATCCCATATGCATGGGGGTATTGGGGTAATGATACAAAAGGTTTGCTAGGCTAGACCCTCTTTCACTCAGACTCAGCCCCCCCCAAACTCAGCCCCCCCGACCCCCCTGAAAAAAACTCAGCCCCCCCCCCCGAATCGAAATCCTGGCTACGGGCCTGCCTGTACAGTATCTTTCCTTGGATACTGAATAAGATCTGCTTGATCTCCCCCTTTAGGGTCATTCCGTGGCTTATTTTGCATACCGATTTTCTGAGATATAAAAATTTGGCTCTCAGAAGCATCTACATCTTTAGGAGAAATTCATAGCTTCCTTAGGTGGGAAAGTAGAACATTTTTTATAAAATGAATGAACCTGGATATAATTTTAGATAGTGTACTAACTTACTCAACATGGTCTAGTGGGACACTTTGCCTGGGCTTTCTGAAGGGGTTGTGTGTGACCTTGGGTGACCCACATTCTTTTATCCTTGAAAGAAGGCAAAGGTACCCCCCCCCATGAATAAATCTTGCCTAGAAAACCCTGCGATAGATTCATCTTAGGATCATCATGTCAGAAATGAGTTTAAGGCACAAAAAACCCAATAAGAAAATAAATTGAAATAAACAGGACATAAATAAATCAAAACCAAAGCAAATTCAACAAAGATAGAAAAAAACACTATCCATGAAAATCCATGTTTGTTTTTTATCTTCATGTTAGCTTAAAATAGTGAAGAGTAGAGACATCACACTGTCAACGAAGATCCACATAGTAAAAGCAATGGTATCCCCCATAGTAACCTATGGATTTGAGAGCTGGACCATAAGGAAGGCTGAGCGAAGGAAGATAGATTATTTTGAACTGTGGCATTGGAGGACAATTCTGAAAGTGTATTGGACGGTGAGAAGATCCAACCAGTCCATACTTCAGAAAATAAAGCCCAACGGCTCATTGCAGGGAAGGATATTAGAGGCAGAGATGAAGTACTTTGGCCACATAACGGGAAGACAGGAAAGCTTGGAGAAGATAATGATGGTGGGGAAAATGGAAGGAAAAAGGAAGAGGGGCAAACTAAGGGCAAGATGGATGGATGGTATCCTTGAAGTGACCAGGTTGACTTTGAAGGAAGTGGGGTGGCCACAACCAATAGGGAGCTCTGGCATGGGCTGGTCCATGAGGTCATGAAGAGTCAGAAGCAACTATATGAATAAACAATAACATAGCTTAAAATTCACTGAGTAGAATTAATAAAAGATATTGTGCTAACATGGACTTTGCTGTAGTTGATGTTGCTACACATTGCACACACATTTTTGTGAGGACACATCTTTAAATTTCTGCATTGATTTTATGTCCTTTTCTTACGTCAGGCTGGAAAAACTTTGACAGGTCTAGGGGTTCATTTTCTGTCCTCGGAACTTGCCAGTTGTTCATAGCTGGGCCCATAACCTATTATTTTAAATATATTAGATTTGGTGGATATATTTAAAACAACACTGAAGGTGCACTACTGGTTCTTTTGTGATGTTAAAAGAGTACAGGAGGACTCTTCAATATGTTTAAAACCCAAAGCATTATTTTTGAAACCTCTCCCTTATTCTTTTGCTTTGAAAAGAGGGCTGTCTGAAGAAACTGGAGGTGGGACAATTATCAGGGGCTTTAAAAGCAGCCTTCAGAGAGGCTCCATTGTGATCTGAGGATTGCTCTTTACACACTGCCAAGTAAATCTTTGATTATTTCCACCTACCCCAGGGACTCATTGGGAGAAGGGAGAGAGATTGCAGGGCAACGTCATGAAAGGAAACAAAAATCCTCTTAGGTTCTCTGCTGCCATAATAAGTAAGAGCTTGAGCTTCATTCTGCATTCAGGGGCTTGAGCTTACATTCTGTCAGTCGGCAAAAATTCTTCAAAGCAAGCTGCATGTCTATGATGGCACCCAGAGGGATGGAGAGGCACCAGTTAGCCAGAAGCAAGATGCCCTCATAGAAGAGAGGTTGATATTCTCCTCCTTTGGAGGTCTTTAAACAGATGAGAATCTCTTAGATGTGTTTGAGTTGTGTATTCCTGCACGGCAGTGGACTAGATGCCCTCCCTGGGGTCCCTTCCAACTCTACTTATACAATTCATGCTTCTGCCATGTGAATAGCAGGCAACAATAACTGATTTTATCAAGTCTCTCTGTTTCTATGTGTACATACATTTGCTTTGCTCATTTTTGCTTATTGTTTTTGTTGTATTTATGTGTTGTCGGGCTTGGCCTCATGTAAGCCACTCCGAGTCCCCTTGGGGAGATGGTGGCGGGGTATAAATAAAGATTATTATTATTATTATTCCTTAAGGAGTGTGCATTCCATTGTATGGCACTGGTAGGTATATGGTAGAGAATTATGTTCCAACTCATCCTATGACAGGAAGGCCATGTTTGACTCAGTGGTGCCAAACAAATCCATAGCATGTAAAGGGTAAGAATAATGAATAAACTATCCAGATTTGTAAGATTTTAGATAACTTCATATTATGTACCGTATATACTCAAGTATAAGCCGACCCAAATATAAGCTGAGGCACCAAATTTTATCACAAAAAAAACTGGGAAAACGTATTGACTCGAGTATAAGCTGAGGGTAGGAAATGCAGCAGCTACTGGTAAATTTCAAAATAAAAATACATACAATACACTTACATTAATTGAGGCATCGGGTTAAATGTTTTGAATATTTACATAAAACTATAATTTAAGATAAGACTGTGGAACTCTGATTAAACCATTATTCTAACCTTCTTCAATGTAAATGTGCTTGCATATCCTTCCAATAAAAATAGAGTAAAATAACAAATGTAATATTACTACTACTAATAATAGAGTAAAATAATGGAAATGTAATAATAACAGTAATAATAGAGTAAAATAATAAATATAATAAAACAATAGTAAAGTAGAATGATCAATGTAATAACAACAACCATAACAATGCATTTATTATGTATTTCTAACAGGGTAAAATAATAAATAGCCTTGACTCGAATATAAGCCGAGCGGGACTTTTTCAGCCTAAAAAAAAGGCTGAAAAACTAGGCTTATACTCGAGTATATACAGTAATTGTTAACACAGTATTCGGTCAATTTTCAAATTGCTTAGGGCTATATATACATTGTTTTATTTGTTCTATCAAAACTAGTACATATGAAGCTGTCATACTGAGAGTCACGCTGAATTAAATGATTGCTGACAGTGTTTCTAGTAATACCTATAGTAACTCCAGGGAAATCTCTAGTTGTGTAACTGGCATTTTTACTGGAGGGAAGTCGAGCTGCTAACAGGTTGCCCATTACCATGGAAAAAAATTACCAATCAGCATGGTTTGCTTTTTTTCAAGAGCCATTTTACATTAAGCTGTACTGAACTGTAAAAACCTTAAAACAAATAGCAGATGTTTTGGTTTTTTCCCCCAGTGTGCATGCATGTTATTCATTAGTATTCTGTTTTCAGTGGCTTCTTACCTATTGAAGGGTTTTACAGAAACAATGTGAGCTCAGACCAGACAGGAAGGAATAAATTATCAAAGGAACGAAATATGAGGAAGCCCCAGATATTGTACTTTTCAGTGCCTTAATGAGAGGCTTTAACTCCTAGCAGATCAAATGCATCTAAGCCTAGTAGGCACTCTTTTGGTTTATTTTGACTGAAAAACATTTAGTGTCATGTTGATGTGATCTCTGAATTTCTGCTTGCTTCTCTGGTATTTTAGGATTATAAAGTGCAGCTCTGAAAGTCTTGCTTCTTTTTGGAGGGCATGGGGAGAGGGCACTTTCTAAAGCATTTAACCAAAGACACTCAATTACCCTTTTATTTTTCTCTCCTTTCCCTCCTTTGAATAGGTCTGTCAAGAGTCCAATTACAAGCAAGAGAATAGTAAATATCATTGAGCATATGACCTATGAAGTATATAAGTATGCTGCACGAGGGCTTTATGAGGAGCACAAGTTCTTGTTCACTTTACTACTTACCTTGAAGATTGACTTGCAGCGAGGCAGAGTGAAGCATGAAGAGTTCCTGACACTGATTAAAGGTCATAGCCGGTGTCTAAGATGCACAGTTTGTTTAATATTTTAGTTCCCTGCAGGATTCACATTCTGGGCAGCATCTTGTTAGTAACATGCACTTGCATAAATATTGAACATACTATCCTGCTCTTCCTCCGCTCATGGCATGCTCTCTCTAGCATGTTCTTTCCAAGTTCATGGCATGTTAGACCTCATCTGCACGAGCCCTCTCTGCACATAATTCTGTGATAACAACCACTGTGCAAGCATAAAGGACAATGCATGAATAATAGGTGGGGCAGTGAAAAGTCAGCAACATGACCCATCAATAGAAAATAAAATTTCTAATCATTTTCTAACGCTTTGCTATGTCTTCATAAACATTTTCTCCTCTCCCTTCTTCACAGGTGGTGCTTCGTTAGATTTGAAAGCTTGTCCTCCTAAACCAGCAAAATGGATCCTGGATATGACTTGGTTGAACTTGGTCGAACTTAGTAAGCTGAGACAATTCTCGGATGTACTTGACCAAGTAGGTTACTGATATAAATCAAGATTAAGTAGCATGGAATATTTAGTCTTTTAATGTGAGTCTGTAGATACTGTAATCCTACATGAGTTTTTCCAAAAATTGCTCATGTCAACCTGCCTCAAAATGCTATCTGTTGGTTGTAGGACAAATCACATACTTATGTTTGTGAAGAAAAAATGAGAAGTTACTTGGTCATGAATAGCAGTTGCAAGTACGTTTTTTAAAAAGGGAAACAATCTACAATTAGTGGGTTGTTGTAGGTTTTTTCGGGCTATATGGCCATGTTCTAGAGGCATTCCCTCCTGATGTTTCACCTGCATCTATGGCAAGCATCTTCAAGTTCACTATCTCTGAGGATGCTTGCCATAGATGCAGGCGAAACGTCAGGAGATAATGCCTCTAGAACATGGCCATATAGCCCCAAAAAAACCTACAACAACCCAGTGATTCTGGCCATGAAAGCCTTGGACAATACGATCTACAATTAAATTATGTGAAACTAAAAATTCTTCCTTTTGGTGGAAGGTATTAAATATCTTTCCAATTCATTAACAGATCTCACGAACAGAGAAACAGTGGAAAATTTGGTTTGACAAGGAGAAACCAGAAGAAGAACATGTTCCCAGTGGTTATGACCAAGCTTTGGATTGTTTCAGACGTCTTCTTCTTATAAGGTCTTGGTGTCCAGATAGAACCATTGCTCAGGTAGGCAAATATTTTTTGACAAAGATGAGGATAAATATCACCAGATGATAGGTAGTCTAAACTTTAGACAATTATCATTCAAAGTCTAGATCAGACTAGCGCAACATATAGCCTGTGGGCTACATGCAGCCTCCCAAAGGATTTTAGGTGGCTCACGACAGTTGCCAGGTGTTGCTTGCCTTGAGCAGCAACAATGTGGCCACCAATGCGTGAGCAAGCCTCCACGTGGACCAAGAGCAGAAGCCAGGGCCCATTACCCAGACTGCAGCACTGCCTCATCTTACTCTGAGGTACTGCAGAGTGGATAGGAAAAACTCAGGATGCTATCCCTATTCTGCCTGGCAGCTTGGGTACCCTTGGGTGGCATACGGAATCAATCTGTATCAGCTCTGCTGTGCTTGGAAATGAGCACACTGAACTCCAAATAACACATGCAGGGAGGGAGGAGGCTCAGAGGTGGCTTCCATGGTGGCCATGGAAAGCCTCACATTCAAGGCTGTGGGAAGGATGACAAGAGCTCCATGGCCAAGGTTCCCAAGGGAAAGGTGCCTTCCAATTCCAGTCCTGGGCATGTAGCCTGAGGAAGTCTGGCATATTTTAATTCGGGCTCCTATCTATTGCCAAGTTTTGTAAGTCTGGTCTAGATGTTCTATTTGAAATTTTCTAATAACAAAATGTTGAAATTCCTTTACTTCAATGTAGTCTTTAATTTTTTTAAAAAAGCCTAAAGTAATATGAACCTAGTTTTTTTTCCTGTTTACATTGTTTAAAAAATGTAAAATATTTCTGCTTAATCTGTCTTTGATTTCACTAGGCTAGGAAGTACATTACGGATACCATGGGGGAAAAATATGCAGAAGGGGTCATCTTGGATTTGGAGAAGACTTGGGAAGAATCTGACCCACGCACCCCTCTTATCTGCTTCCTTTCAATGGGCTCTGATCCTACCGATTCCATCATTGCTTTGGGCAAAAGACTGAAGATTGAGACTCGCTATGTTTCTATGGGTCAAGGGCAAGAGGTCCATGCCCGCAAACTCCTACAGCAAACGATGGCAAATGTAAGGCAAAATCTGAATTATTTTCAAGAACAAGCCAAGATTTGAATTTTTCAAGACATTGCCATCAACCTAGAGGAGGCAGAAACATAGGATATGTGACCAGTTAACAATTCCTATTTGTCATCCTAAAAAGTAAAGATAGAATGATTTCGGTCCAATAGCATACTAACAGTAGAACAGTTGTCTTTGAAAATTCTTTAACTACTTCCTAAAAGTAACCAGTTCACATGTCCTCACAGGTACAGTAAGCCCTCCACTTTTGTGAAGGATAGGGGTGAAAGGCCTTTAAAAAAAGTGCAAAAGCTATGAATGAATACTGATTTTTTTAAAACACGAGAGATTCTGTGGTCAGAATCCTGGATGTTGATCGTAGAGTTGTGCTGGAGGACCTAGAGATTCCTAGAGAAATGTTCTTTCTAAGAATTTCACAGTCCTCCAGTGCAACTCTATGGTCTGCTTCCAGCCAGCATTGATCATAGAGTTATACTGAAAAACCTAGAGATTCCTAGAGAAAAATGTGAATAAAATCTGCAAAAGTTAAATCCTCAAATGAAGAAGGTCAGTTGTTCTGTGTTTGTGGTTTAATAATAAACCATGTATATTTGTTCAGAAAATCATCCCCAAAGCAACATTCACTTTTTGAGTGTTTGAACACTTCAAGAAGAAGATAAAGGAGGTCTACGCTTGAGCCCAGTTGGCCCCATTGTAAAGCCCCCTTGGTGATGGACAGAAACAACATCTAATGGGTCAGCATTATGGGGATGTAAATGTACAATGTCACTGGCAAATAATGGCAATGCAATTAATGTTTGGGATTGTGTTGATTTCCATAATGAAAATCTAACCAAGTTCTGTCTTTCTCTCTTTTTTTAGGGTGGATGGGCACTTCTACAAAACTGCCATCTAGGTCTTGACTTTATGGATGAGTTGATGGACACTATTGTGGAAACAGAGACTGTGCATGAAGCTTTCCGCTTGTGGATGACCACAGAGGTTCACAAGCATTTCCCTATAACCCTTCTACAAATGTCTATTAAATTCACCAATGAGCCTCCCCAAGGACTCAAAGCTGGCTTAAAGAGGACCTATGGGGGTGAGTGACTTGTCCTTTTTCAATTACTTGTCATGTATGTCCACTTAACTTTAGAACTATAAAAACTCATGTGCCCAAATTCTTCTAGAATTTGACTTGTGTTTCTCCATACTTTTTTGTTTAGTCAAATTATTTTCTGCCTTGGGTTCTTCAGTGATGTGGTGTAGGAAATAAGTCTAAATGCATGGTTTGTGGTAATATCAATCAATGACTTTTTAACAGGTGTGAGTCAGGATCTCTTAGATATTAGCAACATGACACAATGGAAACCAATGCTATATGCTGTAGCCTTCCTACACTCCACAGTCCAAGAAAGAAGGAAATTTGGACCTCTTGGATGGAACATACCCTATGAGTTCAATCAAGCTGATTTCAATGCTACTGTACAGTTTGTTCAGAACCATTTGGATGATATGGATATGAAAAAGGTACTTGGCACAACTTTGCTGAGAGTAAATGTCTGGCAGCTTATATGATTTTAGATAATGTGACTGGCCAAATTGTTTCAATAAAGTATGATGTTCCTGTAGCTGCAAATAAATTAATACTTGAAAGGGCCACCATGTTTGATGGGTTGTGATTGAAAGTGAGGAATCCACCTTCTCCATCCTTTACAAAAGCTTTGTAGGTTTAGCTGCAGAGTAATGGATGTTAGGCATAAGGTGAAGGTGATGACAAATTTAGATAGTGTAGTGGTCCCAGAAAAAAAGAGAGATTTTAACCAATCCTTATTGGAGGACCAACTTTATGTTGCCCATAGAGGTATCCTTCCTGGAGTGAAAGCCAACCATTCTCAGGCTCAGGAGAAGATCCATGTCTTGGCATTCTTCCAACTTCTGTCCTAGAAGCATTCTGTGCCTACAATCACAACATATCAGACCTCTTCACTCATTCACTCATTCTGAAAAATGAGACCACAATGGGTGGTAAATGCTGTCATGTCCTAAGAAGGACAAAGAAAGAGAGATTCACAGTTCCAGTTTGATTCAAATTGGTTCAGAATTAGTCCTGAGGTGGGTGTTCCTCCATCACAATATAGGACCTTCAGCATTTTTAGATTTTCAAAACCAGCTTTTATAAAGCATGTCATATAAAGAGAATACATTTACCTACATGTAGCTCCATAAAAACATATTATAACCTTGTTTTGTCTCTGCTTTGTTTCAGGGTGTGTCTTGGAATACTGTTCGTTACATGATAGGGGAGATCCAGTATGGTGGGAGAGTCACCGATGACTATGACAAGAGGTTGCTTAATACATTTGCTAAAGTGTGGTTCAGTGAAACCATGTTCAGTCACGACTTCTCTTTCTACAAAGGCTACAGCATACCCAAGTGCACTGCAGTGGATCAATATCTTCAGTACATACAGGTCTGTGTCATTAACAATGCTATATAACAGAAAACTTTTGTATTTTTGAGAGAGACTGAGCTGGAATTGGCTAAATATAAACTTCTTTCTTGCACATAATTTGAACCCTGGTGCGATTTATCCTTAAGGAAGCTTCCTGTAGAGATATTGAGAGAGGAAATCCAAGGGTATACATAAAGAATTCTCAAATGAACTAGATGGGTAAAATCTGTGTCCTAGCAGACAATATCTCAATATTATGTATTGTATCTTCTGAAAGGAGATATTCTACAATAGATTTCCACAATTTGGGGCCCTCCAGTTATATTAGACGGTATATTCTCTCATCCCTAGCGGATGGGTGTGCTATTTGGGGATGTTGGATGTCATAACCTAAAGTTAAAACTATCAAACAAACTATCAAACAAACTCAAGGTAGTTAAAATATAAACCAGCAAGAAAAGCAAACACATCTATACCTGATGGCATTCTTTCTGAAATGAAAATGAAACTGGCAGGTGACGGCTGATGGTAATCTACTGATTTCCAAGTTTTCCCAAGAAAAACAAAATAACATTCAGCAACATGGGCAGATTTGGAAAATGCACAAATACACTCCACATTTATGCTTTGAACACTTGAAAGATCTAGACAAATATTAAGTGTTGTTACTAAGTATTATTCTCTGCTTCATGTAATAGTCTCCTGTGTATATGAAAATATCTCTATGGAAGACATTATTAAATAATTTCTATGATTCTGTGGGGCTTCTGTGTGTGTGTGCATAATACAGGCATACCTCAGTTAACAAAACCTCTGACAGAGAAACACTTTGTATTTTCACACACACACTTTTTCTTGTATTCTTGAAGACTTTCATGGTGGAACCACTGGGTTTCTGTGAGTTTTATGGGCTATATGGCCATATTCCTGTAGCAATCTCTCCTGACGTTTCACTTGCATCTGTGGCTGGCATCTTCAGAGGTTCCTCTGAAGATGCCAGCCACAGGTTCAGGTGAAATGTCAGGAGGGAATGCTACAGGAACATAGCCATACAGCTCGAAAAACTCACAGGATCCTTTTCCTTCTTTTTATCAGTCTAGCGGAGAGCTTTTTTGTAGCCAACATTCACATTGGGAGGATACTGAAGGGTTGAAGGAATACAGACTTTCAGTGTTATGTTGCAATAGCAGGTTGTGGTAAACAATGAATAAAGCTTGAGTTGGGAAAGAATGGGATTCTGCTCTAGACAGTTCCACTATAACCCCATGTGCCGCTTACAGCAGGCAAGGTAAATAGCAACAGCTTCCAGAGGCCCTCTCTGAGCATGCACGAACTGCAAAACAGAAAGCAGGGAAGAGCAGATAAGCTTGCCTTACCTTCTGTCCTCAGCATGTTAGTAAAGCTGTTAAGTATGGCCCCCAAAAAAGAAATCGTAGGAAAAGCAGAGCCAGGTGAAAAAGTAGTGTCATCCCAAGGATACATTTTAGAGACAGCTTTCAAGTGGTCTCTAGATTATTCAAAAGGTTTTTGTTACTTATGCAAGACTTACCTTAGCTGGCTGTTTCATTTCACATATATTAACCTGAATTTTAAAAATGCCAAAACGCATTGAACAGCTCTTTATTTTTGTGGTTCCAAGACCTTATTCTTTTTCTTTCCGTGTGATTTCTGCCTCTGATTTCAATTTTTCTGTTAAAGAAGAAATGCCCAGGAGCACATCTACATCAATGGCTGGGTATTACCTATAGCAACAAGATATTTAACCCACACTGTTTTGAATTCTTCTTTTGTACTCCCATACACTATTTCTTGTATTATTTTCTAAAATGTCTCGGTGTGAAGGCTTTCATCAATAACATATGAACATTCAGAGGTTTTGTTGGCAAAAGGGCTTTTATATTTCAGGGTGATGTTTTGGTACTTTTGAAAAAAAATCCAAGGACATTCTATTTCAAGTCATTTTAATCACCAGTACTAGGAAAAACTTTTCTAAAGTGCTGTATTGCATCTTCATGTTTCCCTTGTGTAGGGCCTGCCTGCTTATGATACACCAGAGGTATTTGGTCTGCATCCCAATGCAGACATAACTTACCAGAGCAAACTTGCAAAAGATGTGCTAGACACCATTCTGAGCATTCAGCCAAAAGACAGTTCCAGTGGAGGAGGAGAGACCCGAGAGGCTGTGGTTGCTAGATTAGCTGATGACATGCTGGAGAAGCTTCCTGCAGACTATGTACCTTTTGAGGTAAGTTCCTGAATTTCTTGCAACAGAAGAAATTGGGTTGCACTTGATTTCCTAGAGGAAACAGAGGAGAGACACTGATTCAATTAACACTTGGGAAGTCAACATTTCTGAATGTTTCACTGATTCATGGATGCCAAAACCAAACAGGCAGTGCAAGAGTTAGACTTATTGTTAAGAATGGGGTGAGGCAACAGGAAGTGAGAGACGTCTATTCCTAGGAAGGGAAATTTAGCAACAAACTAATTTTTTTCAAAATTGAACTATTACAGGGATAGAAAGTGAGATGAAATCTTCTGAACAGGGGCATGGACAGGGAAAAAAAACCACCACAGGGGTTTTTAATAATAGTAATAATAATAATAATAATAATCTATATTAATAAAAATGTAATGTTTGTTTGTGGGATTAACAGAACTCAAAAACTACTGGACAAATTGACACCAAATTTGGACACAAGACACCTAACAACCCAATGTATGTCCTTCACTCAAAAAGAATTGGTTTTGTCATTTGGAAGTTGTAGTTGCTGGGATTTATAGTTCACCTACAATGAAAGAATATTCTGAATTCCATCAACGATGGAATGGAACCAAACTTGGCCCACAGGACTCCCATGACCAACAGAAAATACTGGAAGGGTTTGTGGGCATTGACCTTGAGTTTGGGAGTTGTAGTTCACCTACATCCAGAGAGCACTGTGGACTCAAACAATGATGGATCTGGACCAAACTCTACACGAATACTCAATGTGCCCAAATGTGAACACTGGTGGAGTTTGGGGAAAATAGAATCTTGACATTTGGGAGTTGTAGTTGCTGGGATTTATAGTTCACCTACAATCACAGAGCATTCTGAACCCCACCAATGAACCTTCCACACAGAACCCCCATGACCCCCAGAGTGGGCCACAGCAACGTGTGGCAGGGGACAGCTAGTAATAATAATAATAATAATAATAATAATAATAATAATAATAATAATATTATGGAAAATGAACATATCAAACTCCTCTGGCACTTCCAAATTTAGACTGGCAGAGTTTGGAGCACAATACTCCTGACCTCTCAATCTTCTTAAAAAACAAAGTATGGATTGTCGATGTTGCAATCCCAGGTGACAGCAGGATTGAAGAGAAACAATTGGAAAAGCTGACATGATATGAGGATTTAAAGATTGAACTGCAAAGACTCTGGCACAAACCAGTAAACGTGATCCCAGTGGTGATCAACACACTGGGTGCAGTGTCCAAAGACCTTGGCCTGCACTTAAATACAATTGACACTGACAAAATTACCATGTGTCAGCTGCAGAAGGCTGCCTTACTGGGTTCTGCACGCATTATTTGCCGATACATCACACAGTCCTAGACATTTGGGAAGTGTCCGACGTGTGATCCACTACAACAGCCAGCAGAGTGCCTACTGTGGACTCATCTTGATGTCTTTCAAATAATAATAATAATAATAATAATAATAATAATAATAATAATACAAAATAAAAAATAAAAAATAAAAAAGGAAAGGTAGTCCCCTGACATTAAGTCCAGTCATGTCTGACTCTGGGGTGTGGTGCTCATCTCCATTTCTAAGCCGAAGAGCCAGCGTTGTCCATAGACACCTCCAAGGTCATGTGGCCGGCATGACTGCATGGAGCGCCGTTACCTTCCCGCCGGAGCAGTACCTATTGATCTATTCACATTTGCATGTTTTCGAACTGCTAGGTTGGCAGAAGCTAGGGCTGACAGCGGAAGCTCACGCCGCTCCCTGGAATCGAACCTTTTGATCAACAAGTTCAGCAGCTCAGTGCTTTAACCCACTGCGCCACCGGGGGCTCCAAAATACAAAATACACTTTATTTATAGTCTGCTTTATCTCCCTGGAGGGACACAGAGTGGATTACAATACACAAATAAGGCAAACATTCAGTGTCTTTTTACACTACAGTAAACAATGACGTACAACACAGACAAAGGTAAAGGCTTTCCTCTTTTTTCCATCTCTGGCGTCTGGAGGTGATGTTCTACTTCGACCATGGGGAGGTGATCTTATTCAATATTTCCACGCCAAGGAGCCTATGCTTCTTTATGCTATCCAAAGCTTGTGTGTGTGTGTGGCTAATTACACATAAAAAATATACTTGATCCAACTTACATACAAATTCAACAAGGACAAACCTACAGAACCTATCTTGTTCATAACTTAGGAACGTCCTATGAAAACAAAAGCAACATGGAAAAAAGTTCAATTTTGGGGTTGAGAAATATGCATTTTTTGATTGTGTGACATTCGATTTAAATGATAAATTGCTCCCAATAGAAATTTCAAAGACAGGAAATACATGTATGGAAATTTGAGCAACTGCAGTTTTAACCCTAAGCTGATCACTATGTCTTCGGCTTTCCTCAAGAGAACTGTAGAAACACAGACAATCTCCAATTCCCTAAAATAGGGGTTTCAATGTTGGAGCTTTCCAGATGTTGTTGGAGGTAACTTCCAGTGTTCTTCACCACTGGTTTTGCTACCCAGAGTTGTCTGTGTGTGTCTTTAAGTCATCTGCCAGCTTATGGGACCATGAATTTCATAGGTTTTCTCCAGAAAGGAATGTCAGAGGTGATTTTGCCAGTCCATTCCTCTGAAATATGGCCCAAAGCACCTGGTACTCACTGGAGGCCTCCCATCCAAATACTAATCTGAATCTGAGCCTACTTACCTGCCATTAGATGGGATCTGATCTCTTTGAGGTATTTAGGCCTACTGGGAGTTACAGACAATCAGTATCTGGCAGGCTATGTGCTTCTCATTCCTGTTGTAATAATAATAATAATAATAATAATAATAATAATAATAATAATAATAATTTTATAGACTGCCATCTCTCCCCAAGGGAACTCAAAAAAGTAAACATTCAATGACCTATGCAAATACGAACATCTCAGAAATAACACACAATAATATAAAATAATAACCATAACCTTATGATAAAAGAAAAATTAACATTAACATGAAAAACAGAATACAAATAATCAAATAAGCATAATTATACTGATAACATAATTGAGACATAAACCCTGAGAGAATGATTCAAAAACACAAAAATGGCTAGCATGATTGTTCTTTCTCATGTACCATAACAGCAATGGAATAAGGTAGCCAGCATTCCAATGGAATTAAAAGTGTCCTAATCTTCCTCCTCTAAAGGAGTAAACACAACGTATGCTTCTTCAGTCCTCTGTAGATACACACACATGCATGCACTTTGTCCAAATCAGAGGCAATAAGTGTATTCCTCAGTATTCACAGATATTGTGACAAACTTCTTTTATGCACTCTTAGTCTTTCCAGAGAAAGCAAAAATACATCATTCAGCTCTACCTGTCTTTTCCATTTGAACAACTGTATCTTCTCAGCCTCTTTCTGCGTGATAGAACTTTATGTAAGTTTATCAGTCTAGCTGTTTACAGGGCCTGGTAATCTGCAGTTCCTTATATTCATACATTTTCTCTTCTTATGTCAGGTAAAGGAGAGGCTTCAGCAGATGGGTCCATTTCAGCCCATGAACATCTTCCTGCGACAGGAAATCGATAGAATGCAGAGGATTATTGCTCTGGTTCGAAACACTTTGACAGATCTAAAGCTTGCCATTGATGGGACTATCATCATGAGTGAGAACTTGAGAGATGCTTTGGATTGTATGTATGATGCAAGAATTCCTGAGCGCTGGAAGAAGGTTGGCACTGTTTCTTTCATGGGTGGTGGAAAGAGAATACTAGTACCAATTTAACAGTACTTTACACTACATGTCTGGCATTCGGCATTTGTGTGTCTTGAAATATCTCATAGCTGTCATGTGTTCCAAAATTTCAGATACACACAAACACCTCTGACAGTGATCCTTTATAATTGAAAGCAAGTTCTTTCCCACTAAGGGAATGTCACTGTTGCATTTCATACTACTCTGATAACATTTGTCATTTCTAGACCATATAGAAACATGTAAGTTGTAACTGTTTTCTTACACAATTCCTGGCTAATATGGGAAACTATTGGGAATTAAGACAAGTGGCAGTCATCTTATGAATAAATTGATTCACTCAATCCACCAGCAATGTTTTCTTATTGTAGCTTAAGTCTATATGTAATTGAGGTCCACCATGTATTAAATTGCTTCAGAAGAGAGATGGAGGTTCACAGGAATTTATGTTTCTACTAGCCACCCCCTGCCATGCATTGTTGTGGCTCAATCTGTGTATATGTTTGTGTGTGTGTGTGTATTTGTGTATATGTGTGTTTGTGTATATATGTATGTGGCTTTGTGCATTCATTTTTGTTTTGTTTTTTGGCTTTTTAAATCTCTTCTGCTGTGTTTGTCAGTGTTTTTAGTCACTTGTTGGGAAGCTTGCCCCAATTCTTTCGTTGGTGGGTTTCAGAATGCTCTTTGATTGTAGGTGAACTATAAATCCCAGTAACTATAACTCCCAAATGCCAAGGTCTATTTCCCCCAAACACCATCTGTGTTCATATTTGGGCATATTGAGTATTCATGCCAAGTTTGGTCCAGATCCATCATTGTTTGAGTCCACAGTGCTCTCTGGATGTAGGTGAACTACAACTCCCAAACTCAAGGTCAATGCCCACCAAACCCTTCCAGTATTTTTTTGTTGGTCATGAGAGTTCTGTGTACCAAGTTTGGTTCAATGCCATCATTGTTGGAGTTCAGAATGCTCTTTGATTGTTGGTGAACTATAAATCCCAGCAACTACAACTCCCAAATGACAAAATCAAAAAAATTTGAGTGAAGGACATACATTGGGTTGTTAGGTGTATAGTGTCCAAATTTGGTGTCAATTGGCCCACTGGTTTTTGAGTTCTGTTAATCCCACAAACGAACATTACATTTTTATTTATATAGATCGATTCACCCACTCTACCAGCAATGTTTTCCTATTGTAGCTTAAGTTTATGTGTCATGTATTTAACTGCTTCAGAAGGGAGATGGAGGTTCACAGGAATATATGTTTCTATGTACAAAGAGAAGGTTTTTTGTTTTCTCTGTGAGGTAGCATTCATCGTGCAAGCTTCCACCTGCAGATAGATGTGGTAATATCAAAATACAATTTTACCAAGTCAGTAAAGACTAAAGGAGGCATTGCTTCAAAGTGGGTCAAGCACCTGCATCTGTTCCTTGTTTTTCTGTGCTTGACTGGGATTGGTTGGATCCAGGTTATTTTAGAAGGCCATAAAAGTGCGTGAAGCTGTACGTAGTACATGGGACACACAAGCCCACCACCTTCTACAAAAGGTAGAGGGCTTAAATTCTCAACCCAGGGTCCCCAGATGTTTTTGGTCTACAACTCCCAGAAATCCTAGCCAGTTACCAGCTGTTAGGATTTCTGGGAATTGAAGGCCAAAAACATCTGGGGACCCCAGGTTGAGAATCACTGGCTTAAATCAAGGGTCCTCAAACTTTTTAAGCAGGCCACAGTCCCTCAAACTGTTGGAGGGCTGGATTATAATTTGAAAAAAAAAATGAATGAATTCCTGTGCACACTGCACATATCTTATTTGTAGTGCAAAAAAACCCACTTTAAAACAATATAATAATTAAAATGAAGAACATTTTTAACAAATATAAACTTATTAGTATTTCAATGGAAAATGTGGACCTGCTTTTGGCTGATGAGATAGGATTGTTGTCGTTGTATGCTTTCAAGTCATTTCAGACTTAGGTTGACCCTAGTGAGGACCAGGTAAATGACCTTAGAAGACCGTATCCAGCCCCCAGGCCTTAGTTTGAGGACCCCTGGCTTAAATGTTAGCCAGTGTGATTGTGATCCAAATTGACTCAAAACACTTGCAATTGTTTTGCTCCCAATATCTCCAATTTTTCTTAAGCTGGCATGGAGGCATTTGCATGACATTTTGAGGTCACCTGGGGCATATTAAGCCATTTTTAAAACAGGACAATATTAGTAAGTGACATCTGGTCATTTCAGATGTCGTAAATAGATCTTTCTTGGACCTGACATGGTTGAGGAAACCAAAATGTAATAAAAACATCCTCACTGCAAAAGGCTATTTGGAGGCTAAATATTGATTTGAAGCTGGGGCAGGGGTTCTGGTGGAGATGTAAATGCCAACAATGGAATTAAAATACGTTCTGGTTCAGAGGACTGGGTACCCATGTATAACATTTTGAGGCATTGCAATAAATTCAAAGTTGAGTTCTTTACATCATTAAGAAAAATATATTTATGTTTCTAGGCCTCTTGGGCTTCTAGCACTCTTGGATTCTGGTTTACTGAGCTTCTTGAGAGGAACCGGCAATTTCACTGTTGGATTTTTGAAGGGCGGCCAAACTGCTTTTGGATGACAGGGTTCTTCAACCCTCAAGGATTTTTGACTGCAATGAGACAGGTTAAAGACTACTTTTTAAATATTGCTATGTAGAGATAGTAGAGAAGATAGCATCTGTTCATGTTTGCTACAAATTTGAGTGGCCCTTGCCATCTTGAGACAGTTCAAGTTCTGTGTGATCTAGCTCTGACTTTGGTATTCACACTACTAATACTGTTTTTTTTCTTTGTAACTTAGGACAGAAAATTTCTGTCTTGAGTCTTCTTTTTCTCTGGTAGAGGATTAGGGAGAGTTAGCCCTGTTAATTTTGTTTATTTAAAATTGTCCATTTTATTCAGGGATTTCACTCTACTTATCAAGAGTTTTTCAGTGTGAAGCTTACTTTTTGAAGGTTCCCAGAATAATTAACGATTGTTCAGGGAATTAAAATAAATTGTAAAATTCTGTCTTATTCTCCCCCTTGACTTTCACAGTCAGAAGCCGTTTAATGAGCTATTATCTGAGTGGAAGGCTTGGTCTTGAACTACCTATAGAAACTGTCACCTTTACTGAGCTTTTATCGTACTTTCCTGAAATACTTCCATGTAGTCTACCCTTATCTCTTAATCTTAATCTGAGAAAATTATTTAATCCACTTACGTATACAGTATCCTTCCTCTTCTGCCTCCTCTTCCTCCTCTTTCTTGTGGCAAAACGTGGGAAATATGGTGAGAAATCTAGTGAGAAACATCAGAGGCTGCCAAGAAAGCAAGAGAAAGTTGTAACAGCCATTGTTCTCCTTGCAGTAATTATGGAACTAGAGAAGTAATGTCATGGCTCTTCGCATGTTGAAATTCCAGTTGACAAAACTTATCTCATGTATCGCTTCACAGGAGATAACTCGAGCGAACAAGGGATGGGCATTGGACAGTGTAGTTCTGTGTAATGAGGTAACCAAGTGGATGAAAGATGACATCACAATTCCTCCTTCCGAAGGCGTCTATGTATATGGCCTCTACCTGGAAGGAGCTGGCTGGGATAAAAGAAACATGAAACTCATAGAGTCGAAGCCTAAGGTGCTTTTTGAACCAATGCCTGTGATAAGAATATATGCAGAAAACAACAGTAAGTATTTAGCATATTGTGATTATGATGTATTTGTTGACCTACTGGCATCCTGTAACTATTCCCCTGTAGTTGTTATGATAGTGTTTGCACAGAGCCTCATTGTAATATGTTTACAATGTGATGGAGCTATCTTGTAGCTGCTGTTGTCAACCTATGAGGACCAGGTTAGATGCTGCCATGACTGCAGTGCAGCCAACTGAAATGCCTTTTCTGTGATAGTGATCTACACAGGAGATGTGTAATGAATCCTGGGCTCCTGTCACTCATCTTTTCCCCTTCTATATAAAATCCCTCCCTCAACTGAGTACTTGGGCCTCAAAGTGACCCTATGTGGGCCAGTGAATATGTTTTTCTGCGGTTTCATTGTGGTGTGACAATGAAAAGTATTTTCATCCCCAAATGATACCAAATATAAGAGGGAAACTAGGGAGGATTTTTCCATGTCTACAGAAATACGTATTACTGTACAAATTATTTTTCCTTCATGGACACTTTCAGTTCCCGGCAGCTTGAGATTTGGGCATTCCAGTTCTGTTGCAAAAGATTGCACAATATTCACATTTTTGTTCCTGTTTGAATAATTCTCATAACTCCTACCATCTGGTTCTGGGCTCATAATCAGTAATGTAGAATAGAAATCCCACTCTGTGTATTGAAATGGAGCTCATACATATGACTAAGTTACCCAGTGGGTGTACTTTCTCTCGCATACTCACTGGGGTAGTTTGGTTATCTGTTTACTACTGCAGGGAGGGAATGAGAATTTCAGTATATTAGGACTGGGAGCAATAGCAAGATAGTCATTTTGGTTTGCAAAGCACAGAGAAGGTCACTTTTATATTGCCCTTTAAACCAATGGTGGGTCAGATGTGGCTTCTTACAGGTGCTACTTACATCACTGAAGTACCACTCTTCTTGCCACTTCTATTCAGAGTGTACACAGAGAATTACTCTTGCCTGCCTGCTTTCCAAACAAAGTCTGTCTCCTGTCTGTCCGCCCAATAGCGGTTTTGGTGGGTTGGCAGGGGCTTAGTTAAACAGATTGCATGAGGACAGTTCTCATTGCATGTTGTAACAAAATAGCGAATTATAATGTATGTTTTAAATATGTTTATTGTGTTGGGATATGATAAGTGCAGGCCAGCTTATGTGTCGCCTGAGCTGAGGCATTGCCATAGCGATGGAACCAGTTGTTAGAATGTATCCAAGCTAGAGAAGCCAAAGGGGCGGAGCTAACTGCCACCTGGCAAGGACAGGCATTTTAAAACTCAGTTTCTTTTGGTCAGTCTTTGGTGAGGAAGCCAAAGAGGAAAGTGGTTCTGGTGTGTTGAGGTTTTCAGCTAGTGTTTAGAGCAGGGGTAGGGAACCTTTGGCCCTCCAGCTGTGGTGGACTTCAACTCCCACAATTCCTTGAGGCTCGGCATTCGCCCCCAAGGCTTACCTTGGCCCAATGCCGAGCCCCAAGGAATTGTGGGAGTTGAAGTCCACCACAGCTGGAGGGCCAAAGGTTCCCTACCCCTGGTTTAGAGAGTCAATTGGGCCTGCTTAAATGAACAAGTAGCTTGTGAGCTAAGGGGAAAAGAAACCCCAGTAAAAATCCATAACTTCAGTGTGGATAGCTGCAGGGAGAAAAAGGCAAGTCAGTGCCTTGAAGTGTCAGTTAAGAAAAGAAAGATACTTTGCAGTGAAATAAATTTAAAACCAGTCTGGTGGAAGTAAAAGCCATACTGAGAGTTATATTGGAAATTGTTTAACTAAAGTCAATTGTAACAAGATTTAAAGGAATACAGAATAACCTTCAAACATTGTACACCTGTGAATCCTTAAATAAATATTTCCTTGATCAGTTCTTTATAATTAGAACTCATGTCCATTTATTGAGAAGAAGATTTACCTCAGAAGAACGCAGCTGAAGATATTGGAAGAAAGGATTCTGGTTACTCCTTTAAAAAAAGTGCCTCAAGTAAAATACTATTTTAAAAGTCAAGTCTCAGCTACACGCACCACCACTACTTTAGTCTACTCATTGCCCTGGAGATATATATATGTGTGTGTGTGTGTGTCATTTGTTCGTCATATTTTACACATGTCCTCTTTTGGAGTAGAACACAATATGCTAAGAAAGGAAGCCTCACTGGGATGGGAGTGGAACTGAAGTTTACTACCCACCCAGTGCTCTGGTTTCAATGTAGGTCCAGTGGGACCTTCCTAGTCAGTTAGGGTCACAAGGTAAAAAAATAACTCCTGTATCTTTAATGGTTGTGCAGAAAAGAGAATTTCAGGATATGTAAGCATGTTGTTGTTGTTGTATGTTGTTGTATGTGTCATTTATGGTGACCATAAGGTGAACCTATCACATGAGTTTCTCGGGCTGAATATGTGTGATTCGCCCAAGATCATCCACTGGGTTTCCATGGTTAAATGAAGAATTGAACCCTGGTTTTCTGAGTCATTGTCCGATGTTCAAACCACTACACCATTCGAGGTAAAGAAGCTCTGGTCAGCTAAATATAGCTAATGGACATCACTTATAAAACCTGAGGCTATACTGCTTGGATATATTTCAATTAAGATGAGTCATGTTGATCATAGAAGAATATTAATTTAGATGGATATGATCAATACTGTATGGCATCCTGTCCACTGTGCCATCTTGTTCATTGTTATATGTACCTTGCTCAACTAAATTTTATTTCTTTTTTATTTATTGGTTATTTGATTTATGGTAATTCAATTTACATGATGTTATCACTTGCTTAATTAAATGTCTGGCTGACCTTCTTTTTGGCCAATAAGCTCAAGACATTACACATAGTCCTAGTCATCAATTTAATTATTATGCAATGCTGCTGTTCTGTGGTCTCAAACATGTGTAACTGGGTAGAAGAATTCAGCCTAGTGTTAAAATACCCTAGCATACTTCTTTATATTTAGGTTCACGTATTACATGGGCAATGCATTCTGGGACCCTTTTGTAATCTGAAACTATTTTTATTACGTGAAATGCACAGTGCCTTTTTTTTCCAGCTACAGCATACCACAGAGCTGCTCTGGAGAATCAAGAAAATCATAAAGAGGTATTTTCTCTAGGCCTCCATCTTGATTCTGTGACAAATGTCCATCCAGCCGATGTCCCAGAAGAAGTTGACTGTAGCACTGGAGGCCTAGATAGAACACTTCCCTATGTATTTCTAGGACTTCCAGAGCAATTCTGTGTTTTTCCAAGTGTGTATAAATGAAACTACATTGAGTGAGCTTCCATAATAAGTGGGATTTCTGTGCATTTCAGATGGCACTTGCCTTTGTTAAAGTTGAAAATGAAAGGCTGTTGCAGAAGAGGTAGTCTTAATGACAACAAAAAGTATTAAACAAGTTTGATTTTAATAGGCAAAGTGAAGTGCCTTGTCTCCCTTTCAGAGTCTGAAAAAAGTTAGATTTTAGGAAAACAGTTACCAGAATTTCCTACCATAATGGCTGCCATCCATGTGAGTTGAGGGGTCTGGAGGCTGCAGGCTTGTTTGATAGTAAGTAGGTGTTCCGTCTTCCAGGAGCTTGGTTTGCATTGCCCTTTAGTTGCTTGAGATAGCACGCCTTTACTTTTTTCCCAGGGTTGCTGCAGTCTTAGCAGTACCCTGAAAATTAATTATTAACAGAGGCTGGAAACCAGCCTTCAAGCCTTTTGCAGCTATTGGTTTAAAAAGTGTCCTTTTGGTCTAGAAACTGCCCTTTTTCCTGGGGATGAGATCTCCATTTTGGAAAAGCCCTCCTGCTTTCTTTAGTATAGAAAAAGCCTCAGATGTGCTGGTGGCCAGCTAGACAGCTCGGACAAGCCATTGTGAGTACAATTGAGATTGAGATTGAGGGCTGAGGTTACCCTCTCGCCTTAGAAACTGGCGCTGAGCTCAGATAGAGAAAGACCTGCTCTTTCTAAAGGACAGTAGCTCAGTGCTGGGACAGGGAATATCTCTGATTTCTCTGTCATTGAGAAAGGCTCCATTGCTTCATCTCCAAAACTAATCTTGAGCTTAGATAGGGGAAGACCTGCTCCTTCTGAAATATAACAGCTCAGAGTTAGGGTAAAAGATCCCAGGATTTTTCTACCGTTGGGGATAAGTTAACTCAGCAACTGAAGGAAAAAGGAAAGAAAGAACATCTATATGGTTTCCCAAATTGACTGTTTTGTTTGTAACTTCATCAAGCTGTGCCAAGTCTGTCAAGGACTTTGAAAAATAAATGTTCTGTTGATGTTCAATTATGGACTGGCCTCAGTTGCTGAGAATTTGGAACTTCTAAGAAAGGCACCCACGTTCGCCCAGATAAAGAGAGAAGCACATCTTAGTTTTAACTTCATAGTGTCTGGGTGTGACGGCACAGTAGGCTATGTGTTAGAATGAGAGTGGACTTGTGACTAAAAGTCCAAGAAAACTATTACACCTTCCTCTGCTCTCAAGTTCTGGTTTACCAAACATCACTCCAGGTACATTACCCAATGCAGGCAGTCCCCAAGTTATGAACAAGATAGCTTCTGCGGGTTTATTCTTAAGTTCAATTTGTTTGTAAGTCGGAACAGGTATATTTTGTAAGTGTTACTCCAGCCAAATATATACATTTTTAGATTTGGATAGTATAGGGGAGGGTTAACACCGCTGTGGTGTCGGTTTTGCTGTCTGTACCCTTGTTCAGAAGATTTCACCTCATTTTCTGTCCATTTTCTATGATAATTGGATTTTGAAAAAAATGGCTTGTTGTAGAAACAAGGATTGGTGATAAAGCTTCACTTGAAAAACCTTTTCCCCATATTAACGCTTTCAGGAATGAATTTCCCTTCTGAGGGGTAGATTTCTCTCATCCTCCTTCTTGAGTCATTTGTATGTTGAATGTTACAGGAACTGCCTTTAAATAGAATGTGGCTACAAATAATGAATGCTTACATTAATTGCAATGGCTGAGGCTTTCTGTAGAAGCCATAGTAAGACTGAGGAATATGAAGTGAAGATTAAAAAACTTTGTATTACTCCAATAGAAAATCAGGAAAAGGAAAGTCCAATTAGTTTTCTTTCACTACCATGAGTATTTTAAGCACTCCTTGTTAAAAAAGAAAGAAATGCCAGCCAGCTTCAAACTTTTTGCTCTTGGAAGAGTGCAAAGTTTTGGCAAGTGCTGGGGAGGCTGCAAGTTGTAACGGGGTACGCTGGTGCTCATGTTGACAGCTGAACGTGTAGAGTTTGGATTTGCTTGAGTAAACAAGTCAAAAGATTGAAAGAGCAACTTGAGAAGTGAAAAGTAGGACCTCTGGGGTCCACAAAGGCGGGAAGCAGCTGTCAAATTGGATTGCGGGCTGGAGAGACGGACACCTAAAGCCCGGCCTGTTCTGCTTTGTGGCGTTCAGCATGTGCTGTTCTCTGAAAGCAGTCAGCCTTGTTTAAGAAATAAAATCCCCCATGAAATAAACATAAAAGCCGTGAAGGGCAAAAATCTCCTGGCCCATAATCCTGCTTTCATTTTATTTTTGGCTCAGTCAGTTTTATGGTTGAAGCTGCTTGCTTAGTTGAGAATCCCATTATGAGAGGAAAACAAGAGAATGGTCTGTCATACATGTCCTTCAGGTAGGTGAGATGTCATTGCAGGTGCATGCCTGTTGCAGGTATTGCTGGGTTTTTTTTACTTGGATTCTTCTGTTGGAGAATGGCTGTTTGTTTTCAGAAGCAGTTCCAAGACACCCCCTCCCCCAATGGTTATACTGATGGGCAAATCCTAAAGGACTTCATCTCTAGGGTTGTGCACATATTGGGTTGGCCTGGAATTGATTCAGAAAATTTGGTGATCCGGTTACTAAATCCCCCAAAACAGGAAGGCGTGTGTGTGTGTGTGTGGGGGGGGGGGGGGGCAGAAGGCTGGCTGGAACATATCAACAGCAGCTGGATCTTTTGGCTACTGGAGCTGATGGAGTTATGCACTCTACCGGAAGCAGAGGCCAGCCACGGGAGATCCTGGAGATATGAGATTTGTATCTGATGCAGCATCTCACTTCTTCCCTAGCCAGAGTCCTCCATTTCTTCTGGAAAACTTCCCTAGGCCCCTTCTCCAGAGAGGGCACTGTTGGGAACTCGCTTTCCCAGCAGCACTTGCACGGGGCGAGCACTGAAAAGCCTTTGAGCTCCTCCCGGGGCATGATGGGAGTTGAAGTTTCTCTCTCTCTGTTTCTCAGCCAATAAAAGGCCTGGTTGTGTCCATCCTCTGATTGGTTGAGAATGGGCACAACTGGTGACAATTCCCAGAACCCTCCCTTGTGGTTTGTCTTATTTTTTTAAAAAAAAATTTATGATAAAGACTTAAAATAATTCCAAAAAATCACCAGACCAGTGAATTGTTATGAAACTTGGCAGGCCTACACTCATAAGTGTGATCTACAGCTGAGGTAGGGTTCATGCAGATAGGACTAAAATTACTGAGAAATGAATCTCTACAGTTTCTCCATTGTAGCCAATGGGCCAAATCTCCCCCGAACAAAAATGGCACCCCCCCCCAATTTCAGTAATTTCCCAGTAAACAGAATGAGAGGTTAGCTGAAAACAAAACTTAAAATGGCATACTTTTGTGCCAAATTGCACAACCCAATTCATCACATGTAATAAAATCAGCATTTCTACACATTTAAGAAATGGTTATTGATGGAGCCCCTCACATGTCTCCTGTGTGATGAAAAAGCAAACATAATTAGAAAAGAAAGAGGGAAACCATGTGATGGGGGTAGGAAAATCATTCATTTAATTTCCAAATGTAGTGTTGCGAAGCTTAAAAGGAAAACAACAATCTCAATCTTATCCCATGGGATGAAGTCCCAAGATGTAGTCCAGAAAAAGTGACATTCCCTCGTTTTTGCCTATGTTACCTTGGATTGATCTTTTAAAATATAATTTTGCTTTTTAAACTCTTTATCTTTTCTTTTAATAAAACTATAAAGACTACTGCTGGTGTGTTCTTTGGTGTCATAAGCAAGGTGGTTCTACCGGATTTCTACTGGGGTTTCTTTTCCCCTTAGTTCATGAGTTAATTACTAACTTAAACAGGTCCAATTGACTCTGAAAATACACAAGCTGAAGACTTAAATCCCTGGGTTCAGTTTCTCCACACACCAGAACACAGCTTCCACTTTTGTCCAATGACTAAAAAGAAACTGACCTTTTAAAAATGCCTCTCCCTCCCAGGTGGCAGTTAGCTCTGCCCCTTTGGCTTCTCTAACTTGGATACATTCTAACAGCCGGTTCCGTCACTATGGCAGCACCTCTGCACAGGTGACATATCAGCTGGCTTGCACCTATCATATCCCAACATCAATAAACACAAACATTATAATCAGCTATTTCCTTACAGTAAGCAACCCCTATGATACCAGATTCACTTTTTGTTTCTGGAATTTTGGCTTTTTCCCCAGTGAAAGTGGAGGATGAAATTAACCAACTCATAATTCATAGGCGTAAATAGGGTACTTCCAAACATATTAGAGGCTCTCCCCTTCAGAGATTTTCTCTTCTCACAAGAGGAAAGAGATAGTGAAGTAGAGCAGGGTTTAGAATAGTGGTGGCTAGAGGTTCCCATGTGAACTGGGTAGTGAATCTGCTCCAGGTATTAATCTAGGCTTTAAAGGACCTCCTAAATAGGTCTAGATCATAAATAGCTCCTTTAAAGCTAACCAAAATCCTGGCATGAATTCACCACCGAGATGGGAGCTACAGGCCACTATAAGCTTAGACTGCATCCTGTTTGTTAAGGTAGAAAACAAATGCTTAAGTTGGGCTTTAGGTGAGCTAGGCTTTAATATTTCTCATATCCAAGTCCAGGGCTTTTACCATATGTTATATGGTAAAAGCAAATATAAATATGTTTATACCATATGTTGTATGGTATAAATGCAAATATATCTCAATTGTTGTTCTCTGCTGTAAAATCTATTTTTAATTGTATTTGTATTCTTTGAGAAGGTGCTCTGGTCGTTCATAGCCTTGTAACAGTGGAGGATTTTCATTTTTCCCCTTCCCAGCCTTAAAAGATCCACGGCTGTACTCGTGTCCAATCTACAAGAAACCGGTTCGGACAGACCTGAATTACATTGCTGCGGTGGACCTTCGGACCACACAGTCTCCTGAACACTGGATATTGCGTGGAGTTGCTCTACTTTGTGATGTCAAATAAAGTTTAGAAAACATAGCCATGTTATTTTAGGGCTTTTAGAATAGACGCCTTCCGCTTTGCAGTTTTCACCTCACCAAGAACTAGATAGGTGGCTAGTTACCAAAGTGTTTGGGGTGTGTTTAAAGAATCTGAAAAGCATCTCACTTTCTTGACTTTCTCTCAAAATTTTAACAGGCTAACAGCATAGAAAAACCAGAATTTTCAGGAATAGAAATGTATATGTAGATATTTTCTTTTTTTCTGATTGAATTGTGCTTTAAGTGATTCAGAATTGACAGGCAAACATTAGTTGTCACTATGACTTTCCAGTGTGACAAATGCTTGGCAATTTCTGTAAAGGGAAAAAATAGAGGGAGAATGTAAAATAGAGTACCATCTTCCATACAAAATGTAGGTTTTCTCCTTACAGATATGACAGTTAATTTTAATGACTGGATTACATGTACTAATACAGTTTCTCCTCTGCTTGAAATTCATTGGCTGCAATTCAGAGAGAGCTGTATGTGTAGAAGATCTTTTGAAATCTGTAGACTATCCACGCTTCCTAATTCAATTTTGGTGAATGATATTCAGGTGAAAAAGTCTAGAACGTGGTACTAAAGTTATTCAAGGTACCGAAAAGGGAAAGGGGGATCCATTCATCTCATTTTGTGTTGTTTTATTTCCATCTATTTCCATTTCATTTATGTCCTGCCAGCTTTTTTTTTTCAAAAGTCTTCTGACAAATACAGTTAACATTTCAAGTTTGGAGTCAGTTGAAGAGAAATGTAGATCATGCCAGCCAATTTTGCTCTGTCACACTTCATGTCAAGGTCTACTTCTCAGTTGTTGTAAGCTGCTAGATGGATATCTAGAATTCATTTAAAAGCAGCCTGGCTTAATCCCAGTAAAAGAAAAATCCATATCCTAAATATGTTTTGAATATATATGTGTGTGTGTGCGCGCGCGTGTGCGTGCATGTGTATACACACACACACATATATACATACATGTAAACAGTGTTTGACTTAAAGGCTCTTTAAATGTACACTATTATTCCCTTTACGTGTTTCACAACTCTGAATTTCATTATTAAAACAAACAAATTTCCAGCTGCATGCATAAGGCCTTAGGTTCAGTCTTTGATATTTGCACTTAGAATCAGTATTGGGGATCATAGCTTTTTTTTGTGTGTCAAAAGTATTGCATAAATAAATTAGTATAACACTGATGTAATAGAGGGAACACAAGTGGCTAAATACCTTTAGACCAAAAATGGGCAACAGCAACTGCATTGTCAGTAGCATAGCTAAGAAAGTCTTCTGCTTGGGGATTTGGAAGTCTACTACAAGTCAGTTTGCAAGTCTGGGCAGATGGACTATTGATCTGGGTTAGTAGAAGACAGTTTCATCTGGAAATATTTAAAATGTGTGGATATACCAGAAACCAAACTGAGAAGGGCAAGGGTAATAGTCCAAAGCCCACCAAAGTTCTTTATCCCACAGGAAACACCTTGTCCTTCTCAATTCCCATGCAAATCACAATCACCTAATTTTCTGTCTGATATTTGACCCTCTTTCTCTAGTTCAGTGGTTCTCAACCTGAGGTCCCCAGATGTTTTTGGCCTACAACTCCCAGAAATCCCAGCCAGTTTACCAGCTGTTATGATTTCTGGGAGTTGAAGGCCAAAAACATCTGGGGGCCCCAGGTTGAGAACCACTGCTCTAGTTATTTCTCCAGGCTCACAAGACTAAATTGTATTCTTATTCCTAACTAGAGTAAACCAATGTCTTAGTGGGATTTATGTGAGTGTTGAAGTACCTTTCAACAATTGATCTATTCTGATTAGTTCTAGCAATTAGGTATAAGTCAAATTCACTATTGGTTTATATATTTAAAATAAAATAAAACATTGTACATTAATTAAGTACACTAATATGTGTCTAATTGATTGAGAATCCCTTACTTGGTGTTGAATGTAACATTTCTGAAGCAAGGGCCCTGTATTGCTTATTGAACTTTGGAGACATTAACTTAAGATGATCATCTTAAATTCAGTTGCATATATGAAGTACCATAACTTACCAAGCTTTTTCCTATCTGGCTTGGCCTTTCCTGCTAATATAAACTCTAAACAGAATGTTTAATGAAGTTGGACCCATCCTGATGGATTCATCATTTTAATGGATAATGCTGCATTTAGTAGATAGTTTCACACCCTAGAAAAAATTGAAACAGGTGAAAGCCACAATAATGTAATAATTATGTATGACACCTGGCCATGCAGGCTTGTTGATACTGGGCGCTGTAATCTAAAAAAAGTAAAGTTTCCAAGCTGGTGGAGATTTTGCTTATTATATGAATTCTTTGTAAACAATCTACTTTTTTTCACAGATACCTTTGAACGAATTATATTGAATTGCATTTTTGTTATGTGATCTAAGGGTAATTCTTTGTGTTATTAAAAATGAATGCTGAAATCAACTTTGATGACTGGTTGCAGTTTGTGTGTTGATAGTGATCAACATCAAAGAACATCATTTGGATTAACACAGCACTTGTAGAAGACATTAGAAGTACTAAGAAGAATACAGATCTCTTTGATTAAAAATGTTATCATAAAGATAAATTTAGTTTATTCCAGTAATACATGGTGTTAACAAACAGGAACATATTCTGCTCAGAAGCCATGCCAACTCTGGAATTTTGAGAATTGTATTCCAAAATGTAAAACTCTGAAATTCTAAAAAAAATGCAGTAGTAGTCACTGTACTAAATGACAGTGGCCTTCCAAGAGTTTGATGGATCAAGTTTGCTTCTTGACAGAAGGAGACATAAAATGAGGCGTTGAACCTCTAGACATTGATTGTACTCATACAGTAGTACTTCCTCGGACTTTATTTGTTACATGTTACATGTTAAACACTTACAAGTAAGTGTTTAAAGGGAAGAAGTGGCAAAAATATCCTAAATACAGAGGTAGAATAGAAGAATGAAATGGAAAGCTCCACTTGAACAAACCCACAAGGTCTTTCAATATCTTTCTTGTTTTCCCTGTAGACCAACAAAGAAAAGAATTCTTTGTACTACTTTGATCCTGCTATGGGAGTTAATTTTGTAATTAATTAAAGTTTTGGTTGCTATGACTAGTCCTGCAGGAAGCAAAGAAAAAGACATTTCTGAGCCAATTACAGTTTGGCTAAATTCAACCCTCTTGTGCTTCTTGAAAGCATTTTGCTCATCAAATACTGGGATCAAATAATAATGTCCAATTTGGTCATTATTTTAAAATATCCAGAGAGTAATATTTGACAATGACTTAAGATAAAATGCAGTAATATCACTGACCTTGATACTGAATGATGAACACTTCCTTATCTTAACACCTATTTCAACATGAAGTAGGCAAATATCCCATAGGGATGTGAACATCTCAGTCCTGGTTATAATTTATCCAGCCTGGATTCTCATCTCTTTTTCATCTTATATCATGTTTAAATGCTTTCCCCCACTTCTGGCAAGTGAATTCACATTTAAAAGATACAATTTTTCAATGTATTTTAAAGTAAATATTTTCCCATTGAGAAAATAATGTTTTTAAAAGCATATTTTTTCATTGTTTACATATTTGCCTATTCACTTTTTAGTAGGCTTGGTTTTTGTAATTGTGAGTTTGTTGAAATGTTGTTTGGAATTTTGATGAGTGTTGTGCATACCTTGTGGGTTGAAGTATGTGCACAGCAAATTTGGTGAGTTTTCATAGGGAGGTTTTCACGTTTTGCTGTCCCGTTGAACGCCCTTTCCCATTTTATATATATAGATTGTGTCCTTGGTGGCATTGAATTCTTTGTCTTGTAAACCGCCTTGAGTTTCTGGAAGGGTCAGAGGGGCGGTATAGAAATGTACTAAATAAATAAATAAATCTATATGGACCCAGAATGCTGGCTTGAGCTGGCACACTGAATGATATATTGATCTCAACATTAGTCTACACTGGGACACTTTGGCTGCAGAGGCAGAAAGGAGCCCCTAGTGTGGTGGTCTCCAGCCACAACACAGAACTTACATATTCCTCATTGCTTGCTCTAATGTCAGCTATGGCCACAGGCCTGCAACTCCCCATCTCTCTGGCTGTTGTCAGAATGAGCGATTGGGAACAGATAAATCCCAGTGCTTCAGCAATGGGTGAGAACAAAACAGCCACAGGACAGGCACAATGCCACAATCAATAGTGGTCACAGGCACAATTCTCCTATGCTAAAATCATTTCATGAGCTTCTTGCAATGAAGGCTTTAGACCCACAGGTTTCAGTTGTGTAGCTGATTTTTGTGTCCCACCTCTTTGATATGGTGGAAAATCAGGCACTCTTTCCTTATTCTTATAGCTTAGATAGCCATAGTGCAAGTTTTCCTCTTTATTTAGGGAGAGCCAAAATGCAACCCTCCCAACTGTTGAAGTAATATGGGAAGTATCTCAAGTGGGAAGAATGCGCAAGTGACTGATTAGATAATCAGGAAATGGATGAAATCACTGCTTAAAGGAAAGTTATCCACTAATACAATTCGGAAATCTAGATCAGACAGGCTAGGAAGAATTTAATTTTCTGCCTACTTAAATGTAGAAGGAAATGAGCACTTCAGAATGCTATTCTTCAAAGTGCTATTTCATTGGCCATCTAATTGAGTAGTAAATAGAAATGTTAGATTTTTTCCTGGGCTGTGCCATTCAAATTTCTTTATCAATTTATGTGTAAGCATGCTCAGTGAGATTTCATTAATGTGTTTGTGAACACTGTAATATGTATCATGCATACAGAAGCCATCTAAAATGTGCAACAAATACCTGTACAAAGTAAAACATCACTTTCAAGGCTTGTTAACTGTTAGTGAAGTTCTATCTTCACATTACTGCAAATTCCTTTCCAGATTGTTCATAATGTATAAACTGCTTTATCACAGTAATCTTCAAACTGTGTACTCAGTGCATACATGAAGAATGGCTAGCCACAGTGGTTGGTCTGGGTGATAATTTTCTGACCTTGAAACTAGCTAGGGAGTGCACATGATTTTATAATTGTTTAAAATACTGATGCTGTCATAAAGTTGGTTTTTTGTGTTTACATTTGTATTGCTATTATGCTTTATTTTAAATTATGCCACCATTTGAAAGAAAGACAGGGCATTAATTAAATCTTACTTACTTACTTACTTCTTAATTAGGTGATCCCTCATAGTCCGAGGATGATGGTCCTCCA